AACGTTATAAACATAATCTATGAGAGGACTGGATAATTTGATCCCAGAAGCCACGTGATTGATCCTGGCAATACTGTGGATGGACAACATCTTGAACCAGCTGGGATGGATGAAACTGAAACCCCATGAATACTGGGAAAACCACATGCCAACTGGTGCAGGACTTCGTCCGCCAGGATGTTCATGCTGACCCCGTGTCAAATAAAACAACGCAGCCATCGCCATGGGAAATTACCGGGCCTGTCAAATTACCCAACCCAACCCCCCCCCCCCACAAGTAACCGTGGCATTTGCTTAAGCCATTTGGCCTCCGGAATCCGCCCAAGCTGCCGCAAACCACCCCGATCGAGCGTATCTGGGTAAAGACCCCATAGCTTTCAGCTGGGGGAGACAACATGTCCGATTTTGTGATTGGTTCCTTTTACAACTAAGGGAAAATAGAACAAACTCCAAGCAAATGGAGGGTAACATAATGAAGTCTGACTACAGGTTTGTTTTAGAAACATCACTGTATCAGGAGGGGGTCAGCTCGGTCGGGCAGTCTCACATTGGCGCATCAGCCTCGTGTTGTTGCAAGCAAACCGCTGCAACTGGCTGGCGCGGTCCTGCTCAGAAACACGGCGTTGTAGGCATACCCACCCTGGGCGCGAACAAGTTTCTTGTCCGAGAGCAGCAAAGCTGTCTGCCCAGTGGCGATTTTGTTTTCCATATTAATTGGGCGACATTGTAGCAATTGCCAGTGCTGCGACTACCAGCCTTCCTCGGAATTGAGGCAATTGGCTTCACGTGTTGGCGCAGGCCATTCAATCCAAGGTTGAGTTGAGCTGAATCCCGCAAGCGCTGGTCGAATTCTTGGCTGGCCAGGCCAAAACAGAATCGTCCGGAACACGCCTACAAAGAGCAGGCGCCTGATAAATAGATTTCAGCCTCCCTACGGCTAGCTGTGCCGCTCACGGCCGCATCTTAAGCAAGCCAAACGTACTTGCCTGTTCGTGGACAACTTATTTGCTGGTGCTCAGTGGGTAGGGGATGACGTCCGGGTGTTGGGAATGAACTGGAAGGGGATTCCCCTAAAGGAAGCCATAGAATGGATGGTTTTGCTCAGGGTCCTTCCATGGCGCTTTCCTTGCCATTGCACCAGCAAGAAAATTGGAGGGTTTCCACAAGGGAAAGTCGACAACGCAAAGTGGCAAAGGCGAGGTCGTGGGTCACTTGGTGCTGCTTTGAGTTGACTGCTTGCGCTGGACCCGTAGCCATACAGAGGGCCTAGCCGTACCGCTCAATGACGTAACTTTGCGCCTGTTGAAATCATCCTACTAGCATGCGGGCCTCTGTCAAACTTTGCTGCTACCCTCATGGGCAACGTTGAGAGAACCCTTGTGTTTTGTTTGTGTGGGAAAAATAGTTCCCCATATTTCCCCATGCCCCTCAAATGGACCATAGACAAATCGGTTCTTTGTGACCGCTAAGGTTGAAGCCTTCATTTCCGTGTCGTGGCCCCGACCCCCAGTGGCGATGGGATGAAAGGCCCACTTTGTATACTCAGTCGATGTCAAATCATGTTGACTCCGGAGTAATACACCCCTATTGTCCATACGGGGGTGCCCCCTCCAAAAGTGATGAATCCACACTGAACCAGACCCATATTAACAACTAGGGGCTATCTGTCCGGGGTGGACATTGAAGGGAAGGGGTCCACATTAAAGGACAACCCCTCCAAAACAAAAAGAACACAACAAATCTGGGCTGGCCGCAGATCCCCTTCTAAGAGTGTAACTTTTAATTTGTTAAATGGAAACCCCCGCTAAACCCTGAAAGTCTAAAAACCAAAGGGAGTGGCTGGGAGCCACCGAGAAATACAAGCACTGGAGGGTCTCGGTGGTACAAACCCAAAACCTATGTCCACAAGGCGGCGAGCAAGAACCGCGAGTTGAATCGTTTTCGCTTTCCAGCCGCAACGGGCCCTCTGCAACGGCCGTTTTTGTTTGTTTCACTTTTGTGAGTCCAATTCAGAAAACTTCTTGATTTCCCGAAAGATCCAACAGTAATCAAACCCAAGTGAATCAAACCCAAGAACAGTAATGAATAAACACCCAACTTTTGTGGGTCCAATTCCTTGTTGTTGGGTTGGGCGCAAAAGTCCCGCAACGGCCCCCCTGCAACCAGTTTTGACTTTTGTGGGTCAAAAATTGGAAACCCCCTTGATTTCCCGAAAAGTTGCAGCTTAACGATCCAAGGGCCCCAGCGTAAAGGAAGAGCCCAATGGCGAAGACTTGGGTGACGATGGCCACTACCTGTACCACCTCAGACGTTGACCGCGCCAAAGCCCAGGCTTTGTGGTTGCCCTCCCCTATTTTCCTGGGCTTGTGCACAGATCCCAAAAATGGTTGCTTTCATGGTGGTTCTCCTCTAAACCAAAAAAAAGAAACAATGCTTCAAGCTTTACACTGGCCTTACTTTACATGCCAATGAATGGGTTTAGCTCTAGAATAGCCCCACCTCTTTGTCGCAGGGTGGGAATTTTGGGGTACAAAAATGGCACTGGGCACAAGATTACTCCAAGCCAACCGAGGAACCTTTGGCTGGTTCTTTCCCTTCAGCAAATCCGCCCTGAACACTGTCCTGACTCGTGCTAAGGCTTGGCGCATTCGAGTTGAGCAGGTTTGTGGCACATCTCAAATCAAAAGTTAAAGAAAAGAAACACATACCATCCCCACTGCCAACTAAAATGAGCCCCGAATGGACGACGGCCAAGGAAGAGCCTTCTGGTTGGCTTTTGGGCGGCTTGAATGGGTATCGCGTGGCATGAACAACAGGATCCTAGCGGGCACGTGATGTCAACTTGAGCGAGTCTGAATCCGTGTGTTTGGCATCTTCCGCTTTGTCAAAAGAATTACACTGTTATTAAGGGTCGATGGGGTGTGCATTGCGCGCCCCGGGGCCTTGCAATGCACACCCCGCGAACCATTGATATCTGCTTGTCCATGGGGCTTCAAAAATGAGGCCATTTGACGCCCCGAGCGTTGGATAGGCATCGCAACTACCGCAAACCGCTTGATAGCATCAGATCGGCGTCGGATGGGCGTCGGATGGGAGTCGGATAGCGCCAAATGGGTGTCGGATGGGCGTCGGATTGGCGTTGGATGGGCATCGGATGGCGTCGGGTAGAGTCGGATAGGCGTCGGATAGCGTCGGATAGTCATCGGATAGGCGTCGGATATGAGACGGATAGCGTCAAATATCGTTGGGTAGGCGGCAGATAGCGTCGGATAGGCGTCGGATAGATGTCGGATAGGCGTCGGATAGGCGTCGGATAGCATTGGTTAGCGTCGGTTAGCATCGCGTGGGGCCTCCAAAATGAGGCTTTCTGACGCCCCGAGCGTCGGATAGGCGTCGGATAGCGTTAGCGAGTGCCAGCTCTAATCACAGGGCGCCCATTTGATAGGATAGCGTCAGTGCGGGACAAGCATCGGTTAGCGCAACATGGCGTCGACAAAGGTTTGATCGCTTTATATATAGATCGCGCATAGGTCGTCGTCAGAAAGCATTGATTTGCACATTCGCTTATTGTGCTTCATGTGCTCAACTTGAGCAGTACTGTGGGAGAGCATTTGTTAGAGTTGGCCGCAGCTATTGAATTCATGGGAAAGGCCTCAATCCCAACTCCCGATAGTGTTGGATAGCGTCCCTCGTGCTTGCAATCATTGAACCAAGTGTTTCTGTGGAGGCTCAAGGTTGGGGGCGTTGCCTTCCATACAAACCAACCGGAAAAATCAAGCATCACCTTGGGACCTTGGGTACTCGAAACAGATTTCCGAGCCAACACCACACCTACAATCGCAAGCTAAGTTTGGCAGTCAGAGTCACTGTCATGGATGCCTTACTAAGCAGCTTGACACACACACACACCCACACACACACACACACGCCTTCTCTGGCCAAACAAAAGTGCGGAATGTATTTGGAAACCCTTTGTTGGACATCATTCAGGGGAATGATGTCAACTAGGCATTTTTTGGAGTGTTCCCCAAGAACTCAATATGCAAAGAAAAGCTATATAGTCAAGCCTCAGTGTCGGATTGGAGCTCTTTGTTTGGCACCGCGCTCCTCTTCCCAGCAATCTTACAACACGAGTCCAGAAACTGCGGAAGCACTCGGACGGTAAGTCCATCCTCCCAAGAGCAATCCGGCAAACGCGCGCCTCGCACATCGGCGGCTTCTCGGGGGGTTCCGGAGGAGCCTACGCCGCGGTTGAAACAAGGTTGCGTTTGTGTACAATACGAATACTGATGGACTAAATCCCACACCAGGTGGTTCCTGGTATTCTAGCGGTTCGTCAGATAGTGTCCAAAACCAGCAGGTAGTCAGAAAGCAAAACCACCAAGAAAGTTGTCCTCAACTTACTGTCATCTGGAAGTTTCACACCCTGCCCAAAACCTCTAAGAGGGGGTTCTCACGCAAGGAGCAAACATTTCACGCAACCGGCATACCCTCTGCAAGGGATGCCCCAAGTAAAGAATCGACATCATGGTCAGCTCGTTTCCCCCCAGCCGAATCGTGGGCTCTCCAAGAACTAGCCAAAAGAGGTACCCTAAAAACACACGCACACACACACATACACATACACATACACACACACACACACTCACATTGTTGATGGGGCTGTGCATAGAAACGGCAGCATGGAACCGCTGACAGGCGCAATGCGCTGGGTTTTGGCTCTTACACCAGGCTTGAAGCTAGGCCCCTTTCATTGAATTCAAGAGTTAAGACACGGTTGCACCTGACCGTGGCAAGGGTGAAACGTGAGTTCAAGTGCCTCGGGAAGGTTGCGAGCTACAACTCAACGGTTGCCAAGGTTGCCAAATCGTGGAAGCTGAACTACGGTTTGACAACACTCCCTTCTGCCTTTCGGAGAACGACGAAGACTATGCCTGCAGATTTTCTTGCCCCCCCTCCTCTCGTCCAGCCCAGCCGGCCAAACATTTGAATCTCCTCTCTCAGCCGGCCTCCTGCTCGGACAGCATCACCTAAGGCGATGCAAACGGCTGGGGCCATAGGTGAAGCCACACGTGGCTGTCTCAATCCACTCCAAATGGTGTTCAGGGGGGGTGTGACAAAAATCTCTGGTAGCCTCCCGTCCAACATCGAACCTGAGGGTTCCTGGAAGTCTTTTATGGGCCCTCGTGCGTTCCATATGAGCGGACCGGACACGTCCCCTCGTCTTTGGAATTTCAAACTTGCAAGCCATGGAGTCCTCATTCCCTGGGCAAAGCTACCTGGCGCCAGTCTGGGTTTAAGATACCAAACAGCAGATACCGGTGAAGGCAAGCGCCTGGTGCCGAGGCCTGTTTTAAAATAGGGATCCTTACATTATACACCTGAACGTTGCCTTGTAAATGGTGGTTTCCCTTTTTGGGTGGAAAAACAACATGTTTCAAATGAGCAAAATGCATCTTTTAAGGAGCCCATACACATTGCCTTGATTTTCAGAGGCGCAATGGACCTTGGGATTTCTAGCCAGAAAGGGAAGTTCTCCAAAGCCTGGCAAGGTGCTTGGGAGGGGAACCCGCAACCTGCTCGTTTTTCAGCCCGCAGTTCAGTCGGGCGGAGACAGAGGAAGCAAGCCCGCAGAGGCCCGCAGAGGATGACTTTTTTGCTTGGAGTTTAGCTTGCCAAAACAAGGAAAAAATGCGGTGCACAAAAGAGGAACGCACTTCCGGCAAGCCTTCATGGAATTTAGGCACCCACCAGGTCTTGCATCGTGCGGCCCATCTTCTAGCCGTATCAGCTAATTAGTGACTTGATGTGAGCTAATCATGAAGACAACCGTGCCAAGCTACATGTGAAGCCCGTTGCTCATGATGAAGATGGAAGAGGCCACTCTTAACCATAGCTGCGATGTCCAAAGAAAGGACCATGGGGAAGAAGTCTTGGCCTCCCCCGCATGCATCCCATGCCCAACAAAAGCTAGCTTTCTTGTTTGCCTCGACCAGGTTCTTCTGAGAGTTGTCATCCCCCTTGCAATACACAGAAGAGATCCTACCTTCAGTAGACCTTTCATTTTACTAGTCTTGCGCAGGAGGCATGACACTGCAAATGGGATGGCGGGTGTCAAGCTCCCCTTCCCTAATTCCAAGCAAAAGAAACAAACGAGACCCTCTAAGCATCTTCAGCGTAACCTGCCCACTAACCTGGCACCTCACTCAGGCGACTATTTTCCTCAGCTGCCCAGGGGCCATGGAGACAAAGCAAGGGCATCCTTCTTTGGTGGTTGCCGAGCTTAAAGGGGAACACCTTCCAAAAACAAAGGAACACAGGGGCGGAATCTACTGGGCACCTGGGCTTACAAGGGACCTTCGAGTGGGTTCCGCCCGCCTTTTGGGACATCCCGCGCCGGCCCCGCGCGAGCTCCGCGGAGGAAGCGAACCGCTGGAGCCCGACAGGTTCAAGGGTCGGGCGTCAACCTATGGACAGTCCTGTTGTGGATGGAAGCAAACCCACTTCGCACCAAAGAAACCCTGTTCGAATACCAACCTGTTGGAACAATGATGACCCCCCTGAAAAAACCAACCAACGATGGTTTCTGCAAGTGGACAGCGTCTTAGGGGACAGTGCCCCCGTGAAACTCAACCAGGGCAGCTCACGTGCGTGTACTCTGCTGGCTGGGGTCCTAGCATTCCATCTTGTGCCTTGCGACTTTTCGATTCAAGCCGCCGCTGACTGTTGGCCCTCTCAGCTCAATATAATCTCTGTATTACTGGTTGGCCAATGACCTGGGGGGAAAGCTTATTCTGGGCTCTTCCCATGGATTCCCATGGATTAACATCGCGTATCAAACCCGCCGGGCTAGTACCCACGGCCCAATTTCAATACATGAAACGCACGACATGTGTGCAGCCCAATGCCTTCGATTCCGTCTTGAGTGGAAGGGTGCCAATCACCGCTGATGGTGGTGAATCAACGAAACCACACTGCTCATAACTGCAGATTCCGCCAAGTGCGGCGGCTGCCGCATGCTGAGGGTGCCCAGGAAATTTCAGACGGCTGACCAAAAACAAGAGTCCTGACTCCGCATGTTCGAATCTCCCACTTGGCTGAGACGTGTGGTGGTCTCCTCAAAACTGGGCTGTCTAAAACGACTCTTCGCGCTGACTGTGTTGTGCGCCAAGTTGCTTGCCCCTGGCCAAAACGAGGCCAGGGCGATCAAACGGATGAGTTGAACGGGTTCGCTTTGTCCACCCCGGCAAAAATATCCGAGTTCCACAAAAAGTGCTTCTCGAAATGCCAAGCCCTTTTTTCTTGACGATCCCAACAGGATTTTGAGCAAGTCGCCTCACAGAAGCAGGGCTTATGGACCCTGCCGCACTCAAACCACGCCTTCTGGACAGCCCAGGGCTGTCAGCCACCTCGCCGGCAACGCCCTCCAGACCAATCCAGGGAACGCTGCAAGGAGCTGTCCCCCACTTTCAGGGAATGAACTCATTGAACAAGCATTGCAACACGTGTCAGAAGGCACACCCTAGGAAAGGTTGGCCCCCCCAAGAACGCGCAAAGCCCTGTCGACCTCAACCACAATATGAAGCACGAAACCCTGAATGACCTGAACCCTCATTTTGAATGACTGAAACCTAAACACTGACGAGCCCAAAACCCCCTAAATAATAAAGCCCCTTTGAACACTTAGGACATGGCCAAATCCAAATCATGAGCAAGCACGGGGACGCTAAGACTATGCCGGATCAAACGGTGTCGCGGGCACCTTTCACTCTGGCGGATGCAGTTCAAAATGTGGCCACTTTCAGGAGTGCTGGTAGAACTTCGGGCCCTAGCTAAAAAGGTCCAAGGGACACCAAACCACTTTTCTCACTTTTCCACCCCAAGGGTTTCACGAAGCGTCCTGCGCCCGGGTTTCTTCACTCCTTCTCCCCCCCCGGACCCTCCCGGGCATCCACCACTCCGCTGTGCCTTGCGGCGGCGGCCGCGATGTCGCCTGGGCGGCCAAGTTCGGAGGGGACATTTGCTTTGTTTACATATTATGTTTTATTATTATTGCTTTGTTTTTCCATCAGTCATATTCAACCAGATGTCCACGCATAGCTATGTGTTTCAATTCCGGCAGGTTTCTGAAACAGGGGACGAAAAATGACAAGAACACTGGAGTGGCTTTATTGATCCAAGGGAACCATGGTCCCCTCCCCCCTGCCCCTGAAAAGTGAAAAGTGACCAGCTCAGTGACACCCAACCACCTGGAAAGAATCCCTGTGTTCATGATACGCCCCCTTCAAAAGCCTGACCTTTCTGTCAACTGAGAAGTAAATTCACAGTTCAATGTGTCATGCGCCATCTGAGTGAATTCCGGGCCTCTGAGCCAATTGTCCATGCGCTGCTCTGCGTCCAAAGATGACCTTTCGAGGGTGTTCCACCAAGAAAACTGGACAAATGATTCTTCAACAACCGAAAGTAAGGAATAAGGGATCCCTATGAGCGGGTGACGCCGCAGCCCACCCGCCCGAAATGTGACGTCGCCACAAAGTGCCCAGAAGAAAGCAGACCGAATGAAAGATCTCCTCGGCAAGGCCACGCAAACCTTCCGGTCCTTGAGCGGAGACGGGCATGACGGCCAAATGGTCACATGGGGATTCATGTCGGCTTCAATTGCTGCGCGTTCCCCATTGAGCGGGTGGGCCAAAACAAATCTAAACGTATTTACCACCAATGGTCTTCCCCAAAAGTACAAGTCCAGGCACTCGGGGTGTGATTCAAATCGTAATGCTTCTAGGCCATATCAACCGCCAACTGCTTCTAGGCCCCGTCGCTGATGCGGACTCGCAGCCAGGTTCCGGCGTTCAAGCCTCAGACATGGGCCAAAAGGAAGAAATTGCCCTCCACAAACCATGGTAAATTACAGGGCTTCCGCTTCGGCCCCATCTAATCTAATCATTTGCAATCTTGAGAGAACCAGCCGAATGGGTGTCTTTCTACATGGGGAAGAGGACGGAACAGGCTTGACAGCCGCACCGAGCCGCACATCTGGAGCATGACCCGATGCCTTGAGCCAGTTGCCATTTATTTTCATGCTTGTCGCGATCGCCTGCAGGATCTTTAGACATTCTGTCTTGCTTTAAAAGGGGAGGTGTGGTTGGCTCACTTGCAATATTATGGTTGCAACGGTGGATGGACGAAATCCTGCAACACCTAAGAAACCCTGGAACCATGATTTTTTTTCTGCAAATACCAACTAGCAATGTTTATTATTATTATCATTATTATTATTATGATTATTATTATTGTTATTATTAATATTCTATCATGGTTTCAAAGTGGTGCGAAATGGATTTATCTGGATTTTGTCCATCCACAGAAGTTCTAACGAGCTGGGGGTTACAGGCTGACCCATCCCCCGAGATTTCTCCCGAGAGGCCAAGAAAGAAGTCCGTCAGCCGCGCCAGCAGAACGACCTCAGAGCTCGCCCAGGCAGAATGACCCATGCGGCCCATGCCCGCGTTGCGGTGACGGCCTTTTTCAAGGGTACCATTTTCGGGTTGGTGCAAAGGGGAAGCGAAAGGAAAACCACGACTTTTCTGGAAGGTCCCATTTTGACCCACACACACACAAACAAACACAACCAAACACAAACAAACACAAACAAACACAAACGCACACACACACACACATACCAAAGTACTCGCAACCCCAGTTGCAGGGGTTCACATTGACTGGGGATTGACTGGAAGCTACTAACCACTTAGCCACCTCCTGGGCGGGTACATGTCAGCCAACTCCTATGATCCCACCTATGCCGCTGGTCATGACCTACTAGGTAGTTTCAACATCCCATCACTACTCAGCTGCCCAACCGACCAGAAACAAAAGGTTAACCTTTTGGCATCATGATAGAAACGGACCCAAATGGGAAAACCCAAAAGGTCAAAAGGTCGGCTTTGCGCAAGTGAGCCTACGACCCAGTTGGCTCACATTCCAAACTCGGTCCAGTGAACTGGTTGCCTCAACGTCCCACAAGTCGCCATGCAATGAGCGCATGTCCGACGTCCAAGTGCTGAAGCCGGCCTAAGTTTGCGGCTTCCACTACGCTGCCTTCCGCGATCCAGCCTGCCAGGCGTCATCACAAGAGCGTCTTCCTCGGCCCTTCCGACTTCCGATTTCCAGTTTGGGAGTCCCTTGGATCTTTGAGACAAACCCAACGCCCCTCAGATCTTTGGTTCATCTTAGGCGAGGTGAAACAACTATCCATGACCTATCAAGGGTCACTGGATTTGCTAAATACCAAGTTGATCAATGTATTGGTGGGTTCCCATGATTAACTACCACTTACGGAGGTCCAAACAATGGAACTCGACAGAATGCCTTTGCCTTCTCAGGCATTCCCAGCTAGGCTTCTGCCCTGATGAAGAAAAGGCCCAATCAAACAGCACAACTTCACGCATAAGTCAGGTAAGCGGCAAGCAAACACATCACAAAGACACGAGCCAGTTGCTTGACTGAAACGGGATGCGACTGGCCAATACAAGCGTGCCGCTGGACAACTGGGAAAGCCTTGAGTCTGCCTTCTTTCACGCATACTGATTCAGAGCCAGAAGGAAAACCATGGCAGCCTGAGACTGACCAACAATTTGCTTGGGGCCACTGATTGGCTTGGGCTCGCCCAATGAGCTGCTAGGAAACGGGCTTTTGTTAAGCTCGCTTTAACCCCTCAGCTCAGTATAACTTGTGCAGGTAGGTGGTTCACGCACTCAAGTAGGCAAATTTACGGGTTTGGAGTTGCTTAATTCAACGGAATGTGTGAATTGCAACTTGGCGTCCGCCAAACGGACTGCGGCTTTTGCGGATCTTTGCAAACGAAGCTGCTCAGCTACACAGCTGGGCGCACCTCTCAGCACGGGCTCGTGCAAGAAAGTGAGATGGCCTGAAGCAGGGTTGGGGGTGCAGCCTGCTGGCAAGTTGCTGAAAAATACTTGGTTGCTGTTGACCCCCTTGCAAAAAGTTTAACTTTTGGGGGGGGGGGGGGGTTAGTGGAAAACCCCTTGATTTCCCAAAAAGTCAAAGTCTAAAGACCTGACAGCAAGTCTTGCACCACCACAAAAAAGATAAATGTATCAGAAAACAAACAAATGAATAGATGAATCAATAGATAGGTAACATAACAATACAAACAAACAAACAAACAAACAAGCAGGCCACAATTGCTAGATTGTCATGTCATGTCATGTCATCATGACTTCTGTACTGGCTCATGGGGATTGTGGGGGCCCGACAAATGTGTGCGACATACTCCGCACATCCACCGCTCCCGCGCAGCGGTTTTCTTTTTACTTGTGTGCTCAGATCTCCATTCCCAAACAACAATGCACGGCTTCTTGCTCAAAAAAAAGAGGATAACTCCAACTCACCGGTTGGTTTTGCTACGGGCCTGCTGGAAAGTTAAAGAAGAAAAACTGCCAAAAGGAAATTGGTTCCCAAGCAAAGTTGAACATCATCCTGGCCCTCTGGGATTTAGAAAAGTACAACAAGAATAACATGTTCTGTTTCTGCTTCACACTTAGACTAACCTAAACCTCCATTTGCTTCGTCCCTGGAACATCAAAAACACATATTTCCAGCAGTGAAATCGACCCCCTTGTAAAAACCAAGAGGGGAACATAACAAAGTAATCATTCCGGGACCAAGCCAACCGAAGTTTCAGCCCATACTTTGACTTCGTTTCATCCATTCCATTGGCTTCATTGCAGCAAACCGAAGGCCACATGTCAACAAGACTCATTTTGGAGGCGCTTTCTCGCTTCGCCTGGGGCTCCCGAAGGCTCAGCCAGCGGCCTGCCAGTTCAGTTCTGGGCGCCCTGAGGGGCGCCTGAAGCCAAAGGGGCCTAGGGTGAGCTGATGAAAAACAAAATGAGTTCCCCTGGTCAATGGAGTGAAACCAATGTCCGAATGAGTTCCCCCGGTGGAATGAAACCAAGGTCTTAAGCAGTGCCAACTATGTCGAACACATCTCGCCTTAAAAGGCCCCGCAATTAGCAAGGGGGGGTTCCTCACGCGTTTGGAAAATACCCTTTTCTTTTGCAACCTGATACTGAAATTGCGTCACACCTCGACTGGTGGTTGGGGGTCGTAGTCTGGGTAGCCTCGAATTTGGTTCAAAAGAAACTGCATCTTCACTCCCGAACGAGGGGGCTTGGAAGGGAAACCAGACGCCACTACCCGGCCCATCTGCGGCTTACACCTGCAAGTCCCAATCCCGAACGCCCTAAACGAGTCCCAATTCCTCACAAATCCAAGGCTAGGTCCTCCAGTAGAGAGGTTAGAATAAGGGTTCCCGATTTTTCCCTGTAGTCTATTTTAGTAGGGGAACCCTCCCAACGGGCACCTAGCTGGGGACCTAGAAGGGTTCCCGAAACGGAAACCAATGGGAGGTCCACCCGAGAGGCACAGCGCCTAGGAAGCTGTCACTGAGGTGCCTCCCTCGCAAAGTTCATACCTGAAGTGTCCATGTCAGAATTGGAGTCATGACCCAAAATTTGTTTGGTAGATGGCCCGATTTCTGAAGAGTCAGGAGACTCCGGGCACCCTCATGTTCACATACGAGAAGACAATTGCTTAAAACATGGTCCCGGTGGCTTCCAGGCTACGTTAAAATTGAGGGCTGGATAGGGTTGACCTAATATAGGTACAATATTGGTGTTTCTCAAAATGATGCACCCCCCAAAAGCCTCCATTTGCACAAGTTAAACCCCGTGGAGAAATATGTAGCATGCTTTTGCCTTGTCATGGATCCCCTTCAAAGCCAACAGGGGACAATACAAGTGAAGAAATCGAAGACATTGCAGCCAAAGATCCCCTTTGAAGCCAACAGCCAACATTTCAGGCAAATGGTGAGGACAAATCGCCACCGCCCGGCGCCCGCCCGGCGCCCGCCAAATCGCCAAATCGCCAAATCGCCCAATCGCCAGCCCGCCGCCTCGCGAGGACCATGCACTCCGCCAGGCCGAGCCGTGAAGCGCCGAAGCGATCCAGACCCTCCCGGCAAGGCCTGGCCAGGGACGGCCCCTTTGTCCGAAGCAAAAAGCGAGGTTGGGGTCTTTGTTTAAGGGTGCTCTTTGGGAGAATCTTGGGGAAATCATCAGAAACCAGGGTTTCAAACAATAGTTTCAACCATGGTTTTAGAGTGATGCAGGATTTCGTCCGTCCAAAGTAGGGGTGTATTTGCTTCAAGGCGCTGGGGTGGCTTTAAACGGAAACTCAAGGAAAAGCCACCATTTTGGGGGGTCCTATTTGAAGACACACCCAGGATTTGCTTAATCAGGGAGGGGGGATCCCTTTGAGGGTACATTCAAGAACCAACTGCTTCCGAGGCAAGTGGGCCCAAATGCATCGTTTAAGTGACCCGGCTCACTGGAAGTCATGATGCCCGCGCCTGGTTACACATTATTGTTCTTTTACCCAAGGCACTCAAGGGATGTGTTGTTGTTGTTCCTTTCCGTGTGAAAAAGGCAGTCTGTTTGCTTTTTCACCCAGCGCTTGTGCAATCTTCGACTTGAAAGGGACATCGATGGGGTCAGGAGGTGAACCACCCCATCCCCTGCTAGTGGCTAATAAGGAGTCCATTACGTGCCCCTTGCTGCGAGGTTCCAGTATTGGGGAGGGGGTGGCCCTTGACGCGACCAATCACACGGGACGCAGGTATCTCTAGCCGGGCCACACGCCGGCGATGGCGGGAAGAAAGCCAGCGCCGCCTGGCAAACAGGAGCGCGTAAAATCTGGGAGCCCCCTTTCTGAAACCTTCCTTCCGTTTTCCTCAGTAAGGCAGCTGTGCCAGAGCATTTGGCGGGTTCGACTCGATCGCTGAGAGGCAGAAGACTAGATCATTCGCATTAAATAATTCCTCTATGTATTTCCGGGTTCCTGGGGCAAGTGCGTGCAAGCTGGGGACACGCCCCCGGCTCGGTAGATTGGCCAGAACAAGTCTAGATTTTTTGTCGACCACGATTTTTCTAAAAAGCTTGAAGTCTGAGCTGGCTTTGACTCGCACCATTCAGAGAGGCTAAAGGCCATGACTCCAGGCCCTGGCAAAAGCAAAGCAAACAGAACACGCGGAAAAAACAACCCCGTGGATAACCCTTGTATCCTTATGCCCTAGTATCGGTCAGTATCGTGTTTTCTCTTCTTTGCATCGGTTTGCAGTGCTCTGGCAGCTCCAGCTCGAAAAACGTGACTTTTCCGTACAAGTGTAGTATGCGAAGTACACTCTGGTAGGTTCGGCGCGACAGTCGCAACTTTTCAGTACAAGTGTAGTGCACAAAGGACATTTTGGCAGCTCCAGCTGGAAAGTCGCAACTTTTCAGTGGTGTGCGCAGTGCACTTTGGCAGCTCCGGCTCGAAAGTCGCAGTTTTTTCAGCGCAAGTACATGTAGTATGGTGTAGTATACGACGTGCATTTTGGCAGCTCCAGCGCGGAAGTCGCAACATTTCAGTACAAATGTAGTACATAAAGTACATTTTTGCAGATCCAGGGAAGGCTGCAGGGCAGCTGGTTGGATTCGGCATGGCGGCTAATGAGTTGGGTATCGGTTGGGCATCGGTTTGGGTATCGGTTTGGGCCCTGCAAATTTATGATTCCGCAATCTTGGTTTGCGACAACAACTTGGACCTGATGTGTGTCTTCGTGGCTTCTGGGCCTGGGGGTAGCGGTTTTTGTTCCCCTGTATCGGTTTGCAATGGTTTTGGCTTGCGCAACAAGTTAAGGGACGGCCCCTTACATAACGAAAAGGCGCGGGGTTGTTTTTTCCAAATTTGGACTCGGACACTCCATCCGGGTTCAATTGTCCAGGCTTCTGCCGCTTATTGAAGGTTGCCAGGGGCCAAACAAGAATAGTACCTTTGGACAACTCTTCTTAGCTGATTTGCCAAACAAATCTGAACTTGTACTAAACCTATCTTCCCCACAAAATACCTGGCACTGTCTCAAAATAGGGGTACCCCAAAACTGATGGCTTTCCTGCTAGTTTGCCTTAAACCCACCGAAAAAAGGAGGGGGTTTTCTAAAAGAGGACAAACCCATCTCCAGGCGCTCTTCTTGGAAGGCCAAGACTGCAGCGAAACCTCGAGACACTTTCCTCCGGGCCTATGGGCTTCAAGGCCAAGAGGTAGCCGCCTTGCTGCAAACCTACCGTGCCTCAGAGGCGGACGGTGCGCGAAAAGGAAACTGGGCTGCGAGCAGATCTGCTGATGTTGACCCAGGATCTAAGTAGAACCCGTCCCATTATTAGGGGGGGTTCCCTCGAAAAGTGATCAATCCCCACTAAAAGGGGACACCCCCCTGTTAATCAACCAGGAGTGTATGAATCCGGGGTCAACATTAAAAGTTTAACTTGTAGTGGCTTAAATGGACACCCCCACGAAACACTAAAAGCAAAAGAACCAGATGACTGGGAGCCACCAAGGAAAAATGCACCAAATGCCCCTTTTCTAACCTGGAACCCTTCCCGGAAGATCGCGATACTTTTAAAGGGACCGGGTCCCTGTTTCCATGTTGATTGGTGGCCATCCCTCTTTTGGCAACTTTTGGCTTCCTGAACCCAGGAAAAGGCAAACCTAAAAACTGTGTGGGGCTGCACGTAATTTCATGTAGCATTCAAATTTTGCCGGTTTGTACACCTGGTACGTTCCCCCCCCGCAGGCAAAACCTTGCTTCTCTCAAAGGGACCACTCAGGGGCAGGATTGACATTTCCTTGAGCGGATTGGCAACTGCCCTCCCCAAAAAAGTGTCTGAGGCTGAGGGGAATAAAGTGCAGGTCTGACAGTACTATCACACCTCATCCCCCAGCAAAGGCACCTAACTGGCGCACCACCAAGCCACACCGAGGCCCCCCGCCTGCATCTTGCTCCTGGAGAGATGCTGTTGCCGCTTTGTGGGCACCCCTTTAGGGCGCCCGACTGCATGGATGCATGGATCCAGATACTCAATATACTCACTGCCGGATTGGTCAGAACAAGTCCGTTGCCCAGCACTAAGAACATCTTCCAAGCCCCCCTTCCGCAGAAAGGAGCATAACAATAGCACAAAAAACTCGAACAGTGAGGAAAGGGTTTGGCACAAGAGGAGTCCATTCAAACCCCCTCAATTGCCATATACCTTTGTTTGGGCATCTTTTCAAGCATCACCTTCGGGGCTGCGTGAAAGCTTGCCTCAGTGCGCTGGGCCAAACCCCTGAAAAGCCCGCGGCTCCCGCTCCTCCCTCACTTCCAAGTGCAGGGCGACATCCTGAAACTTGCCTTCTAAATGTTGGCTTGAAGGACCCTCCCTAAGCATTTTCCCGCCCGAAACGCCATGGTTCAGCCACATTTCAGAGGCATCATGTATCCATCTGCTGCTCAAGGAGATTGTGCTTCTCCCCCTGGTTCCCCAAAAAAGCAGCCCTAGAAAGGGGACCCTCACAAAAACGACAGACAGACAGTCGACACTTCAGTGTTCCATTGAAATAATGGTTGGCCCAATTTTGGATGATGACAACTCTTAGGCAGGCAATTGTGGTTATATTAATGATCCCCCCCATTGTTTTCATGGTTTGCATTTCAGGGTGTGGTTGGCTTCCCCTTAGTTCCCATCCAGAAAAAGGGGATCCTCCAGACACCCCTTCAGCCAGCATTTTTGCACTTGAAGCCACCCCAGCTCACCCAAACGACGCCCCAGCCTCCCAGCCCCCCCCCCCCCCTCGCCGCAAAGAAGCCTCCAGTCGGAGGCACAAGGAGGCACCCCCCACGTCCCGCACCGCCGGGGTGGTGAAGCCCAGTACGCGGCCCCGCAGCGCCAAGCCCCGCGCCTCCATGGGCCAGAAATTCACAATGGGCGGCTCATTCGTTGGAGGTGTTTTTTCTCCAGAATATCCCTTTGTTGGTTGGGTTCAAAGAGAAACCAAAATGAGACCAACCAATCTTCGGAGGTCCCCTAAGCAAACACACACACACACACACAGGTTTGTTCCCAGAATACCCCCCACCACCTAACATGGGTTTGTGCAAACAGGCCAACTAACCAAGAGGAAAGTAGTCTTTCTACAGGGGTCTGCGCACTTCCATGATAGGTGGTGGGAGGGTATCCCTTTGTTGGTTGGTTTATGGCGGGTTTAGCCCAGAAATGGAGAAAATGGATCGTTGCGCTTCTTTTTCCAGAATGTCCCTTTGGTGGTTGGGTTTAAATTGAAACCAAAAGGACACCAACCAATCTTCGAAGGTACCCTAAACACAGACACACACACACACACACACACACACACATCTTTTTTCAGGGAAAGTCAATCATTTTGGCCCTCGCCTGGGCTTCTGCTTCCGAGGCAAAAAACAAGCGTCTGTTCTTGACTTCACCGACTCACCAGACTTGGCCCATCAAAGTCAGCCGTTCCAGCTACCATGGGCCGTCCGTGGGCCCTGACTTCCATTTGGTTAAGACCCCTGGACAGTAGTGATAGATTCCCTTCAAAATCAACAGGGGAAAGTTAAGAATTATTCATTTCAGCAAATGGAAGCTGAGAGAAAAAACAAATCAGAGAATCCGTTCCGTGGTTGACCATCTTAGCGTTGTTCAGTAACCCTGGAAAAAAAGGGAGCCCTTTTTGGGCAAGACCATTTTTTAGTGGGGTAGCCCCCCCCAAAAAAAATGGGGGGAAAAGGGTACCACTGAACAACTGAGTCTCTGTGAGAACCCAACCGCCAAGCAAACAAGGGCGCACTCCGCTCACCCGCCTGCTGCTGCTCTGCCAGTCGCTGCGCAGCGCACGCGGCAGTCACTGGAAGCGCTGGGCAAAAAGCGCCTGGCTTGGCTACTGTTGAAGGATATGCCCCTAAGTGGTGCGGGATTTCGCCCTTTTCGGGGAAATAGATGGTTCTGGATTCTGGATGATTCAACAACCCCGTAAATCAGGAATCACCGTCGATTTTTCGACCAAACCAACCAAAAAGGACACCTATGGCCTGGCTTTATGAGAAACCCAGAGGTCCCAAGACCAAAGGACAGTGGTCCATCGGCCTGGTTGAGCCATACACACACATATGGCAATGAGTCAAAATCCTGTACCCGGAGTGAACATCCCAATCCCCACAGAAATTGGCTCAAAAATGGGTGGTGCACCTATCCCTAAATGGTACCCTTGGCTTTGAACCATGGCCACCCCTATCAAGATAAAAGTATTCGATACATTTATGAAAGTATCTCTCTATACACAAATGTATGCGGTGCACAAGAATGACGTGTGTAGGTAACCAGGCGAAGCATTGTCCGTCCGCAAATTGGGCAAGCAGCCTGTGACAAGGTTCTATGCCACCCAAGTTGAACCTATGGTCGCCTATGGTGCAACCTGCATGTTGCAAGCCGGCAGGCCAACACCTTTCTGTGATTCACAACATCCTAGCAAATTATCATGCTTCACAAAGCAGGGTCATCGGTGAGCTTGTTAGATCTGCCCAAAGCTGATTTGCTTTGCTGCTAGTCTGGCAATGAGGGACGCCAACTATGGAGGCCGGTTGCAGAAGTCCCGGCTTGCATTCCTTCTTGTTTCACTCCCAGAACCTCTTCTCAACAACATCTACTAGAATCCAAAGGTCGACTGGAGGGCTTTGGGCGATTCACCGACTTTTGTGCCATGTCAATTAGGCTCCTACAAATGGGGTGTGCTTCAGGCGGGCTCATTGCAGAAGGAAGCCAGCGTGCGGTTCATGTCTGGGGCCAGCCGGAGGACTCAATGCCACTGTTCCGGGCAAACGTTGGCAGCTTTTTGTCGTTCCTTCCCTCGCGGCGATGGAACGAATCCTGCACCTCTGATTGGGAGCTGGGAGTGCGTAACGCGTGCGCGTCAAGCGCCATGGAGTTTCATCATTCAGCCTTCCAACGATGGACTGCTGAGGCTGAGAGGAGTGGCAGGTGTTGTCAAACGCCTGGCTCACGAATTTCTGAAGGTGAACGACCACACAACGAATTCTTGTTCTCCAACCGACAGTGATGCTTTGAATAGACTGACCCTTGTCCAAATTCACTCCTTAAAAGAAGTTGTTGTACCAGCAAAAGATCCTAGGTATCTGCGGCGCAGGGTTCCAACATGTGCCCTCACTCTTTGTGGCTCGCAAGGCGCCCGCACAGAGCAACGCAAGGATTCGAAAACCCAAAGCATGGGCTTGTCCGCAGGGCTTTTGCAGGGCTCGCCGAACAGCCTTGTTTTGTTGTGTTTTTTAAGGGAAGGCGGGTGTTTTCCGAAAAATGGGATCCTCCACTTGGATGGGACGCAGGAAAACCACGTATCAAGTTGGCACAAATAATTATTCTTGCATCCTCCCAAGCAGCCGAAAGACCCCGCCATGATTGCAGCAAACTTCGCCACATTCTTGGGCACACGGCAACAAAATGTTTAGTGTCTGCTTCATATTTAATCTAGCCCAAACTAGGATATATCTGATAAGACCCCAGTCAATACCTTGGTTGCTGTTGACCCCTCAGCAAAAAGTTACCCTTTGTGGGTCCAATGGAAAGCCATTGCTGTTTCCCAAAAAGTTAAGTCCAAAGATCCAACCCACAACGTACGCGCACAAGATCCAAATCCGCCGACATTGTTCGGCGTGTCGGATACTTACTAGAGGATAGCGGATAACCCCCCCCCTCTAACCCCCCCCCCCGGCCCGACGTCAAATACGTAGGTTTTTGGGGGGGGCTGGGCCCCACGTACCGCGCGGTGATTTGATGACGTTCCACTAAACGTAGTCTTCGGGGAGCCGGTGTCGCAAAACAGGGGTCCCAGGCTCGATTCCCCCTGACGGCTTTTTTGCTGGCTTGGGCTTCCTGCATCCTTTTGCCGAAAATCTGAAAACAAACTCTGTGTTTTTGGACAGTGCAAGGGTACATACATACATACATACATACATACATACATACATACATACATACATACATACGTACATACATACATACATACATACATACATACATACATACATACATACATACATACATACATACATACATACATACATACATACATACATACATACATACATACATACATACATACATACATACATACATACATACATACATACATACATACATACATACATACATACATACATACATACATACATACATACATACATACATACATACATACATACATACATACATACATACATACATACATACATACATACATACATACATACATACATACATACATACATACATACATACATACATACATACATACATACATACATACATACATACATACATACATACATACATACATACATACATACATACATACATACATACATACATACATACATACATACATACATACATACATACATACATACATACATACATACATACATACATACATACATACATACATACATACATACATACATACATACATACATACATACATACATACATACATACATACATACATACATACATACATACATACATACATACATACATACATACATACATACATACATACATACATACATACATACATACATACATACATACATACATACATACATACATACATACATACATACATACATACATACATACATACATACATACATACATACATACATACATACATACATACATACATACATACATACATACATACATACATACATACATACATACATACATACATACATACATACATACATACATACATACATACATACATACATACATACATACATACATACATACATACATACATACATACATACATACATACATACATACATACCATTACATACATACATACATACATACATACATACATACATACATACATACATACATACATTACATACATACATACATACATACATACATACATACATACATACATACATACATACATTACATACATACATACATACATACATACATACATACATACATACATACATACATACATACATACATACATTACATACATACATACATACATACATACATACATACATACATTACATTACATTACATTACATTACATTACATTACATTACATTACATTACATTACATTACATTACATTACATTTACATTACATACATACATTACATACATTACATACATTACATACATTACATACATTACATACATACATACATACAGACATACAGACATACATACATACATACATTACATTACATTACATTACATTACATTACATTACATTACGTTACATTACATTACATTACATTACATTACATTACATTACATTACATACATACATTACATTACATTACATTACATTACATTACATTCCATTCCATTCCATTACATTACATTACATTACGTACATACATTACAGCAGTACATTACTTACTTACTTACATACGTACATACATATCATTACACTACATTACATCACATCACATCACATCACATACATTACATACATTACATACATTACATACATTACATACATTACATACATTACATACATTACATTACATTACATTACATTACATTACACTACATTACATACATACATTAGATACATACATACATACATACATGCGTACGTACATACATACATACATTACATACATTACATTAATACATACAATACATAAATTACATACATACATACATACATGCATTACATACATACATACATACATACATACATACATACATACATACATACATACATACATACACACATACATTACTTACATACATACATACATACATACATACACACACATTACATTACATTACATACATTACATTGCATACAACATACACACTACACATACATTACATTACATACATATGCATACATACATACATACATACATACATACAAACATGCACATACATACATACATACATACATTACATTACATTACATTACATACATTATATACATACATACATACATACATACATACATACATACATTACATACATACATACATACATACATACATACATTACATACATGCATTACATACATTACAGACATTACATACATACATACACATACATACATACATACATACATACATACATACATACATACATACATACATACATACATACATACACATATACATCACATTACATACATACATGCATGCATACATACATACATTACATACATACATACATACATACATACATTACATACATTACATACATACATACATACATACATACATACATTACATAAATACATACATACATAAATACATACATACATACATACATTACAGCATTACATACTTACTTACATACATACATACATACATACATACATACATACATACATACACATACATACATACATACTACATACATTGCATTGCATTGCATTGCATTGCATGCATACATACATACATTACATACATTGTACATACATTACATACATACATACATACATACATACATACATATACATACATACATACATACATACATACATACATACATACATACATACATACATACATACATACATACATACATACATACATGCATACATACATACATACATACATACATACATACATACATACATACATACGTACATACATTACATTACATTACATTACATTACATTACATTACATACATACATACATACATACATACATACATACATACATACGTACATACATACATACATACATTACATACATACATACATTACATTACATTACATTACATACATACATACATACATACATACATACATACATACATACATACATACATACATACATACATACTTACTTACTTACATACATTACATACATACATATATACATTACTTACATACATACATACATACACACATACATACATACATACATTACATACATTACATTACATTACATTTCATTACATTACATTATATACATACATACATACACACATACACACACATACATACATACATACATACATAAATGCATACATTACATACATACATACATAACATGACATTACATTGCATGCATACATTACATACATTACATACATACATACATACATACATACATACATACATACATACATACCTACATACCTACATACATGCATACATGCATACATGCATACATGCATACATGCATACATATATATATACATACATGCATACATACATACGAGAGAGGGAGATTGGGGAGAGAGATGCTTGGGGGGATTGGGAGGATGGGGAGCAGAGGGAGGGAGAGAGGACGACAGAATACACAAGGGAGACAAGGGAGAGAGGAAGAAGGAGCCGGAGGCTCTCAAGTTTACATCTCAAGCCATCCAAAAAGGATCGCATCATGTGCTCTGCATGGGCCCACCTCTGGCTGTAAGAGACCCGTGACGCGCGCTGTTGTCTGGGGCCCTTCGGCCACGAAACACGGGGAAAATCACACCCCACTGGCTGCACCCAGATCCAGCTGGGAATGCATTTGTCCCTGCTCCCCTCAAGGCTCTGCAACAAACCACCCCACAAGGTCAAGTACCAGACTCGAGCAGCGATTCTCCCTAAATTGTAGGCAAGTTGCCAATTTCTTGGTGTGCTCTTGCACCAGTTAATAAGCTCCCACCTACTGGCATGGACTAGAACAAACTCTCCCTCGTCAGCCTGCAGTACCAGAAGTTGACAACGATGAAGCCAGGGGGAGAAGTGGAGCAATCCAGTGTAGCTGAGCTGGTGCTTCGATGTTTCTGACATGCGGCGATTCGGCGGCGATCTACGGCCTTCTGCCTGATGTCGCACGTGAAACCTTAGGCTCGTGAGGCTGGATGCTTTATTGGAGGATGTGTGGCCCAGCTGCGTGTGTACGTTCTGCGTTTCTATGCGCACGCGCGCGCGCGTGCTTATAGCCTGCGTGCAAAAGCACGCGCGCGTCACGTTGACATCCCAAGGTTCCTCGCCCATGGTGTTAATTCTTAAACACACAACTTGGACCTCAGTGGGCGTGGGGAAAAAATAAGAGGCGGCTTTTCCGGATTTTCCCGCCGTCCGAGAAAAACCGACAAGGACACATTGGACACATTGGAATCCACCCACTGGAGGTCTGTGAGCAACATGGAAAGCCACTGGACACTGCGCGCGGCTGGAGCTTTGAGATGCCAAGTGCCGGGTGCAGTTGGAAGGGAGCCCAACACGGCGAAAAGCATACTTAAGGTCAGCTGATAAGTCTGGCCAAAAAAAGCGGGTCATTCAAACCAGCCCGCAAGCTTGGAGTAGGGCGCCCGGCGGCACTTGATTTCCTGTTGGCATCTTGTGGCCACAACAGGCAGCTTTCCACACTCACACCGCCGCCACACGAATTGGCTGCGTGCATCTGCACATGGGGCACTGGATGGAATGGCTTTGCCGAGCGCCATGCGAGAACCATTGCCTCAGCGGTTGCGCGCAGGAATCCTGCAACCAAGTCAACCCTTAAACGCTCCGCGGATTTGCGGACCCGGCAACGGGCACATGAAACGACGGGTGCACTTTAAATATCTGCAAATGGACCACCCCTGAAGTTAGCTGGCTTGTTTGTTCCCTTTTTTTCCCGTCACCAAAAACAGCGCGATTTTCCCAGCGTCTGATCTGGAATTGAACGGGCTTGTCTCCAAACGGGGGAACTCACCAAATGCCCGTTCCAAGACCCAGCCGGCCAAGCTGCCGAATGCATTCGGAGTGAAAGCAGTGGTTGCAAACCAGCCGCTTTGCCGACTGCGCCGCGACAATGGCATCTAGGCAAACCTTGGGTCGCACTAGCAGGGGTAGCCTTTTCAGAGGCCCCACCCCAAGTCTGAGGATTGCTATTGGGGCTTCCCTTTAAGGCAAACAGGGGTGGCTTTTTCTCAGACCCCACCCCAAGCCTGAGGATTGAGGATTGGTTTTGTGTCAGAGGGGGAGGGGTTGGCTTATTGGGGCTTCCCTTGAAGGCAGACCAATCTTATCCCCCAACCCCGCCCGGCTCATCAATCCGGAGGGCCAAATCCCTTCCTTCATGGGAGCTCTAGCTTCGCAAGCTGCACGTGATTTGTGCTGTTTTGTTTTTTTTGTTTGTTCTCCGAAAGGTCCTTGCCCCGTGCCGTGGAAACGGGTGCGTTCACATCTCCTCGAAACGCACAGGAAAAGCAAATCCGCAATGTTTATGATCGTGGGGTTATCAGTAACTGTCACCCTGAATCCCAGTGGCCATTGGGGAAACAGAGAAACACTTCTTTTTTCGGTTGGTCTGACTTTGAAGGAAAACCCTTCCCCAAAACAGGAACCTGACAACACGCCGAGCAGCCAGGCAAATCACCTCATCTGTCACGTCGACCTCACATGCGAGTACCTCCATTTTCAGACGACGATCAGGCGCTGCCTTGAGAGTACTCCGCGTGCAGAAAGTCTCCCGCAGATACATGAACACAAGACAGGTCCATATCACCGCGAGGGCGATGTACATCGCCTCCGGGTAAAGCCCCGACATTTTGCATGCCGAGCTGTCGATACCCGCTGGGAGCCAAAGGTGCGGCATGAAGCCAGCCGCTCCAAATGAAAGATCGTTTGCAGGATAATACGGGCCACCTTTGCCCGAAATCTTGTTTGCCAGAAGAGGAGCGCCTGTCTGGTGGTGGGCGTTGCGATTGTTTCCTTCACAAAATGACAAGATACTCTCCCTGTCTCTCTTTGTCCACCTCTCGGTCTCGCTATCTTTGTGTTGTGTCTGCGTTGGCGTTGTCTGGGCAGGCGAGCGCGTGCGTGTGTGCGCTCGCGTACGTATCAGGCGTAGATACAAATCCGCCTTTGCCAGATCAAGCCTCAAGCTAAGCGCAGTTTGCGAATGCACAATCTGAAAGCTGCGCTGTAAACAATACGCGTGTTCAGTTCATAGAACAAGCAGGATGTACTACGAAGAAACAAAAATTCCCTGCAAATCTGCTACTTTTTGCCTTTCTTACAGGCTGCTTCCAGGTCGACAAGCATCAACCTCTCCAAACATACAAGCAACACAACCAGATGCACACGATCAATTAGTAGCCTCGAGGAAGCCAACAAAAGAACAACGACAAATGCGAGCAACTAAACCTTGATCCTGAACATGTGCTTAGATCAGTTGTGTGTGCTAAGTCTTCCTTGTCCTGACTCTGTGTAAGCCCCTGTGCTGTATGCAACGGGTTTCTCATGCTCTCTGGGCTTGCGAAGCGATAAGGCCCGAGAGTGTGACTAAGAGGACACCTTGGAGAGGAATGTGCAAACGCAGCAAGTTCAGACGCAATGATGCGCGCAACTTCTTTCTCAAAAATGACACAACACATTGCTGCATGGATGCTACAAAAGCAACAAGCCGAAAAAAAAACACGTGTCTTGGCCGCCAAAGGCGTGTGTTGCTCATAGACAAAACAAGCCCCGCCTTTGGCCGGACGCTTCGTGTGCGTGACACGCACAAGCACCGCCGCGGCTGCCGCACCACCGGCCCTGCGCACCGATGGGCTGGCTCATTCGCCCCCTGGTTGTCTAGATCCTCCAGTGGAGAGGATAGAGGTTAGTGTACCCGATGTTTGTTCCCCCCAGTCAATTTTAGGCGAACCCTCCCCCAAAACAGGGTAAAAGGGCACTACTGGGGGACCTAGTTGTATAAACTCAGTTGCCCAAAGGACCTTTTGGGCGCTAGAGGGTGACTAAAAATGGACCCAGGGGACACCAAAAGGTCAACAGGTCGATTCGCTTTGGGCAAGTATGGCAAGACAGTGCTCATTGGCACCCTGATTGATGGCGCTCAGGAGAGCTGGTCATTGAAGCATACCTCTCTGACCGATGCATTCCAGCATGAAGCGGCAACTTCCATTTGCTTAAGCCCTCTGAAAGAATGAACATATTTCCAGTAGTGATAGATTCCCTTTAAAACTAACAGGGGAACAAATATTAAGCAAATGGAAGGCAAGCGTATCAGTATGCCTCACCTTGCTGCATTGTTCAGCAACACGCCATGGCCCAGCTGGGCCACTTGCGGCAGCTACGCTGCGATTTGCTGCAGTTTGTTTCCCGCACAAGGGACGCTTGTGGAGTCAGGAGGGTCAAGGGGAGCGTGTGACAGAAGCAGCAGCCCAAGAAAGGGCTTCAAGCCGCCTTGAGTGCCAAAACCAAACAAGCTTTGCAGGTCATAAGGTCTAAGTTGCACCATGCCAGCGCTGGAGGTCTCCGATGAATCATTGACTCACGGACCCGGACAGACTTCAGACTGCCAGGCAGGGTCTTCTTTTCCCGCGGGGATGACAAACAAATTCCGTGCGATTTCCCCAAGGCGTTCCCAAAAGGCGGCAGGCCCTGAAGTGGCACAGCGCCTGGCCGCAGCCATCAGGTGGCATCAGCTGGAAGTGGATGCTGCTGGCTGCTGTCAGTTGGCTGATCGTTCATACCTAGTGGTTTCTGAGGAGGCAACCAAAAAGACATTTTGGTGGTTCAAGATGGACTAAACTTCGATCACTCCAACCGGAAGGAGGAAGGCTGCAAAGCTGAGAAGGCTTCATATGCCGGATCGGCAGGGTGCTCCAACCAGTTTTGCCGGAGCCAGCCAACCTGGCCAACGATGAGGCGAAATCCAGTGACCCCAGGAAAAACGAACCAAAAGCTAAAACCGCTCCAGTCTCTGCAGCTCCGCATTATTGAGGTGCTGGCTTGATGCTAAGACATGGAGCGGATTGTTTACGCCCAGCTTGCTACCAGCTCTAGCCATCCCTTGCGGACCAATGGCGCGAGACCTTGAGCATCCCAGCATCCTTGAGATGAGCACCGATGGCGACGGCCGATTCATGACGATAGGTTTCTGTGATATGACGACCAATGCGTGTGCGCTCTGTTTTTGAACTTATGTTGCAGCGCCCTTGGCTCCTTGGCTACCCTTCCTCCAACCAACATGGCACCTGTGGGGAGGTATCTGGAAGATGAATTTCTTTTTGAAGGGGACTGTCAGTTGCCATGTTAGTCGGACGGAGGTTGCAACTCTCAGTTGCAGTGACCATGCAATCAGTGATTCAAGCTGAAACCAAAAACCGAAACCCCGAAAACCAGCTCCTGCATTCGCCTGCAATCGCGTCTACGCCACCCTGGCTATCCACCGCAGAAACCGGAAACTTGGGCTTCAGTCATGCAACTGGGTGGTCCGAATCACTTTGGAGCTTAACCACCTCTAAATAGTGGAACATGCTGCAGACTTCTGAGACGCGTTGGAAAAGGGAGAATTGCCACGAACTGTGCGCAACTCCTTCTGAATCCTTCTGAAACATCACCACGCAAAGCGCTCACTTTGATCTTTCGATACAGGAATGTTAAATGCACATAGGCTGTATGCTACCCCCCCTCCTCGACAAACAAATCCGTTCGCACCATAGTCCCGCACGATGCCCATGCCAGAAACCTGCTGCATGCTAGGCTTCATAGAAACAGGCGGTCGCAGCCCGAAGGAATCGCAGGGTGCCCCTTTTCACGCCCCTTTTCTTGGTTGCTGCAAAGGCCCCCTGCAAAAAGTAAAAAAACATGGGGGTTTAGTGGCAAACCCCTTGATTTCCCAAAAAGTTAAAGTCTAACGATCCAACCCAATAGCAGTCAAGTTTTCTGACCCCTTTTATCAGTGTCCTTCGACTTCGACTCTCTGTGGCTCCAAAAACTCCAAACCTGCCAAAGCAGGCAGGTACTCGCCCGGGCTCAACTCTGGAGGCCTTTACGTCGCCCCGAACTAAACTCTGGAAGAACTCTGGCGGGCCAATCCATCTAAGGAACCGCCACGAGCACACGTGCGATCCCTTTTTGCCCCTACAGCTCGCTGCGGCGCCTGGAAAACACCTGGCCGGAGCTCAACAAAAAGGAGAAAAAATACCAGTGGGTCAATCTCCTGGTTTTCGGATTGATCGGTGCAGTTTGTCGACAAAGCTCAGCGCTTTGGATTCCATGGTCGCTCCAGAAAAACTGGGCTCTTGCGAGATCGACATTTTGCGCTGGAGCAGAGGCACTTCTGGGCAGTAGAATCATGAATTGGCCGCCCGGAAATGGAATGCTGTACGAAGCCGCCTATTTGGGCTTTCAAACGTGAAACCAGTTTGTGATTGTCATTGTTGGGCGTCGATCGTCGGTCAGTTGTAAAACATATTTTGCTTGACCCTCCGCGTCCCCAAATGTTGCATGTGTCTGTGGACGAAAGTAAATAGGCAATTCAAAGAGGAAGGAGGCCTGATCACGCACAGCAAAACAACACACAACCAAATAAACGATGTGCTAAGCATGTGTCCCCCCAAAAAATGATTCCACGTCCTTTCGATGCTCTTTCCAAACTTGATCAACACTTAGTCAAACATAGGGTCCCCCCCCCACAAATTCATCAGATCTCGGGCCCACACCTGGCCTTGCAACCAACTGTTCAGCCGGATGGATCCCAAGGGCATCGATGGGTTTCTTGTTTGTTTGTTTGTTTGTTTGTTTGTTTGTTTGTTTGTCTGTTTGTTTTTTCTCCTTTTCCGGTGCGACGCAAGAAAACCGGCTTTTGAAGCAAAAGGGTTGGTCGCTGTGTTGCTTGCCGCTGTCACATGCTGAGTCAGCTCCGATTCAAACATCGACGTCGCGAGGCAGGACACGCAGGGGCATGGTCCAACTTGAATTGCCAACCAGGTTTGTAAGAAGCCTCCCTGAAAGTACCCAAAACAAAAAGTTGGTGTTGGGATGGAACCAAAGTGAACCTAAACAAATGAGCCTCGAGATCTCTAGACACCAATTTGACGGTCGCCAGGTTTGAAAAACGAAAAAAATGAGGCGATGTCCTAAGAGAAAAGTCGAGTTCAACATGGCCTCCTCGACCGGCTGTTCAAAGAGTAACTTGAAACAACAGCACCTGGCCAAACCGCCAATTAGGAAGAGTTTCGCACAAAGTAAAGAGAACAACACGGCAAAAGCTCCAAGCTCCAGGAAAGCCTCTCAAAATTCAGCCAAAGGCCCGCCTGAAAAGCCGCCTGAATGCCAAGTCCCCCAAGGTTAAGGGACTAAATTTGGATACCCTCTCACCAACCAACATGGAAGTGCAAAAAGGTCCTTTCCAACAGGAACGTCGTCTTTCTACAGGGGTCTGTGCACAAACCCATGTTAATTCGCTGGTGGGAGGGTATCCCCAGCTGAGCTCTGTTCCAACCCCCGGTTCGCTGCCCTTTGACCTGCGCAGCTGCGGCCCAGCGCGACTGCTCTGCATCGCTGGCCCAGCGCGACTGCTCCGCATCGCTGGCGCCGAAGAACGCGCGCAGGCCTCGGAAAGACCCGTGGGATGACGCGGGAAGGGAGATGCAAGAGGTGGAACGCGCAGCAACAAGTGAGTCACGATCAAAACATGGCATTCAATCAGGCTACCCAAAACCAGGTAAGAACTAAGAAGGCGGAATTCCGCACCCATTTGTGGTTGGGCTTGCCCCTTACTACCCTCCAAATAGCCGGGTTCTGACTGTGACTCATTTGAGCAGGGCTAAAACAAAGAGCAGGTGGACAAGCAAGCGTCGCAATTGCAAAGCCGGCCTTAGAACCCATGGAATCTCAACGGGCAAGGCATCTTTCCGCCAATAACTCAACATAGTCTAACAAAACCCCGGAGCGCACAAATCAGGGCCTCTAAATCTCTCTATATCCCCCTTAAGCATCACCCAAGAGGAAACTCACCCAGCGATGCCCACCTTCAGTATTTTAAGCATCTTCAATGATATATTTCCAAACTTTTAGTGCAGCCCCAGGCAAGTTCACGGGGTAACCCGCCTGAAAGTTGACATAACCAACATTTGTAGTGGGACCTCCTTTCAGAAACACAAAGCGGTGTCCCCAGCGCGTCTATTCTTTTTTGCGGTTGGGATACTTCGCAGATCACACAGAAGCAGGCAACTCATTCCCTCAGTGCTGTCAGACGCGTATGAGGCTGAGAGCAGTCCAGCCCAGAAAAGCTCCAGGAAACTGAGACACAAGAACAGCAAAACCAAGACACCAAAAACCTCGAGGAAACCAAGAGAACACAAACAAAAAAAAGAAGCACAAGACAAACCGCGAGCACCAAAACAAAACAAAGGTTTCAGGGAAATGCCCAAGTCCCAAGCTGAGAACATTCTGCCGACGGTTTCTGAGGGCACACTAGGGGTAAGAACATAGTACAAGAATAGGGGAATGCTAGGGAAATATTAAGGGAATAATGAGGAAGTATCAAGGAATAATAAAGGAATTCTAAAGGAATATTAAAATATTACCAAGATAATACTAGGGAAAACGAGGGAAACACGAGGGGGGTTGTAGGGGAATACTAGGGGGAATGCAAAGGGGAATGCTGGGAGAGTACTAGGGGAATATCAGGGAGAATACTAGGGGCATACCAAGATAATACTATGGAATACTAGCAGAATACTAATACTCGATTACTAAGAAGAATGCTGGGAGAATATTCAGGAAATACCAGGGAAGTACGAAGGGTGAATACTAGGAAAATACTGAGAGAATACTTGGGGAGTACTAAGGGAATACTAGGGGAGCACTGAGGGAATACTAGAGGGCATGCCAAGAAAAAATAAATGCATACTAGGCGAATACCGAGGGGATAACAGGGGACTACTAGGGGAATACTAGGGGAATACTAGGGAATCACGAGGGAGTGGTTGGAGAATATAGATTACTAGAAAACGGGGGAGATGACAAATGATTGTAGTGGATGACTCCCAAAGAACCTGTTTGGAGAAGCCACTGTTCCCAGCAAGACGTTCTTCGCTTTTTTTGGGGTTTGTTTTTGCAGTGGTTTATTTGATTCACACAGTGCTGGGGGCACTGCCCTCTCTTCAGAGAACCCTTTGCTACGTTTTGGTGTGAACGCAGAAGACCCTGGACTTCCCTTCCGAAGTGTCAACTCATGGATCAGTTTCAACCGAACAGCCATGGAAGGGACACCACGAAAGGAAACATAGGGGACCAGGGCCGTGGGAAATGACCACTTCTGTGATACAACAGGAAGGGCTTCCCAAAGACTAACGGTGGTTTTCTGTTTCGCGGAATTGTTTTCCAGATTTTTGGGGTATTTTTCCAGTTTCTTTTTCTAGACACTTGCACTGCAGATCTTCTCCGCCTTCTTCTGGATCACCCCAGGTCACAACAGTCCCAGATGCAAGAATGACAGCAAAAGCACGCTCAGCTGTGTGAATGTGCTGGACACTCCCCAGCTTCTCTTGCACTTTGCAGCTGTCTCCTCCCATGTCTGAACGACCCCAGGTGACAACCTCGCCTCCGTGGACGTGCCAAACGAATGCCTTGTAGGTGGCTGCCAATGTGCCCGGCTGCGCAACCGCGTCCACCACATCCCCATTTCGCAACCCGGCTTGCATGCTTGCTTGCTTGCTTGCTTAAAAATGTTTGTTTGCATGCTTGCTTGCTTGCTTGCTTGCTTGCTTGCTGGCTTGCTTCCTTGTTTGCCTGCTTGCTTGCATGCTTGCTTGCTTTGCTTGCTTGCTTGCTTGCCTGCTTGCATGCTTGCTTGCTTGCTTGCTTGCTTGCTTGCTGGCTTGCTTCCTTGCTTGCATGCTTGCTTGCTTGCTTTGCTTGCTTGCTTGCCTGTTTGCATGCTTGCTTGCTGGCTGGCTTGCTTCTGCGTTTGCTTGCTTGCTTGCTTGCGTGCTTGGTTGCCAACTTGCTCCAAATGCTTGCTTGCTGGCTTGCTGGCTTGCTTGCTTGCTTCCTTGCTTTGCCTACTTGCTTGCTTGCTTGCTAGCAAGCCCTCGGTTACGGCTAACCCCTTGCTTGCTTCCTTGCTGGTCTAACTAGAAAAAATACGCCGAAAAACCGGAACAAAAATCCCCAGATTCGCTTGCATCGTAGACAGAAGTGGGGGATGATCCCTTGATCCTGCGACCTTAGGTCTGAGGGTTTTTGTCTTACACCCTTGGGGAAAAAAACTTAGACTAGGAGACTTACACCCAGACTCGGTGGCTAAGCATAGCCCACGTCCCGCCAGGCCACGGTGAAGGCGCGGCGTGGATCGCGGCACCAGGTCGTAGCGCAGGAAGTGCGCTGAACTGGGAAAGCTGCCTGCAGCTTTCCCGTCGGGGGTGTCTGGTTTTGAGTGGCCAGTGGTCATGAAATTGGCGTAAAAGACCCATGTCCAGATCTGTTTCTGGGTGGGATGGTTTGAATTTGCAAATCCAGAGCTCGGAATTGCTTTTTGAAGGGGCAATTGATTTATGCCAACGGGAAAACACAGAAAACTCCTCATGTGCGGGGGTCTCCTCTCATGGTCCCGAGATGTGGCCCCTACGAAAACGAGTCTTGGCCTCAATCCTGGGGACTTCGCACTGCAAAGAGGACAAAATCCTTTCGTAATCCAAGGATCTTGCGGATTCAACAGCCCAACCGCTCAGTCCCTCATGCTTGGATCGTTGGGTCTCGCCTTGTGCCCGTGGACTAAGGTTTGGACTTGATGCCCGGTGAGGCAACACGTGGCTAAACCCTGACCCGCAATGGAAACACGTGCTAACCAACATTCACCGGCAAGAGTGGATAAAAGAAACCTAGTATTTGGCTTCCCTATCTATGGGGGACCAGGGTCTGGTTGAAATTGAACCATGTTTTCATGTCTGCCCAATCCTGGCTCCAAATCCAACATGACCCTCCAAACCCTCTTTTGCCCTTGGCTTAAAAGAAGTGACTTCCCCCAAGTCCCCCTCTTCCTCCCCATTCGTTCTCATTTGGCTTGGCAAGCTGCGCCGCACCAAGTTGGCATCGAAGATCACCACACTACCAGCTGCCAAATAGCCTTGGGAGGCGGTCTGCGGTCTGAGAGCACGTCGTGTCCCACTCAAACCCAACCACCCATGCCCGCTTGACAGGAGTTGAATCGGCTATTTGCATGAAAACCCAAGCGGCTAACCACCCAACTTGGTCCAGCATCCAAGAGGAAGTCCTCAACATGCTTGGCCTTCTAAGTGGTCCACGCAAGTTGCTTTGCACATTCCGGCGTGACTGACACCCGGAACGGCATGTCCTTCTGCATGTTACAAGCCAAAGAAGTGTTGGCAGTCGCGCATGTCGTGCATTCGGATAACTCCGTGTGGCGATCCTTCGCGAAGAAACGTCGCAAAGGTTGACGGACCGAGGTCCCTGTTTTACCCCCCGAAAACATATAACTTACCAGTGTCTTCTTTTGAGGGTAGCCATTTGAGGCTGTTTTAAAGGGAAGCGGAAAAAAAGAGAAAAAAACAAACCGAAGCTTTTGGAAGTATGCCTCTATTTTCCAGTAGTGCTAGATTTCCCTTGCAAACCAACGGGGGAAATCGTTGAAGGCACCCTGTTGCTGCCTTTTAAGCGCAAAAAAAAAACGGGAGAGACGCTCGCTTTCGCCTGCCCAGGCTTCAAGCCTGGCACACCGAGCCACGCGCAGAGTAGCCGTCCCGAACCCTCAGGCGCTCCCCAATGGTGACGCCGCCGCCTCGGTGGGCAAAGCTGAACAAAGCCAACATGTGACGATCATAATGCCTCCATTTTGGGGATGAACACCCATGTGCCAACTATTTTGATGTTCACCAGGGGTACAGGGTTTTGACAGCCATGTACCAGCCTAAAACCAGCAACCAACAAACTGTGGAAATGGCGTTCGGACAATGCAACTAAGAAACAAGAAAACAAAGAAGCAAGCAAATTCACACAAACCGACAAACTGATAAAACCAAGCAGCCAACACACAAACAAGCAAACAAACAAACAAACAAGCAAACAAGCAAACAAGCAAACAAGCAAACAAGCAAACAAGCAAACAAAGAAAGCAAGAAACAAAACCACAAACGAACACACTATCACACAATTCAAGAAACAATCCACGGTTGCTTTGCAGGCTGCAAATGCCCTCAACTACCAATCAGTTTTGTGTTTCAACAGCCCAACCCTGCTTCTCAACGCGTTGTAATTTCTTTGCATTTCGCCTTGTCTCAATAATTTGGGAGTAGACAGCCTTGGGGCCATTTGGCCCTTCCATTAGCACATTGAAGCGTGAAACGCAATTGCACGCGGGCCGCTCTTTGGGAATGATGAGATGTTCTTCAGGAAAAAAAAGATCCAGCCAAGCTGACTCACACCCTCTCTTCATCTCTTCGTCAACCAGGGCTTTATCAATCTCGGATTCCATCAATGTTGACCCATATTAATCAACCTCAAATTATCAATAGGGGGTGTCCATGGGTTTAGCAGGAATCATCAATTTGCTGGGGAACACCGGAAACCCCCCATATTGATAAACTGGGGGTTAGTTGTCAACAATACTACAATGCGCCTTTATGCCCTCGTCTGCTACGAGTGACGCGCTTCGCGGAATCGCCGAAGTGGTACCCTCGTAAATCAACATGGAACCCGAAAAACCACTTTTAGTGGAATCTCCTTTTAGGGACCCCTTTTGGGATGGCTCAGAAGGCGAGGCGCAAAAGCTGCTCCTGGCATCGGAGGCAAAGCCTGGGTGCTTCTCATGCGGAATGAAGGCGAGAACAGGTGAGGTCCTCGGCAGGATGTGCCCAAAAGGTGCAGAGAAGGAAATCTCAGTTGTTCAGTGACCCTGGAAAAAAGGGAGAGCCCTTTTTGGGGAAGACCATTTTTAGTGGGGCAGAACAACTGAGAAATCTAGCTCAGCGTTTGCCTGTCTGGGCTGTCCTCAGATCCCCCGCCAAAAGCTTCACTTTGAGTGGATATGGACATCCCCACTAAAACACAAAAAAAAAACAAAAGCTAAGGCGATGCCTGGGAAGCACCAAGCTGTTTGATGGTCCATGCGCAGGCCTCGTGTGCTAGCACTTGGTGTAACTACAGCTGGCATGCCACGGCAACCCCTTTCTTGGAAAGGGAAGGCCTTGGGCAGGGCCAATTCCAGTCCCTCAAGAATAGATTCATGTCAAAGGCCGAGAAAGATGCTCCAGATATGGCGTCTCCAAACTGGCAAGCCGCAGGAATGCATTCATTCCGATTCTCTGTAAAGCGCCCCTCCTCAAAAGGACGCATGTACCTGTATGAGAGCTTTCTTTTCGTTTGCGCAGGAAGTTCTTGCTTCCCTCAACAAAGCAGGGGTATTCCTTGCGGGAACTAGCCACGTTGACAGATCTGTAAACAAGACAAACATGGATGAGGAATATAAGTCAATATTCACAGCACCCTGGTAGTTCAGAAGTTCAGGAGCCTAAACCAAAAGCAAAGAGCTAACAGGGATATGCGCACCTATTTCTGCTTAAGACCGTCCCCTACTGACTTTCATCTACCGGATTCGACTGTGTGGGCGCAGGGCTCAAACAAATGGATGCGCGTTGACGGCGCCCGGACCGAAGTAACCTGATATTTGTGTTGCAGCCAGCTCTCCCATTCAAGCATGTCTAGTACCTTGGATATCCCCAACAGGCACAAAGAGCTGGAGACATCCATGCTGTGGCCGGAGCGGCTTCGCAGTGGCCAGCACAAAGCAGTTTGGATTCTCAAATGGGTGACCTTGATCGTCGGTATATTATATGCGCTGCCTTGGGATGCACCCTGCGAAGGCTATCCTCACCAATAAGTTCGGCTGAGCGGCACGGACTGCAATGCCACCAGCACCTAAGCTGTCGTAGTTTGGATAATGACTCCCTTCCAGGGGAAAGTGTGCACATTGCAGGGAATGCAAGTCTTGGCCAACTGCAACTTGACCTTCTTCTGTTGTTTACCATCTTCCCCTCGTAAAGCACTGCTTGCCATGGCCAAAATTTTGAGGGTGGCAACCACGTCTGCTTGACAAACCTGCCGGGAACCAGTCCCAACAGCTGTCAGAGGGGACACTTGGCAAACCTCTATACAAACGGCCATTTGGGAGCCAGGACTGCGAATATATCCCAGATGAAGAGCCAAACGGTCCAAAGTTAGAAGTCAAGTCAGAGTCAAACAACCGAACAGGCGCGGTGTAATCATACGTTTTGGCCAGGTGCCAAAAACGCCTGGCAAGGCAAGGGAAGAAATTGAATGCGTGTCACCAAGCACGCTGAGCCTCCATCAAAGACCAACCATCCGGCTGCTCTTATTGACCCACTGCGCAGTAGCCATATGCTTGGTGGATTGTCTCGTGCACATCAGCATGTAGCCCCAAGAAAAGGGGGTCCATGTGGATGTTCCTCTGCAGGGTGCGCAAAAGAACTAAGCCAGGTCGCCACATAATGATTCATGGTGATGATGTCAGGCCCATGCCACATCTCCTCCTCACTGGCCTGAAGCCCGGGCCAAAGTGTACTCGGTTGCCTTCTGCTCCCCTGCTAAAAGTTTAACTTTGAGTGGCTTAATAGAAAACCCAGTAGTTGGCAAAAAGTTAAAGTTCTAACATCCAAGTAAAATGCGACAAAGTGTACAACTCGTTGAGGCCACGAGAGGGGAGTCTTGCGGAGGTGTCCCTACAAGTTCGATCGGAGGTCCCCCTCACTTTGACATAGAACAGCAACCACTTCACTGCATCCATGCTTTCCGGCACATTGTGCACACATGCGGCAATTTGCGGGTCCGGGTTTGCAACTGCTTCCGCGGAGAACAAAGTGCCTTGCACTGCAAGGAAAAGGGCCACTGGCGGTTGTTGCTGTGGAATGGCGCATTCCCCCCCCCCTCCCATGCGCACACGCGCACAAACAGCATGGCATGACCACACACACACACACATGCGCGCGCTGCTTCCAAGCTGACCCCTTCAAGGGACCAAAAGTCTCCCCATCCAAAATGATCATTTAAACAGTTGCGGGATTCCACATGGTTGGCGCCACATCCCCCAATGGCACAACTACAAATGCTTTCGTTCAACAAACACGTCCCCCCTTTTTCGGTTTCGTTTTGGACAACTGCGGAAAAAGGATGCAGCACAAGACCTGCCGATGAGCCTTCATGCACATGTCGCACTGCACTAACAAGGCCTCCTCTCAAGTTCCAACGTCCGCTTGGGGGGCAGAATCCCAAACCAGTCGGTCTCACTTGGCTGTTCGATAGCCCTTTATGAAACTTGGCTGGAATAAGGACCCCAGCAAAAAATATTTGCCTGGTAGTGGAAAACAAAGGGAACCCCAAAAAAGCAAAAAAGCAAAAAGGGCAGCTAATTCTGGGGAAGGAAAGTAAAGCCTTTAGTGGCAAGGAGTGGCATGTCAATCCCAAGCTCTTAAAATGGGAAGTCGGCATGGCGATCGCTGATTGCTCCTGGGATGGAAATGGGATGGTCCAACGGCAGAAGACCAGAGACCAAGGCCGACCACTTTTTTTCCACACGCGCGCAAGGCCCCAGGCTTGTTCAAAGAAACTCTGGCTGGTTTGCTTTCAAGGCGGCCAGGTTCTGCTTGAAGCAAATCTTGCCCAACCCTGGCCAGACACTGGAACACACAAGTTCCCTCACATTCTTGAGGTGGTTATGGGAAAACTGACAAGATGTCTTTTGCACCCACCTGAAGCCCCGCAGCTTCTGGCTTCGCCATGAAAGCCTGGTGAAACACATGACATCTCTGCCCAAACGTTGACTTGACTGGCCGGAGAAGCTTAACTTTCTGGGCCCCGCGGAAAACCCCAACAGAAACCGAACAGTTTGCCAACTGAACCGTGCTCTAAGGAAACCTTGTAAATCCAACCCCAAGTGAATGTCCGACAACCTGCCTCCTGGCAGACCAGTCGTAAGCTGACCAGGTCGCAGCCTGAGATCGATCAGGAAAGGTTCAGTAACCCAAGACCAAAAAAAAACCAAAGGGTCCTGCCAAAGGGGGAGCTCAAAGGGACCGGACCGCTCTGGAAGGTGGAGGGGATTCCAAATATGTCTCCAGAGCGTTCGCCGCTGGTTACATGGTGAGTTGCAGATTTCTGATAAACTCGCTTCCTGATCCTAAACGACTGCTACGAATTAGACCCATTCCCTGCTGGTTCAGTGGCTGCAGAAACCTCCAAAGTCTCATTTGCCCGCTGGTGAATGGTAAAACGGAGCTCATCCCTCAACTTGCTGGCTCTGGGTAGGGAATCAACAGGACAATTGGGAATGAAGCTCGGGCTCCCGTGAAAGGAAACCACCAGGGATGGGAAGTTATAGGCGTCATTGTCTTATTCCCTGGGGGCCAGCAAGTAAAAGCCAGCCACTGAAAAATGGATTCGTCATTTATCCACCCAGAGCCACATGCCGAGAGATCCATATGCTGAGCTGCTGGCATTCGCTCGGCTGCATGGCTGCCTGGCATGGGCCCCTTAGGCGGCCCATCCAACCACGAATCTACATCGAGATACATCGAGTAAACGGGATGGCTCCATATTCAGCAAGTCCCACGGATTCGCTGGGTTAAGTCTACTTGATCCGAGGCTCGCAGGGAGGCTGCTTGCTGTGGCCTCCATCCATTCACTGTACCTTCAAACGGGCGACCCTTACTATGCTTGGTTGACCCAACCTCTCTTGAAAGACTTGTTTGGGCCCCTGGAAGGCTTACATAACATTGCTGTCCTCTTGTGGCAAACGTTCGCCTTCGTTGTTGCTCGAAGTGTTTGCTGGTTCCGCCAAAGAGCGCCCATCTTGGACAATCCCCACCACCCCCAATCAAACGACCCAAAGGACCCGTAAACAAAAAAAGCTACTCGTTTGGAACCCTGACTAAATATGAGCAACTTAGTCGCAAGCTCCGTTGTAGTCCGAGTTTTTGTGTGTCTGTGTCTAGGGGCGCCCCAAAATTGTGGATTCTTCTTCTTGAAAACCATTGAAAAAAAGGGCAACCCTTAAAGAAGACGCCCAGAAAACAGCTTGCCTCCTATTGATGGTTTGGATTGGTGATTTGGTGGTTCCCATTAGCCCTCTACAAGAATCCGGCGTTCAACCCCCAAACCAATCCAAACCACCAACCTCACAGGATACCTAAATACGTAGCATGTTCCTCTTGCAGGGACCCCTGTCTTCCATTTGGCTAATAATTACCCTGGAAACAAACATTTCCAGTTGTAATAGATTCCCAAAAAAAAGCACAAAAACAGTGGAAAACAATCTTAAGCAAATGAAAGTTGGTGGGAGGGCCATTCTTTTGCCCTTTGGTGCCCATGCCAATTGCAAGCTGTCAGGTGCCATGGCAAACAGGCAGGGGACTACCCGAGCTGAGCCCCGCCCATTCCCCTCGGAAGCCGTGGCTTTGATCGCCGCCTCCAGCAAGTCCCAGAGCTGGGGCTTGGGCGCCGTGAAGGGCAAGGACCTGAACCCCACCCCAAACAAACATATACGTATGTATTACATGTATACACACACACATATATATATATATATCATATGTGTTTCTTTATATCTCTCCTCTATCTACCTACCTCTCGACCCCAACTAAAGGAGGAAAAGCACAGAACCAAAACCTCAACCTTGAGAAATGGGATGCCGACCTGAAGGACCTACATCATGGCGAGCGGGTTTTGCCACCTTGTGAGCTCGCCAGAAAACAGGGAGAACCATGCGTTGACAAGATGTCCTCCCCTCCTCACAGTTTCCAGACTCAGGGGGGCTCAGCATTCTATGAGGTATCTGACGCTCTCCTGAGTTGTTCCAGGGTCGACTGGTAAGGCAATTTCTAACTACCTGTAGTCCTTCACCAAACTGAAGAAGACACCAAACTGAACGAACATAGTCTAACGTTGACCGGAGGAGTAACGAGAGTAGCTACATGTCCAAGTCAGTTGCCTTCGGCTCCATCCGGACCAACGGGGTCGCTTTCTCAGTGAAATGGATCTCAACGGGCTTCGTCTGATTTGCAATCCGAAGTAAACACGAATTGAGCTGGGTCTCTCAAAATGCCCGAATCCGAATCCGCAAGAAGCCATATGGCGCAAGAAAAGGTTTGCTTTAGAACCACTGGACAACTATCCAATTTAAGGACCTTGCTTGCTGCTTCTCGGCAGGGAGTGAGGGAATGACCCCATAAACCATCCACCATGGCTTCCTTTGAGGGAGTCCCAAAACGGTTCGCGACCGGCTTCCCAGGGCCGCAGCTTGGCGAGCGGACCCGCGTGCGGCGCTGACACCTCCTGCGGATTTTTCTTGGGCGAGAGCGCGGCAAAGCGACGCGCGAGCGCGCCCAGGGACGGAGAAAAAACCCAAGGATTCGGGGTCCAAAATCAAAGCTGGGTTCAAAAGCCAATGAAAGGCCCGAAGACGAGCAAAAGCCAGGGGTTGTAAAAGGGGATCGATCCCCAATGAGGGACATTTGTTTGATGATAAGCCCAACGTCATGGTTGCTGTTGACCCCCCTGCAAAAAGTTGAACTTTTTGGAGGTTGAGTGGAAAACCCCTTGATTTCAACCAACAAGTTAAAGTCTAAAGATCCGTTACCCAACCGACAGCGCCGAGCTACTGTGCAGTTGCCGCGCTGGACGTGTGACAGCACGTCGATGACCTCATTGGTCAGTGCGGGGAGCGGTCTTCCAAGTCCACAGCCTACGAGTAGTTACAGTCAAAGGGCCAACAAGCATGCAAGCAAGCAATCAAACAAACAACCAACATATCAAAACCCAAAGCTAAAGAGTCATAGTACGTCTCTATGTGTTGAGCGGAAATGGCTGAATGTGACTGAGAAAATGAAAATAAGAAGCCCGAAGCAGTACCTCGGCGTGTTAGTTCTGTCTGTGCTGGCCATGCCTTGTGCTCTCTTGACATTGGCGCCGCGCGTAGTCTTCAGCTAGCAGGCCCGGAAGAATGTGGAGGTAGCCTGGCACGCGTCGACACTTGCTTGGTGCTTGGCTAACAATGCCATACAATGCCACTGTCTTTTTTGCTTTCTCCGCAATCAACCTACAGAGACCGAAGGCTTTTTGGCCCCGCAATTTTGTGCGAATTCATGCTAGCTACTAGCTGCGCAAAGCCTCATCTACTAGGCCTAGGCCAAAAAACAAAAACATGTAGCAGGGTTGGGCAAAGCAACCAGGCCCAGAGCCTTCAAAGGGGCCCCTGCAAAGGAGCTTGCTTAAGCAATGGCTGTTTCAACGGCTGGTCCAATCCTTCGATCCTTGCGGCTGGCACACGTCGTCAGAGGAAACCAAGCAGGCCTCACTTGAATGGATTGGCCAAACAAAGTCTGAACGTGTTCAACACCAGCATGGTCCCAAAACAACACGACCAACAACTGGGCAAGCGGTGTGTGTGTGTGTGTGTGCAAATCAGGGAACCACCCAACATGGTTGGTTTCTTTTTGGGTCCCCTTGAAAGCCGCTTCAGAGAGGGGTACCCTCAAAAAAAGACACACCCAGATGGCGCTGCACCCTGGCCCCCTTCCACCCCCAGCGCGCCACATTTGCGGAGCTCTGCAGCGTTGGCCTCATTGGGCGCGCGGGCGCCTGCGCAGGGCCGCTGCGCCTGAGGCAAACGCAGAAAGTCAGAGACTCGTCCTTGTCCAGGGATTGGAGTTGAAACTCAGAGGACATCAAGCATTTTGGAGATACAACGAATCCTGACCCAACCTCTGGTTGACTTTTGTTCTGGTGCAAGAAGGGTCTACAGAAACGGAACAGCCCTAAGGGTCCGATTCGATGTCCTTGAGTCGGCGTCTTTGAAACCATGGGGAACTACTGTTGGTTCGGCATTTACAGGGGAATCGAATCATTCCAGTGTTTCTTAGGTGGTGCAGGATGTCGTCCATCCACAGTGGAAAGCATCCAACACCACTTGCCTCACAATGGCTTGGATCCTTGAAACCACCTTGTACTTGAGTGATTCCCCAACAGTCTAACACTTGCATCCCCGAAGCATTTGACCTGGTTTTGGAAGGGGTGATCTTGCTAAAGCCGAGGACATCCATCCTTTAAGCCTCCTGGTTTCATGCGATTTCCTTTGCATAAGCAAGCATCTCCCCCGTACCGTGGGATTTTGTTTTGCATGTTTCAATAAATCGGGGAACTTCCCGTTGCATGAAGAGGGGCACGGGCTGGCTAGTTTGAATCAGCCTGGTGCGGGCACTTCAGCTTGTCAAGTTCCAATCATTTAGCCCGTGGATATACATTAAGTTCTCCATTTGCCCAGGAGCCACGGGATAAACAGGGGCGCTTGATGGATGTGAACCCCCTCCCTACGTGAATCAGGGGTGGGGACGTTGAGACCAAGTTGACGCCTGGCCGCATGGCCCTGACTACGACGAAGTGGACCAAACCCAAAGCTTGCCCAAGGCCATGGAATTGTTCAGTGACTTGTGACCCGTGACCCCAGCCAAAACTACGACGTTTCATTCAGGCCAAAATTCAGAGACTCCTCAAATTCAGATGCAACATGTCAAAAGAGATCTGAGAGATGACAGTATCAGACTCTGAGAAATGCAAAGCGCGTGTCCTTCGTGCGTGCTGGCCGGAAGTCTGAGCTTGGTGCTTGCCATGGGCCGAAACAATGCTTCCATTTGGTTAAGGCCCCTGAACAAATGAAAATATTTCCAGTAGTCATAGATCCCCTTTCAGGGGAAACTAACAAAATTGTCGTGTCAAGCCCAGAAGCTTTAACCAAACAACCAAATGGACGATCAAATCCAACCGGTCGCCTGGGCTCATGCCAGGGCTCACTCATTGCTTGCACATACTGGTTCTGAACCGCTTGAAAGCAGCTCGGTCTTGAGTCGAATCATGCTCATGCAAACCACAAGTACGCCATTGAATCAATGCCAATGGCACGCAGGAACGAACTCCCAGTCATACCGAGCGCGCTCACGCCAAAGAAAGCAAACCTATTTAGACATCATCTGCCAAAGAGTGATTTATCCAGAAAATCTCAGACACCCACCTCTATAGTAAAACGCGGCATCGGCACTTGCACGAAATCAATTGTTGAATAAGCTTAGAACACATTGGTTGCTCTACGTTCTTGCGACTGCACCCGGCAGTTTCATGCGTCACCGAATTGCCGAAGCAACATGCATGGATGACAAAAATAATGAAACTTATGCTCTAAGGTCCCCGATCGTATGACCTAAGTATGAGCTCAAAATAGCTCTAACACAAGCCATCTGTGAAAGCCCAGCACCCCACAAAACACGTCAATTGCAAGCCAACAAGTGAAAATCCTTCTTGCATATTAATACAGTACAGCAAGGGTACACGAGCTACACATGCTTCTTAGACACTGGCTTCTGCACGAACAAGCTCAAAGGATACATGAATCTGTCCCAATAACTGGGTGGGACATAAGCACTCTGGAAAATGGATAGTAGTCCAGCAACCCATTGGCCTTCCTTTCGTGAAACATCCAGCAGCGTTTGCTATTCTGCGCTCGCTTGCCCTTTTCCTGGGCTCATTTCACAACCAAGTTACCCTGTCACGCTGTTTCACTGTGCGCAAGTGCAAAACGGTTTTCCACTTTTTTGCTGTCCGCCTTCAGGCGGCGACTTGTAATGCCGCCTCAACTTGGTTGAAGGCGGAGTTCTGATTGGCGGCCACAGGCTCACAAGACTCTCTCTCGTTTGCGGTGAATTCCGCAAGAACTGAATACCAAACACAGGCGATTCTTTCGGAACACTACAGGTCCTTGGGGCTGGACTGAACCAAACCGCTAAAGCCTCTGGTGCCGCTTTGAGCCTTTGAACCTGTACTCCCGCGCTGGAGCTACAGCCAATGGTTTGTCAGTATCAATTCACAGAATTGGGCTGCAAAAGCTTGACTATATAATTGATTCTACATGAACGAAACCAATGAGGCAAACACACAAATCAAGGGCTATGTGAAAAGTTCGTGAACCAAGTTGCCAGTGACTCCGGTGTGAGACCCTTCCCACTCGGTTCGGAGTTGTGACGCACAAACCGTGTGGCCAACCACCCAATTTTGCCGACCCAATTTGCCTCGGCACGTACTTAGCAACAACTCCTGGAAAGGCGTAGCAAAATTACATTTGAAGTTCAACCGGCTCGTTGGTCGTAGGCGTGAAAAAAACATGACCCGCGTATCTACCCCCTCAGATGGCCCGACCGGCTGTTACACTCCGAGGGGTTGGAAGATCCTCAGCGGCCAGCGGAGAACTTAATTAACAAACACTTGCCTGCTTCTGACGAGTTGCTTTCAAATTGCAGCCATAAATAGCGTGTTTTTTTAGATAGATCTAAAAAGAAAGCTGCCAAGACAAGAACAACGCTGGTAAACGCAACCTATTTCCGTCCATTTGCTTAAGCCCCCTGAGGCAGGGAACAAAAAAAACAAGAACAGACTTCCAGTAGGGATAGATTTTCCCTTTAACACCAACCAGGGAAAATGAATCACCAAAACCACATTTCAAGAACTGCAAGTTCAACAAGCAAATGGGATTCGGATCCTGATCCGTTGCTAGAAGTGGAAGAGGAGACGTGGGAATGAGGGCGAACTGAACTTGGGGGTTACCTTCAAGGAAACCATAGGAGACGGTTTATGGGGCTCATTCCTTCATTCCCTGAGAACCAGCAAGTTAAGGTGCGTAAATTGGATAGTTTTCCAGTGGTTCTAAAGCAAACCTTCTTTGCGCCATATGGCTTGGTATCGCAAGTAAAACGCCATGCGATGGTGCTCAGGGAATGAGGGAATGAACTCGGGGGAAACCATAGGAGATGGTCTGGGGGGGTGGTCACTCCCTCATCCCCTGCGTGTCACACCAGCAAGTAAAGCAAATCTTGGTTGCTGTTGACCCCCCTGCAAAAAAAGTCCAACTTTTTGGGGGTTTAGTGGAAAATACAACTTTATTTCAACCAAAAAGTTAAAGTCTATCCGTTGCCCAATGGCAGTCAAGAAATGGCGAAGCTGAGCGGCGGTGCTTTGGCCGTTTCCGTCTGGCGCCACTTGCCGAACTCATTCTGCACGTCCAGGTGCCGACGCCAGCGCTGGGAGGGCGCCGTCTCAAAGAGGCTCTTGGTGGCGAAGGAGGACCGGTGCAAGGGGTGCATGGTTTCCTCATGCCCAGGGGGTCTTTGGGGGAAAAAGGCTCCGCAAAACATAGTCAGGAAGAAAAGAAATCCAAAAAAAAAAACAGAAGAAACAAATGCGCGAAAGTCCGCTTGGGGAATCCGGGAAGCTTAGATCTTGTACATGACATGCGCTATGTAGCACCTCATCTTCATCAAAGGGATGGTGCATTGAGAAGCCCCCGCATCATGCCACCACATCCCTTGTTGTTGCTAGCCAGTTACCTCAGCGAAAAGAACCACGGAGACCCTGGCCCAGTTGCAGCCGTGTTTTCTCAACGTGGTGCGTTTTTCTTTGTTGGGGGCTCCCAAAAAACGCGATCTGACTTGATCTCCCTACCCCGCTTAGAAAACTGGCACGTTAGCTTTCTAGGTGATTTCCCCTTTATCTGCAAACGCCACAGCCTCAATTTATCAAACCCCGAATCCACCAATCCAAACCACCAACCCTTTCTTGCCTGAGCAAAGGCTCATTGAGAATATGCACCCCGGCGTGCCAGCGGTTGTTCCACGGGCATGGCGCGCCGTCTCGGTCCGGCATCTGTCCTCCGCACACACACGCCTAAAGGAACCGAGGATCCTTTGAGCAAAGGTCCCGCACAAATGGTTTCCTTTAAGCCCGCTTGAACATAGGGTCTCAGCGCCGAGCAGCACGACGCCAGAAAAGAAAAGAGAGAAAAGGCCCAACCAAATGCATCCATGCCTACCCGTTTGGTCGCTTTCCGTGCTCCGTTCCTCCCGCCGCATGTCTCAGGGGACAGGTGGAGGGCCCTGCGTCTGCGGAGACGAAGGAAGGGGGCTGTACCACCACCAGGCGTTCAGTGCCACAGCGCCGGCAGTGCCGGGAGTCTAGGAGGTAGGGGTTCCTCGGATGCCCGACCATGAGTTGCTGCCTCCGCCCGAACAAGCACAAGGTCGTTAGACCTTTGGTAGGTGCAAAGGAAAAGCCTTTGTGTCCAAAAGGTCTGAGGTTTCAGCAAAATTTGCGGAGGCCGCTGCTTTTGAGAACCCATTGGTGGAAGGCTTACGCTTTTTTGGGAGGCAGCGGTCAAACGAGCAGTTCCATTCCTTTTTGAGACAACGCCCATTTGCAGTGACTGGATTTGTTGGGGAGGGGGGCTTCCGAAGAGCAGTACAAAAACACTGCAGCTTGCACATGTGCGTTTGGAGGTTTTTTGGAGAACCCATTATAACCCATTTGTGGGGTGCCTGCACTTTAGCAAGGTTGGGTCAACCCCTTTCAAACGGTGCGAGCGAGCTAGTGCTTGAAGAACACTCCTTGGTGGTATTCTGTTTGAACGAGGGCATTCCCCAGAGAAAAGCCCACGGAGGAAGGTTGGGCCACTTTCAGCCTAGCCATCGGTGCTTAAACGAGGCCTTTTTGGGTTGTCTGTTTGGAGGCGGAGGCTGGCTTAAACTGTGCCAAAACCTGAAAAAGCCAACCACAAGTATCCCCAGCAGTCCAAAAAAAAAAGAAAAAACCCTCCCGGGACGCCGGCGAGGATTTTTTTCCCCATGGACCCCGTCCCTCTCCAAAAGCCCTTGGCCGCATGACCCGAGTGCTGAATGAACAAGAACACAGTTGCCCCTTAGGGACCCGGAACTAAAAGCTACGACCAAAATTGGACCACCAAAAGGTTGGATCAGGTCGATTCGCTTTGGTTGCAACCGAATTCGCAATGCCAACGAAACCCTGGTTCAAAGCCAAGTGACCAGCCGAATGGGCATGTCCTCCCTTCACTTACCCCATTGCTCATCCTACGGACCCCTGAAGCACCCCCCCAGCGAAGTACTCCGTGAAGAGTCTGGCATTTCGGGCAGCACTTGCCCTCATCAGCACCCAGCTTCTTCAGAACGGACTTGGCATGTGGCCTGATGCAAATGGTTATCAAACAAAAAAACAACAACTTGGAAGGAACTCGGACAGGTTTAAGTTCGGGCGCAGGTGTTGCACTTTTGTGTTTGTTCCCGAAGCACTGCTGGACGAACGGGGGATCCTCGCATGGCAAGCACAGGAGAACTTTGTGAAGGCTTCATGGCTATCCTCTGCAAAATTATTCGGCACACATATTGCTATGTTCAGATTTTGGAAGACAACTTGAGCTGAAGAAAATCCGCCCTGCGTGATGGGTGCGCTGAAACCAGGACAGCTCATAGTTTGTCCGAACCAACCGCCCATAAATATCAAGACACATGCTGCCTAGACCGCCTTTCGACACGGCAGGCTCAGGAGGATCCGGTTGCATTGGAGCACGGGCGGCTGAAGCTCGTTGAGATATTCGATCAAAGACAGTGACCCACACCCGTTTTGTACAAAAGTGATCGCTGTTTTCGGTCGCACGTCGTCCCAGAAAGGCCAAAGGGGCCAAAACATGGGCTTGGCGTCCCCTGATTCATTCGTCCCCCTGCGTGTGACAGACCAGCACCACGCGCTCAACGGTTGCGTTTGATTGCCCCAAGCCTGCAAAGGATAGACGCTTCTTGAAGGGGTCCCCTTGGTTTGATTCGGTTACATGTTCCTTCCAAAAACAAAACGGGAGCAAACAAACCAAGATTTCCCTCCCCGCCCCCCCCAAAAAAAAACAGGTGCAAACAAACCAAGATTCCTCCCCCCCAAACAAACAAAACAAATGCAAACAAACCAAGATTCATCCCCCCCCCCAAAACCAAAAAGGTGCAAACAAACCAAGATTCCTCCTCCACCCCCCCCCCCCAAAAAAACAAAAACAAAAAACAAAAAAGGTGCAAACAAACCAAGATTCCTCCCCCTCCCACAAAAAAAAAAAAAAACAGGTGCAAACAAACCAAGATTCCTCCTCCACCCCCAAAAAACACAGGTGCAAACAAATCAAGGTCCCCCCCCCCAAAACAAAACAGGTGCAAACAAACCAAGATTCCTCCCCCCCTCAAAAAAACAGGTGCAAACAACCAAGATTCCCCCCCCCAAAAAAAAAAAAAGAAGCAGGTGCAAACAAACCAAGATTCCCCCCCCCCCCCCAAAAAAAAAACCGGTGCAAACAAACCAAGACTCCTCCCCCCCCCCCAATCAAAAAAAAAGGTGCACACAAACCAAGATTCCCCCCCCCCTCCCCAAAAAAAATCAAAACAAATCCAAACAAACCAAGATTCCCCCTCCACCCCCCAAAAAAAACAAAAAACACAGGTGCAAACAATCCAAGATTCCTCCCCCCCCCCCAACCACAAAAAAAACCGGTGCAAACAAACCATTATTCCTCCCCCCAACAAAGGAACACAGGTGCAAACAAACCAAGATTCCCCCCCCCCAAAAAAAAGAGAGAAAAAACCAACATGTGCAAACAAACCAAGATTCATCCCCCCCGAAAAAAAAAAAAAAGGTGCAAACAAACCAAGATTCCACCTCCACCCCCCAAACGAAACACAGGTGCAAACAATCCAAGATTCCTCCCCCCCCAAACCAAAAAAAACGGTGCAAACAAACCAAGATTCCTCCCCCCCAAAAAAAGAAAAAAAACAGGTGCAAACAAACCAAGATTCCTCCTCCACCCCCCAAAAGAAACACAGGTGCAAACAAACCAAGATCCCCGCCCCAACAAAAAAACAGGTGCAAACAAACCAAGATTCCTCCCTCCCCCCCAAAAAAAACGGGTGCAAACAAACCAAGATTCCCCCCCCCCCCCCAAAAACAAAACGGTGCAAACAAACCAAGATTCCTCCTCCACCCCCCCCCCCCGAGAAACAAAAAAAAAAAAGATCCCCCCAAAAACAACACAAAAAAAGTGCAAACTAACCAAGATTCCTCCTCCCAAAAAAACAAAACACTGGTGCAAACAAACCAAGATTCCTCCTCCACCCCCCCCCCAAAAAAAAAACAAACATGTGCAAACAAACCAAGATTCCTCCTTCCCCCCCCCAAAAAAAAAACACAGGTGCAAACAAACCAAGATTGCCCCCCCCCCCAAAAAAAAAAAAAAAACACAACAAAAAAAACAGGTGCAACACGTGCTTCCAAAGCATGTTGTTTTGCCCCGCCCAAAACGCTTCAAAACTTTGGCACTTCACCAGGGACTTGAACTGGGGCTTGGTGTCTTGAATTAGTTGGATTTCTTCCCAATCCGGTGGGGTCAAAAGCAAGCCGCTGTTCAACGTGCCGACTCCCGACAATCCAATAAACCCTTTCCATAGCAATGGGCTAAACATTGACTTAGCTAGGGGTTAGTCACCCTGGCTGCGACCCACTTAAAAAGCTTATGAAAGCCGGGGCTATAAAGCAGGCTGATTCATAACCATTCAACTCCCCAAACCAGCTCTTCTCCTTCTTTGGGCGGAACCACGTTTTACCCGTTTCAACAGGGATCCTGACATTATACACTTGAACATTGCCTTGTACATGGTGGTTTCCCTTTATGTTGGTGTTGAAAAAGCCATGTTTCAAACGGTTGCAACATGTATCTTTAGCCATGCTTCAAATGTTTGCAACATGTATCTTTCAAGGAGCCCTGCAAAACTTAGACATCTGCTACCAAAAGCAATTGTTGGGGTTGACTTGTTGGTTGTTACCATCTGCTACCGAAAGCCCACCAACACTTATTGGTTGTTTCCATCTGCTACCAAAAGTCGGGCAGCTGGCGAGGCTTGCTTTGGAGTTGTTCACGGGCTTCTTCGGTTGCCACAAGGTCCCTAGCAAAGAAGAACAGCTATTCCTCTGGGCTTGCGCCGTCACGCGCCGTCACGCTGCAATTGTCACACATGTATGAAGTGCTTTGGCTCATGATGGCTTATGGATACAGGCTGACCATTGAAGAGGTGCCATTGAACTCCTCAGGCAACCCAAGCTGCACACCTTAGCGTCCGCTGTTTCACCGTCTTGCAACCGTGACCGTTCCAAACACTAGCATGAAACCTGACTGGCATTCTCTTAGAGCTCAAACTTCCAACTGGACTCTGGACTCTGGCCCCCACCCGCCCACCGTCTTGAGTGCTTTAAACAAAAACTTGTTGATCCGCTTCAACGGCTCCCCTTTCGTCGCTCCCGTCGGGTCGGGCGGAGTTTCGTGGGCCTCTGCGCGAGGTCGCCCCGCAGCTCCGGCAGACTCTGGGGACGGGAGAAGTACTGCCGCAGCTGCTTCGGCAGCAGCTCGTTCCTGCCGCGTCTTCCATTTTGTTTTTCCAATTCTGCAACAGATTTGTTAAAACACAAAACACATATTTCCAGTAGTGATATTTGGTTAAGACCGCTGGAAACATCAACATATTTCCAGTAGTGATAGATTCCCTTTAAAACCAACACGGGAACATAACAATCATAAAACTTAAGCAAATGGAAGGGGTTCCTTCATGCTGGAGTCTCCACGGGGTCTATGGTCATAAACTTTTTAAAGGCGTCTAACAATATAGGATCAGGGAGATCCCAGGAACTTCTGGAGAAGCTCATTTGGGTCTGAAATGGTCATGTTGCAAGGTCTGGAATGATCCTGCGACCAAAGGGAAAAGGGAAGGGCACCGCCTAATATTGACCCAGGAACAAACCCATGTATATTAATAGGGTGTCCCTGGTATAGTCGGGAGTCATACCAGTAAGGAGGGCTTGGGTCAACAGTACCCCTAGCGGGCTCTCTGCAGCTTGGGCTTCTGGGACTCGCTGAGGTGGTGCCGCTCGTCCCACCCGGGCAGCGGCGACCGCCGGAGCTTCCGCGGCATGGCTCGAGCGAGCGCCCGGGAGAGCCACGCGGGAGAGCCACGCGGCTTCGCAGCCGTCTGGAGCCACGGAGGTATGGAAGGCAAAAACAGGCTGCGCGCCAGGACGTCAGGGAAACAGTGGGGCAAAACACCATGTGGAAGGTGTTTTTCCTTGCTTGAAGAGAGTGAAGGGGGATACTACCAAAAGGTGGTCCTGGCCTAAAACAAACCCTTGATCAAAAGCTATTTGTTTTGAGGGTCCGGTCTTGGAGGTATGGTTTGGTGCCCGCAACCAACATACTTCAGACCCATCCCCCAAAAAAAACAATCTAAGAAGGGAAGCCCAAAAGGTGGACAGGCACAGCCGCCTGCGGCACGTCCAGCACCGCTCCGGGCCAAAAGTTGTGACGCAGAAGATGCAGCAGGCGAAGGGCCGGCGGCCTGCTGCACAATGTGCCGGCGAGTGTGTTTCTTATGGACCCCTAGGGAATGCTATAGGGCGGGGGGCTTCCTGGATAAGCCCAGGAGAAGTCAAGGAAAAAGGCCGTTATAAAAAAGCCTTGTTGGCCCTCCCATAGCCCCCCTTAGAGGTCCATGTGTCCTGTTCTGGCAATTGTCAGTCCTTTGTAACAGCTCAGAGGATGCCTGCCCTCTTCAATTCCACTTCTGCAGCTGACTTCCCCACTTCTTGCTCCCTTGCAAGCTTTAGGCCTCAATACAACTAAGTCAGGTAGTAGGGGCACTTAAGACGGCCAATACTGATTTGAGGTTTAGGCGCTGATCAATTGAGTTGGATCGCTAGGTGGTAATCATGAAACTTACACAAAACTTGCACTGATCAGGAGTTGCCAGCTTTGACACAGCGCACATTGGTTTCCGGGACCGGTGGTTCCCCTATGCCTATGCGGCCTATACCACATGTCGGAACAGCCTTCTTGCAGACGGTGTTTGCTCATTTCCAGCCATGCCCACGAAACTCAAGCATCCATTGCATGTAGAAATCGGGCATATATATATATATGTATTATGTGAACTTGCTACCAAGGAGATTGCAGAAATGCCCAGATCATGTTGGAAAGGTGGCGGTGTCATTGTGGTTCCTTGCATCAGGTTAGTTCACAATGGCCAGCCGGCAGACGGGAACCGAAAAGGCGCAAACGACTCAGAACCCGACCGACGAACATCCCACTGCAAAGGCACACTGGCACCTGCTTGATAATACGCCCAAGATTGCCAGTGGCAGTATCATGCATTGCTATCTCGGCATCTGCTTCAGTTACACCAGAAACAAAAACTGATACTACTCAAATTTGACCCATTTGTTCAGTCAAATACCGCCCTCATCTTGAGCCTTTGCTGCTGGCAGGATGACAGAATTGACCCATCACGCGACCACACTTGGTGGGGACTCTGCTCGTCCAACCCCAAACCGACTCTGGCCTTCGGCCACCGAGGCGTTGTTTTGTTCTTTCTGTTTTTCCTTCTTTTTTTGTTTGGTTCTTGTGTTGTTGTTTGGCTTTCTTTTTTTCCGGGCCCAAATTGTGGTTTCCGTAAATATTTTGTTGAATAGCCACATGTTTCAATTGGTTGCAAAATGTGTATCTTTTGAGGAGCCCAAAGTCTGAGGAACCAACACTCCGGCGACCCACCCGCGGGAGACGCCTTTCCATCTCCGTGCCGCCTGACCGAGTGTCCAAACGAGCGCACCTCCGCCCTACACCCTGTGTTAGCGGGGATAGCGCTGGGGCGGACAGCTTTTACGCGAGCAAGTCCTTGGTGAATGAGATATCTTGTTGAACCGCACAGTTGGGGTGGCATGTTGGAGTAAGTGACATGTGGTTTGGAACAAGCCTGGCACCCAGCCCAACTGCCCCTCATCACAACACAAAAACATGCCGGCACCGCTTAGCTGGCCATCATGATCGCTATCCGAGAGCAGGAAGCCTGGCCAACAGCATCTCGGGGTATGTCTGCCCTTTCCAGTTGCAATCAGTGACTCTGCTAGAAACAGGTGATCCGTTTTCAGCCGAGTTGCTACGCTTCAGGCGAGCTCGTTCCACCATATTTCGGGCAGAGTACAGGGCTGGATAGGGCACCCCAAAAGAACCCCGGTGTTCATACCTTTCCGAAATGCAAAACAACAGGAGGTATAAGCAGGTTTGTGTCCAACCGATCAATTGGCCGACCGCCCAAACAAAATCAAACAACACAAACGGACAAGCTCCTCAATATTGCAAGTAAGGGGGCAGGCTACACACACTGAGTAGCCGAATTCAGTGGCACCCTTCTGTGAAACAGGGAGCCCGCTGTGCCGGAGTTTACCCTTGTGCGGTTGGCTGCACCGTCCTTGAACCCACCAAAGTGAAGGGGCCATGGTGTATGTGGCGAGACGTGCCTTTTCTCAGCGGACCACTGCCCGAACCACAGGCCTTCCGCCTGCCACTGGCACCAAAGAATGAGTCTAAGAATGAGCCTGCAAATCTGGTCACAATGGCCTGTCACAACAATGGCCCCATAAGATCGTCCAAGAAAAGCAAACAAAACAGTCAAACGACAGTGCCACCCAACCGAAACGACCCCAAAGCCAACAAGCACAGCACAAAGAAAGGCAACGTATACACGACCGGCTCTTCGTTCCCAAACCACTCCACGCTTGACACAATCGGTCTCCAAAAAGCGTGGGAACCAACGTAGCTGCTGATAGCCCGCCCTATCAACTGGCCTCGACAAAGCCCATCTCGCCCAAATCGGAAACAGGCCCGCACTGGTTCTAACCTGTCCGAAACACCTGACGAGTAACTAATGACATGGCCTTTTGACGACAGGTTCAGGCCATTGGTAAGTCGCGTCACTATTTAAAGCTGATCAATCAGACCCACCTCGAAATCATGTGCGAACACGCAAACCCGTCAAATGTTCGACCAGGTTAGCCTTCTGCAAAACCCGGCCCGCTTCCCATCACCCGCGCCCCCAACGGGCGAGTCTTCTCATACGGTTAACATGGGTGTGCCCTCTAAAAACTTTCGAAACCTAAGAAAACACTCATTTTGGAAATTTCACGATTTGGGGCAAACCCAACTGCAACGGCTCTGAGATACAGCGGGTTTTAACTACTGTCGAGGATTTTGTAGGGATTTCGGAAAATCCACGGCAACTTTCCTTTCTGGATCAACGGCTCCCGGGAAAAACCCGGCCAAACGCATGAAGTCCAATCCCAGATCCCTTGGCTTCAGCCCCTGGGACACCAAGCGAAACCCATTGTCGATCCTTGGGGTTTTGGCAATCCGTTCGGTCCAAGACTCCCACTCAGTGAAAGACTGAGTCGACATTACTCCTTATATACCTAGAGTCCTCCATGACCATTTTTAAATGGGGTCATGACCTTTCTTTTGGGTAATGACCCCACTTTTAAAAGGGTCATGGGAACTCTAGGTATATATATATATATATGTATATATGTATATATATATATATATATGTGTGTGTGTGGTGGTGTGGGTTGTGTTTGCTTGTGTTATATTCGCGCGAACGTCTTGAGGTGGGGGTAGTGGAAGCAACCTATGTTTGCTTGTGGCCCGTTCCCTGCATTCTCTCCAGTTCTGCGTGAAACGGCAGTGCAAGGACTGCTTGAACCCAAAGGCCATCTTAGACTGGGATCCCCTTCTTCTTTGCCTGCACATGAGGGTCAGCAGGCGGATTTGCCAAAGGGGGATTTCCGAAAGGTTTTTTTTTGGACCCCTAAAAGTCAACTTCCTTCTAATGGTTTGGCTTGGTGGAGGTTCGCAGGCTGCGAACTGTCAGGTTTGTGGGGTTTCCGCTTTACCCATTGTGACTTTCTTTCCTGCCCCCCTGCAAAGCAACACCCCCCCCCCAAAAAAAAAACGTACCCCAGCCTCCACCCCAAAAAAAAGAAAGAGCAAAGAACACGGGAAGATCTGGCCCCCCCTCCCCCAGCTCGGCCCTGCCACCCTGCAGCCCGGTTGGCGCCTTGGCGCAGCGCACTTTCGTGCAGCGAAGCGCCCAGCAAAGGCTCCCAGAGCAGCTCCCTGAGGGCCTTAACCGATGTCGCAAAATGGGGGGGGGCGGGGGATGCTCCAAGCCCGGAACCAGGTAAGCATGAACCAGGCGACTTGGCGTGTGTTTTCAATCCTTGCGCTTCCCAGATTGCGACTTGGTAGCCTCCTTCTGACCCTCAAAAAATAGGGTTCCCCAAGACAATTGGATCATAACCCCATGTTTAAAGGTGAGACTCTAGGTTGGTGTGCTTTGCAGCCGGAACCCTCAAACAATGTAACACAAGAAGCTGGATGCAAAGATGTCCATCATACAGGAGCTCTAAGTGGTGCTCCTTTCGCTTTTGTTTTAAGCCTGGAAATACCTAGGCCCCATATGACTACCCACTGAAACCACTTTAGAACCACTCTAAAACTAGGGCCCTACATGACCTGAAGGGAAACAGTTGGAGATGCAATCACTTAAACCACTATATATAACCACTATCCAACGGGTTCTACTCCGTTTTCCACTGGCTTGTGCTCTCGGCTTCCCTTACCAGCCCAAACAAAGGGTTACATGGCCCCAAAAGATGGCCTCCGATTTGCTTCCAAGCGCGAAGAAGAAGGCGACTACCAAGAGCTCGCGGGTCGGTGCCGCTGCCCTTTTTGTGTGCCAAATCGACGCAACAAATAAACACCTGGCAGTCAGGTGCACAACTTTGGGTCACTTTATGACTTGCGGAACTTGTGAAACTTGTGCCACACATGGGCCGTGTGCATTGGGCGAAGCCTTGCTCATCTCATTCATCGGTGTAGCAGGTTTGGGCGATGCCAGCGGGGTCCACAGTGGTCAATACCAGCGTCCGCGACGTCCCCAGCGTTTTCGAGGTTGTCAGCGTCTCCTGCAGCGCGGCAGGCGCGCTTCCAGGGCAACTTGGGAAGGATGTCTAAAGGAGCTAACCGCAAGAAACGTCATACACAACTGAAGAACAACCTTGACAGAAGGCTTCTGCAAGTTTCCCGGTTCAGGTTCAGGGGCCATCCAGCCGCCCAAAGAAAGAAAATACAAATCTGGCATCATGGGTACAATGCGCGTGAAAAGGAGCGCGCATGCAGCACAGTTCAACAAACAAACCCACCCACCCACCCACCCACCCACCCCACCCCCACCCCACCCCACCCCACCCCACCCCACCCCACCCCACCCCACCCTACCCTACCCTACCCTACCCAACCCTACCCTAACCCACCCACCCACCCCACCCACCCCCACCCACCCCACCCCACCCACCCCACCCACCCCACCCACCCCACCCACCCACCCCACCCACCCCCACCCCACCCCCCACCCCCACCCCACCCCCACCCACCCCACCCACCCCCACCCACCCCCACCCACCCACCCCCACCCCACCCCCACCCACCCACCACCCCACCCCACCCACCCCACCCACCCCACCCACCCACCCCACCACCCACCCACCCCACCCACCCCACCACCCACCCCACCCACCCACCCACCCACCCCACCCCACCCACCACCCACCCACCCCACCCCCACCCCACCCACCCACCCACCCACCCACCCACCCCACCCCCACCCACCCACCCACCCACCCCACCCCACCCCCCCACCCCCCACCCACCCACCCCACCCCACCCCACCCCACCCCACCCCACCCCACCCACCACCCACCACCCGCCCCGCCCGCCCGCCCGCCCGCCCGCCCACCCACCCACCCACCTCTGGCAAAAAGAAATAGTGAACGTGTCTGTTTCCCCTGCCCCTGTTGCTTGTCCTTGAACCAATCCGTCAAACAAAAAAACCGCTTCTAAATATTACGTTTTGTTTTCTTTCTAATCTGCATCGGCCTCTGAGACCTCTGGCTGACGCCCTTCACTTGCAAGAGCTCCAGGGATGCATCGGGGCCTCCTGCTCAATGCCAGCCAGCGCAAAGGGCGCTTTCTCCTTGTCACTCTGCATTCTTGGCGGCGGACAGCCCCACCATGAGCCGAAGCCAATGGCGCGACAGTGCTAGCTCCTTGGCTGCTGGCTTGGGGTTTCTAGCTTGGGCAGCTGAAAAGCTCACAGACCTTTTGTCATGCAAACTCTCATGTAAGCCACGCCCGCGTTCTGTCGCTAACACCAGCCGTTCCAAAGAAACTGCTTTCAAACGCAGAAACAATCGTATTGGCTTGCTTTATAATGATGCTGGAGTTTCTATTCTTCCTGCTTGTAAAGCAGACAAGAGTTGGCAAGCATCGCAAGAGATAGCGGATTCAGCTCCGCAGAAATCCGTCAGGTAAACCACGTGTATAGAGCAATCAAACCTTCACATGGGGGATGCCTCAAAACTCCCTGAATGGAATGTGGACGCGCGTGGCGGGGGGTGTCGAAAATAGAAGCCCCATTTGGAATCCTAGTGACATTGTGCGGCATCCAATCCACCCAGACGTTGAAAGAAGCTCACGGACAGGCGTTCGCTGCCGTTTTTGCCTTGTACCGTACCAAATCGCCAGCGCTCACGTGGGCAACTTGGGGTGACTGTTTGCCACTTTGTGGAGCTTATGCCACAAGAGGCGTGCCAGCTTCCATTTGGTTAAGGCCCGTGGAGAAAATACCAATTTTTCCGGTAGTGAATCCATTCCTTTCAAAACCAACAAGGGAAAATAAAACATATTCATTTCAGCAAATGGAAGCCAGCCTTTAGCCTTGCTTGGGATTCATCGGTAGTGCCAGCGGGGCCGCGCCCAGCGCGGTCGCCCCCAGCGAGGGCGGCCAAAGCCGCGGCGTCCCCAGCGTCCTCGACGTCCCCAGCGTCCCCGACGCCCCCAGCGGCCGCGGCGGCGCCATTCCTGTTTTCAGGTCAACTTGGGAAAGGTGCGGCCAGTACTCATCGTCACAACTAGTCTGCAAAAAACATGGGGTTAGAGCCAATCACAAGTAACCTCATACACAACTCAAGTTAGACCTGGGTACGAGGCTTATGCCTTGCTTAAAATACTTCTCTTAAGTTGGTTCCCAGATCAGGGGTCATCCAGCCGCCCAACGCAAGAAAACCAAATCCGGTATCATGCAAGATGCGCGTTGAAAGGGTGCACAATACAGAACTCAACAAAAGACCACCCCACCGACAAGAAAACAAACAACAAAGAAGATCAAGCTTGTTCCGATGCCCCTCTACCAGGCAGTTAACCAGAACAAAATACTCCGCCTCGTCCTCCTTCTGACCTGCATCGGCCTCTGAGTGCCCCTCAGTCATCTCGGACATCTGGCTGACGCCCTTCACTTGCAAGAGCTCCAGGGGTGCATCGGCCTCCTGCTCAATGCCAGCCAGCACAGCGCAACTTTCTCCTTGGCACTCTGCATTCTTGGCGGCGGCAAGGCCCACCAGGAGTGGAAGCCAATGCCACATCATGGTGACTCGGAAAGCGTCAGTGCTAGCTCCTTGGCTGCTCGCTTGGGGTTTCTAGCTTGAGCAGCTGAAAAGCTCACAGGCCTTTTGTCACGCAATTCCTCAGCTAAGCAAGGAAGCCTTTTCAATCGTACTGCTTTCTCTCTAAATGAAGCCCAGATTGAATGGCTTCACAAGTGCAAGTGGTGCCTCTCACAAAGGTTCAAGCAGCGGATCTCTGGGTGGGGGCGCCTTTTTCGGATCGTGCAAAAGCGCAGAAGGCGGCTTTCACCCACTTTCTGAGTGGACGGTCTTCCGGAAAAGCTTCAAGTCCGTGGAACTCCCGTGCTTTCGAGGCCCGAGGAACCTGACAAACCCGAGTGCCAGGCAGGGGCCGTTGCTTTTAAAGCCTTGCGCCGGTGGCCTTTGTGAAATGAAACTCACTTCCCGAGTTGGCCCAAAACAAGTCCAAGCTGTTGTTCTACCACCAAAATGGCCCAACCCCAAAAAGTGACTTAAGTCCAAAACGTTGAACTCAGGAAGTTAGGGATGGCAGCAGTCGCATGCACAACTTTGGTGCTGCAACTTGCCAGAGATGCCAAAAGCCACGTGCCAGCCTTGCATTGCTTTGGCGAGGCCCTCATCGAAAGGGATTGAATCCCTTAAATTTATTGAATGGGTTTCTGAACTTCAATGGGTTTCTGAATGGACTTCTGAGCTTGATTGGGTTTCTGAATGGGTTTTTGAACTTGATTGGGTTTTTGAAATGGATATTGCCGTGATGCGCTCGATGCTTTCGACGTTTTTGATGCGCCCGACGTGGGCGGCTTTGCTCCTGTCAGGGCAATCACTTAGGAAACATGCGCAAGTTTACAGGACAGCGTCATTTTAATTTTAACCCCGGATCTAAGTAGAATCCCTCGATGATTTTTACCGGGGGGGGGGGGGGGCCTTTTAGTGGTTGGATTCAGACCACTGTTGGAGGGAACACCCCTAATAATGGGACGGGTTGTTTAATCCTGGGTCAACATTCAGGTGAGACCGTGATTTGACCCATAGCTTCACCTCAGCAAATGTACTGCATTGTTCTCAGCATGCTTCTCTAAGTTGGCCCCTTGGGGGCGTGCATCATCCAGCCACAGGTCAAAATGCCAGAAGACGCCAACCCAGCATCTTGATGCAACACAGCTGCTGGATAGCCGAGCAATATAACATGAAGCATCACTTCTGCAAAGCATCACTTCTGCAAAGCATCACTTCTGCAAGACTTCGCAGTGATGCAAAGAAGGGTGTTGCCTCCACTTCGAGTATTTCAAGGGATTCCCCCCGCCCCTTTCCCGAACAACACTCCACACTGTCAGCCCCGAAAACCGGTCCTGGTCGTCCATCTGATCTGCATCGGCCTCTGAGTGCCCCTCAGTCATCTCGGGATGCATCGGCCTCCTGCTCAATGCCAGCCAGCACAGCGCAACTTTCTCCTTGGCACTCTGCATTCTTGGCGGCGGCAAGGCCCACCATGAGTGGAAGCCAAGGCCACATTATGGCGACTCGGAAAGCGACAGTGCTAGGCCCTTGGCTGCTCGCTTGGGGTTTCTAGCTTGAGCAGCAAGGCGCACTGCCAGCAGAACCATTCTGGATCCCTCAATTTCCCCTTGTTGGTGGCAGCTTCAATGGAAAGCACCAGCAAACAAATCGCAACTTGTCAGAAAGATTCAGTGACCCCTTCAAGTTCACCACCTCTCCGGCACAGAAAAACAAATGCCGTGGAGCTCCACTGAGCTTAAAAAAACAAACAGTGCTTGGACCTAGCCTGAGGGCTCGGCAACGCGGCTGTCGTTGTTGAAGTCCAGCCTCCGTATCAGCGGTGGGGCTGTGGCAGCAACCCTTTGGGATCCCCGAGCCCCAGTGTCAACTTCTCTAGGTCCTCCAGTAGAGTTGATAGAATAAGGGTACCCGATCTTTTTCTGCAGTCTGTTTTAGTAGGGGAACCCTCCCCCAAAAAAGAAAACGGTAAAAGGGCACTACTGGAAGACCTAGTTAAGATTCTTAAACCTCGCGAATTTGTTTGCCTCCCGTGCCCAGGTTTGAGACCAAGTTGCTTGGTTGCTTGACACCGATGACTAGGGCCTGCCTTGTTCATCAGCCCCTGTGAAAAGAAATCTCCCATGCTCATCGGTACCGTCCATGCCTCCAGGCTCGCGAACAAATCTGGCTGCTTCGTTTCAAAGGGTCGAAATCCTTCGTTTGACAGGTCTTGAGCCATTCCCGAATTGCCGGAGCCCTTGAGTCCTTGAGGCGGGGTATTTGGCCGATCCAAAAGCCAAAGCCTTCCGCCGGAAAAGGTCGAGCCACCGTCGCACAGAACAGGGATCCTTACATTATACTTATACACCTGAACATTGTACATGGTGGTTTCCCGTTATTTGGGTGTTGAAAAAGCTACATGTTTCAAATGATGGCAAAATGCACCTAGTCTCTCCATGACCCTGAAAAAATGGGTCCATGACCCCTTAATTTTGGTTAATGACCCCATGTTTTAATTGAGACTCCAAGTATTTTTCTGGAGACCTGCAGAATCTCGTGCCATAAGCTCTCCGGGCAGCTTCGAACTCCCCATGGACTCCAGGTGACGGGGAAAAAGGGGCGTACGTTACAACCAGTATGGGGAAGGCCTTGCAACAAGCTTCGTGTCTGGTTGTAGCCTTGTAGCCCCCTACAAGGCCACCCACTCAAGGGAAAAGGTCATACTGCATCAGTACCACGATGCCTAGGCGGCATGGAGCGCACCGGACACCCCATTGCCTAGTTTGCTGCCGCGCCTCACAAACGGGGGAAGACCCAATTGGTTTCATCTTTGCTTCTCTTGCTGGTTCTCAGGGAATGAGGGCACCCCTAACCATCCCGATGGCTTTTCAGGAAATTCCCTTCCGGTTCCTTCCCAAAGCCTTGGGACATTGGGCCACAGGCACCTGCACATGGCTCCAGCCCATCCGGGCCCGACATCTGCCCCTCAGCCCCTCACTTGGAGAACTGGCCGTCGGCGTGCCCGACTGCCTGCCGGGCAAGCCCCATCCCGATGCTCGTTCAATCGAAATGGAACAACCACGTCCGTGCCATGTTCTAGCCTTGAGTGCTGCAGATCCCCTAGCAAAAAGTTTAACTGTTTGCTGAATGAAGAGAATCCAGAAAGTCAAAGTCTAACGATCCAACCCAATAGCAGTAGAGTATCAGTCTTCCTGCGTTCCACTCTGAACGTTGCCAATCCCAGAAATCCCATATAGAGTCCAATACACCCCGCGAGGAAACTCGGCTACATTCAGCTTTCAAACGGTGATGTTAAAAACTGAGGGAATTACGCTTGGAAGCCTAAAGGCAGGGAAGGAAATATAGGAATGTGTTTTGTTGGGGTACAGAAGCCCCTATGAGCCCCTGATATACCAGACAGTCTGATCTTCCAAGCCTGGTGGAAAAATAAACATCGGTCCAGTAGTGATGATTTCCCTTTAAATAAAACCACCAAGGGAAAATAAACAACACATTCATTTCAGGAATTGGAAGATACAATCTTCCACCAATGGCTGGGAAAAACGGGAGCTGGTGTTAAACAACCTCTAGGGATCTTGAGTGTTAAACCGAGGGAGCTTGCTTTTCCCTCAACGGCATTCAGTGGGAACGAACATCTTCTTGGTGGCTTCCCCAATGATCGTCCCATGATCACTAGGTCCTCCAGTAGAGAGGCTGGACAAAGGGTACCGATCTTTTTCTGTATCCTATTTTAGCAGCGGAACCCTCCCCCAAAAAAGTTGGCGAAAGGGCACTACTGGGGGACCTAGTTCTGAAACCCATGGATTATTTTTTGATTGCATGCCGTGCCCAGGTTTGGGACCAAGCTGCTGGGAAACCTAGCTAGGCACCTCGCTGGGGCACCCTAGCGGGGGGGTTATCATCCAAAACCAAGGGTTCAAACACTGGTTTCAACCATGGGGTACCAATGGTTTCAACCATGGGGTACCAATGGTTTCAACCATGGGGTACCAATGGTTTCAACCATGGGGTACCAATGGTTTCAACCATGGGGTACCAATGGTTTCAACCATGGGGTACCAATGGTTTTTCAACCATGGGGTATGTTTCAACCATGGGTACCCAACATGGGGTACCAATGGTTTCAACCATGGGGTACCAATGGTTTCAACCATGGGGGTTTTCAAACCAATGGTTTCAACCATGGGGTACCAATGGTTTCAACCATGGGGTACCAAATGGTTTTCAACCATGGGGTACCAATGGTTTCAACCATGGGGTACCAATGGTTTCAACCATGGGGTACCAATGGTTTCAACCATGGGGTACCAATGGTTTCAACCATGGGGTACCAATGGTTTCAACCATGGGGTACCAATGGTTTCAACCATGGGGTACCAATGGTTTCAACCATGGGGTACCAATGGTTTCAACCATGGGGTACCAATGGTTTCAACCATGGGGTACCAATGGTTTCACCCATGGGGTACCAATGGTTTCAACCATGGGGTGCCAATGGTTTCAACCATGGGCAACCAATGGTTTCAATGGTTTCCATGGGGTACCAATGGTTTCACCCATGGGGTACCAATGGTTTCAACCATGGGGTACCAATGGTTTCACCCATGGGGTACCAATGGTTTCAACCATGGGGTACCAATGGTTTCAACCATGGGGTACCAATGGTTTCACCCATGGGGTACCAATGGTTTCAACCATGGGGTACCAATGGTTTCACCCATGGGGTACCAATAGTTTCATGGTTGAAACCATTGGTACCCCATGGTTGAAACCATTGGTACCCCATGGTTGAAACCATTGGTACCCCATGGTTGGGGTACCAATGGTTTCACCCATGGGGTACCAATGGTTTCAACCATGGGGTGCCAATGGTTTCAACCATGGGGTACCAATGGTTTCACCCATGGGGTACCAATGGTTTCAACCATGGGGTGCCAATGGTTTCAACCATGGGGTACCAATGGTTTCTTTCACCCATGGGGTACCAATGGTTTCAACCATGGGGTACCAATGGTTTCACCCATGGGGTACCAATGGTTTCAACCATGGGGTACCAATGGTTTCAACCATGGGGTACCAATGGTTTCAACCATGGGGTACCAATGGTTTCACCCATGGCTTACCCGGAAAACAGGGTAAGCCATTGGCACCTAGCTGACCCAGAAATCCTCTGGCCTGGAACTCCGTCAAGTCCAACCCGCCGCTGCGATCTTTGTCCAAGCGCCGGAAGGCCTCAGCCCAGGGGACTGATCGATCCCTGGATGAAGCGCTGGCTTAGCTGCGCAAACCCAGAGCAACTTGCGGTCAATTATCATGGTTCCTTGTGCCCTTCTGATACTTCTGACAATTGAACAAACGCGAACACCTCCATTGCCTAGTTGAAGTAAGGTTCTCGAAAAGCCTATATAAATCTGTAAAACCATGTTAGGTAAAGCCGGAAGCACATGGGTGACTCGAAATGCTGCAAAAGGACGAAATCCATTTCGTGCCACGCAAGAAACCCTGGTTTCCGACGATTTCCGAACGTAAATACCACCAAGCACATGTTATGGGTTCAACCATGGTTGTTTTGGCGTGAAATGGATTTCATCCATCCACAGTAGTGCCTGGTTCTCCATTCTTTCTACCGTCTCTTCAATTATGGTTAGTTGCCGAATTGTGGGCGCTTTTCCCCCACCAAGCCCAAACACTGAGGAAAGCGCAGTGCTGACCCAGGCCTCGAGCACGTCCTGGCAAGACTGACATGGCCACAGGGCTGCGCTGCCTGGGGGTGACCCTTTCAGCTACGTAGCAGATACACATTGCCGCGAGTGTGCGCACACATCATCTCACGCTCATAACCATTCATAACCGAAGGAAGCTTAGAAGGAACTTGCGTGTCACGGCAACTAATTCAGACAGATGACAACCGAAGAATAGGCACGTGGGAGAAACAAGGCGCGCGCATGTGGAGGGGGGAGAGGAATAGAAATGTGCAAAAAGTTCAGCACTCTCCGGGTTTCAGCGCCTTGGGATGCTCGAAAGTTAGCCTGATCGCGACGCCTGTTCGAACCACACCGGAGCGATCTCGGAATGGTGGCCCATTGGGACGGACACGCGCTTTTTTTGGCAGCACTTTCGCAAGGTCAAGTGCAGGTTTCGCTTTCGCAAGGTGAGTTCCAGATTGCGTGGCGGGCGCCGCGCTTTCGCAAGGTCAGGTGCGGTACAGATTGCGTGGCAGGCACAGCACTTTGGCAAGGTCAGGTGCACATTTCGTGGCACGCGCATTGCTGGATAGGTAGCTAGTTAGATAGATAGATAGATAGATAGATAAAGACATAGACAGAGAGAGCGAGAGTCAGATAGATAGGAAGGGAGGGGAGAGAGAGATAGATAGCTATATAGATAGATAGACAAATGGACAGATAGATAGATATAGATATAGATATAGATAGAGATATAGATATAGATAGACATATCAAAATAATGACAGAAAGAAAGACAGACACAAAGAAAGCAGGAAAGAACGAAGGAAAGACTGGTGGAAATGGTGGAAACATGACACAATGAAACTAAATAGAGAAAATAAAGAACACAAGAAGGACCAAGATAAACTGTAGTATTTGTATGTTTCAATCACCCGCCCACTGGCTTCGCCGGCCCTACAGGTATGGAGATAACAGGCATTGTGTGACAACTGAGGAGGAAAACGCAGACACATGCTCAGGACCAATCCAACCGAGCAAGTGAGCCACTGGCGGCACGAGCATACTGCATACACCAAAAGAGGGACAGAGAGTGCCTCACTTGCGATCGAGTGGACAGGCCGAAAAACGTAACCAAGCTTCTTGTTTGCCACTAAAATGGCCCAATCCCACAAAGTGAATCTTGTCCGAAACAGAACTCAGGGAGTACGTAACCCCTTGAGGGCTGAAACAAACAGTGATCCTTACGTTGTACACCTGAAGATTGCCTTGTAAACGGTGGTTTCCCTTTAGTTTGGGTGGAAAAAGCAACATGTTTCAAATGGTTGCAAAATTGTATCTTTTAAGGAGCCCTGACAAATGGAGCTCCGTGGTTTCGCTTTGGCCGGCACGAAGTATATTGTCCAACCGCCCACATCCCTTCGACGCCATTTCGTCCGTAGCCAACAGCCATCGATCGGCGTCTCAAGCCTCCAGGCCAGACTCCTTGCAACTACGAATCTGTGGTTTCTGATGCTTCACGGAGGAGAACAAACCAGAACGCAATGGAGGTTCAACCAGGGTTTCTTTGGTGCGAAATTGACTTCGTCCATCCACAGTGGGGCTTGGTTCTCCATTCTTTCGATCTTCTCCATTCTTTGTTCTTTTCCATTCTCGGGTGGTTCATGGTTCTGGGCAAAAGGATCGCTGAAAAGGACGGGGAAATTGCCCCTGACATGGCCAGCAACACGCACTTTGCGCTCATGGCCTCGCTCTCGGCCATAAAGTGGCCTGAGATCTAAGGAAACTCATGGCCTCGCTCTGGACCCCCGCTTCAAAAACAAAGGGTTCCAGCTAACATGACACACACACACACACACGCACTACACACCACACACACACACACCACACACGCCTATGAGATTATCTGTGTCTTCTTGCACGTTTTTGGGGTGCTCCACGCCTTCGAGCGTATGCGCCGGATCTCAGGCCCGTTCCAAAGGAAGCCGCACTCTGAGCTCGGCGCCGTCAGCCTTAGTTCCGGTGAGACCATCGCTTCCTTCAAGGCTACATGTCCTCACTTACCGAGTGGATTGGCCTAAAACAGTGACCAAGCTTCTTGTTTACCAGAAAAATGGTCCAACCCCAAAAAGCTTAAAATCCGGGAACTCAGGAAGTGGGTGTCTACAAGTAGTTTTTCCCCCCTCTTTGGGAACATTAGCATGCATGCTTGACGAGAAAACGAACCTGGAACTCCCCTATGAGCCACCCGTCCCTTTGGGAGTAGTTAGGATGACTATACGGGGATCCTTCCGGTTCATTCCCGAAACCCTGACTCCCTATTAATTAGGATGGCCACGCTTTGGGATCCTACTGATTGATTGATTTGCTGGACGTGCTTTCCGACCCCCGTAAAGAGAAGGATGACCGCTGAAGCGGAACGTGCCCCCATCCATCATCAGCGCTTCCTATTTGTCGGCGCAGTGGCTCGCGGTGAGGAATGATCATTCTAGGTTGATCCGAAGTGCTTGGGTGAATGAATGGGACAAACAGAATCGGCCGACCAAGGTTGGCCCCAGGAGAAAGGACAACCCCAACAACAAACTGAAGAACCAGTCCAAAAGACCAGGGGAAAAACACAACAACAAGTCTTCAGTAGGCAGACCCTACATCCCGCCCACTCGAGGTGCCCCAATTAAATCCCAGATTCCACGCAGGACGGACCATGACAAATGCCTCAGCGATGGCTGAAGAAGCGCCACCCAGACGAAGCAAGCTTGGATCTACGTGTGTGTTTTTTTTGGGGGGGGGGGGGTTGTCTCTGGCATCAGAATGTGCGATGATTTCTCCCTGGCTCAGTCAATTCGATCCCCTTCTTGCGTGTTCGGCCAAGTTAGAATGTTGTTGGCAACTTAGGTTACAGGCACTCATAAGCATCCCAAAGTGGACCCTGCTATTCTTGGTTACCACTAAAGTAGGGACTAATACACGTCTTTGCAACCCTTGGCATGGTAGCAACAAAATGAGACATCCCTCTAAACATGGACAGAACCAAAACAAACAACTTGCCAACAGCTGTCAAGACATCTGAGGATTGCCTAACTTGACTTTAGAGTTCTCCACGCCCACTCAAACCATTGGTTGTCAAGGGCCCCCCACAACCCCTTCCATTGATTCAGTGTTCAAGGCTCTCACAGCCGGTTCCAATTTATTCAGAGTCCATTTTCCACGCCCCTTTAGCCCTTTATGAGACTCGGTTGCTTTCTGCTCCCCTGCTAAAACTTTAGCTTTTAGTGGTTTGATGGAACCCCCATTCGTTGGCAAAAAGTTAAAGTCCTAACATTCAAGCAAAATGCAACAAAGAATTGGTGGAAGGGTCATCTCAGTCGCCCAAAGGACCCAGGAATAAAAGGTTAACCTTTTGGGGCCTTTACTAAAGATAGACCAAAACTGGCAAACCGAAAGGTTAAAAGGTCGGCTTTGGGCAACTGAGTCATTCTTTAGCCCTTTATGAGACACCTCCGAAAATCCTCCCGTCCATGCGAAGGGCATTCTTCCTGATGGCCTCCGGCTGCGGAAGTCCGCCTGCCTGCGAATGAAGCAAGGGGCAGGGGCTGAATTGCTTGCCTGTGACATGCAAAAAGAAGCAAACAGAAAAACACACGGACTTAGACAATTCTCCATCACTTATTTTTGGGGAATGTCTTCTTTTTCTCTGCAGTATTTCCCTTAATGTACCTTTCATTTCCCTTCTTAGGCTCTGATCGTGCCTTCTCCGTGTTCCTATCGCTGATATTTCTTGATACATCCCTTCATTTCACCCTTCATCTCGTGTCCTGTAAACCCTATCGGGTTATTTTCATTCTTGAAGTGGTACTTTGTTTCCTTATCGTGGTTAGACCCCCTTCCTACTGATGCGCAAAGCATCTTCGAAGCAGCGATGCTTTGGGGTTGAACGAGTGCAGGTATAGCCAGAGGGAACCCACTTCCACGAAGCATCGCGACACATCCATTGTCGTTGAAACAGGCAGCAAGCCACAATGGAGTTCTGCTTGCTTGCCTGCGAGGCGCCTGAAGGTTCCAGAACATCGCCCTTTCCGTGATGGGGATGGCATAGAGAAACGGCCAGCGTAACTTCTTTCCCACACGCATACCTGGGTTCCCAGCCAAAGCCATCAACATGTGAGACAAGCACAAGCTACAAAAGGAGGCCTTGCATGAAGCCGTTCACTGGCGTAACATGAATCAATTATTTATCAAGTGTCATAAAGTATGCAAATCTAAAAGCAAGCAACTTTGCCCCGCCACTGGCAGCCACTGGCGGCCACTGGCACACAACGCTATAAGCTCCTAAAGTCCGCCCTATGCTTCAGATGTGGGTTGGGCAGGAACTGGCCTGGCACTTCGATGATGTTTCACAAGTGTGATCTCACTTGCCCAAAGGACCTGGAAATAAAAGGTTAACCTTTTGGGCCTCTACTGAAAGTAGACCAAAATGGGAAAACCAAAAGGTCAAAAGGTCGTCTTTGAACAACTGAGTGATCCATTCCCCGGGCAAGCTCGCATTTGGCATGCCTCAAGAAGCCTAGCCAAACCCGAGGGGTCAACCAAATCGACCTGGAGCCAGCTTGTGGTTGATCGGGATTCCTTACACATCCCCACTCAGCCGAAAGAAGTGTCACTGAGGTGTTCTGCATCGAAAAGAGAACATGGGAAAACACCGAATCACTCGATCAGAAAGAAAATTGGAAAACACCGGTGCCCATTCGGTGCCCATTCGGTGCCCATTCGGTGCCCATTCGGTGCCCATTCGACTTGTTGATACGTCCTATCGGCGCGCCTTACTGGATCGGCCCAGCTCTGCGAAGGCTAAAGTACCCAAGACCAAGCCGCCTCGGAGGGTTGGGGCTTTTTCGGCCGGGAAAAATGAGAGACATGTGTGACAAAGTCCATGTTTAAAACCAAGAAGGGAAATCAAAGAGATTCATTGCGGCAAATGGAGTTCAATCAAACCTCATCAGACTCAGGGCATGGGCAATCGGCAATGGGCATTCATCAGACTCAGGGCTTGGGTTGGAGGCCGGGTTTGCAAAGGGCGTCGTGGGTAAAGGGCGGTGACGACGAGAGCCGGCACACAATGGCACACATACGCGGCACAGACTTTAAGCGTGTCCGAGCTTAGTACGGACTGCTTTTGGATTGCCTGACTGAACTCGTGTGGACTTGTGGCTTAGCTTGGAAACTGCTTTGATTTGAGCATGGTCCGAACAGCACGCAACATGCGGCAGGCTGGGGGACAGGCGTCAAACCAAAACAAACGCAGTCCATGCCCAAAATGGTGGTTTTCCATTTGGCTCCAGCCCTCGAAAAAGGTACCAACCAGTGCCTTCCGTAAAAAAAAAAAAAAAAAGATGTCGACCTGAGCCTCCCGGCGCAGAATCAAGCCCCACGACCCGCAGAAGCAAGCCCCACGACCCCCCCACCCAAAGAAAAAAGGGAAACAGCTGATCAATTGGAGCGTCACCAGCTTCATTTTGTTGTGGGCCAATACCGGACACGATTGGCACCGAAAGCTGCCTGGTGAGTTTGTTTTGCGGCACCTTGCGCTATGCCATTCTGAAGTCATTGGCCAGAGCTTTTCAGGGGCAGCTGGAAATATGCTGGAAGGAGCCAAATCCCAGGAATATCCAAAGCAGATACATATCTAGTCCCACATTGGATCACAAGTCTCTGCACAGAGCGGCTGCAAGTGTCCTGAGCATCGCCAAAAAGCTGGGCTGCGGGGTAAGCATCCTTTTGCCCGAGCCAGTTCCTTTGGCGGCATAGAAAAGGAAGCGGTCAATCTCTGCCCTGAGCGTCGCATTCAATCCGGCCAATTCTACCATCGTGGCCTTGGGTCAAGCCCATTTTGACAAAGACGTTCAGCCGCCCACAAAAGAACCCCCCTTCCCCAGCACTCTATTCCCTGAGCCCATTCTGTGAGGCAAGGCACGATGTGCATCCTGCGCGTGCTGTAGCAATTCCTCCAGCTCTCTCAAACGAGAGTCTCAACAAAAACTGCGCTCTGACAAGAAACGCCTCTTGTTGCCACCTTCTCCCTACCTTCCACCCTACCGGCAAAAAGCTGGCCCTGGCCCTCAACCCATGAATCAACCGTGGCACATCAAAGGAACTATGCACCTGCAAATTGGGGTCAGCTCCACGGGCGTTAGCCGCTAGCATTTCCCCGACTTTCTAGAACCCATGCTCTGAAGGTTTCGTGAAACAGGTGCCTGAAGCTTGCATCGGCCAAGCACAAGGAATCGCCGCCCATCATGGAGGGCCTGTTGAAAGCAGGGGCCCCTTGAATCCGAGCGGCTTGAAAGGGGTGGCTGGCTTGGTGGCGTGGGCGTGGCAGGCGTGGGCGTGGCGGGCGTGGGCGTGCGTTTGCCGCTTTCATCGACAATTATGCGCCAATAGCTTGAGACACACACACACACGCGCGTGCACACAGTCAATGATACAGCTTCGGCCAAACCTCACTTTCCAAGCTTTCATTGTGCACCTGCATAAGGCATAACTATAACATTGAAACCACTTAAACGTGCACCCGCAGCATCTGCTGCTTTGCTGTCGAACTTGGTGTCTGCCGTGTAGGGTAGTGCCAGGCCATGCAGTTTGTAGCTACAACTGACCTGTAATTGCTAGAAAATAAGACACATAGAAAACAAAAGGGGCAACACTATGGATGTTGATACCCACCCCAGGCGAACTCCAGGACCACTTTGGAAGACTCGGTTCCATTGACAGGGGCCTTCTGGGAGGTTCCACGTTAGTCTGAGGGAGTGTAGTTCATGATAAACTGTCCGACTTACTGCCTGGTGTAGGGTGTTCCCTTTGGAAGCTACTGTGCTCATGGGGGAGGGGGGGGGCTGCTCGCCAGGTCAAGGACACCTGCAGCGAATCACCCGCGCTGAGATTGCATTCCGGGCGTCTGACCAGGAGATGCGGCAGTCCTTATCCTCGGCATAGCTGGCTCAATCACTCCATATCTCTGAAACCTGCTCACCCTGCCCCGCAGCTGAATGTCGTACACGTATGTACTTCCAATCATTCACAATCATTTGTCATAGTGCTTCGTGGGGCACTGCGAGTAGGCAAACAGCAAGTAGATTCGGAATGACCCAGCTGGCCAAGTCGACGCCACGGCCATTATCTACCAAACAAAGAGAAACATCATGCGAGGTCCATTCAGCCGGCGTGACGCCAACATTGTACTCTTTCTGGGTGGCCACTGCTCTGCCGCAATCCCTCGCTTGCACAACTGAATCATAACCGTGCGTTGCAGAAACAAATCCTCTCTCTCTACGCAACTGGGGATGCACCAAAGCATCCTCAAAGAATCCCCGCCCCTCCCACTGATTCAGCTAACCAACTGACAATTCGGGAAGCCACCTTGGCCGAAGGTCAACCCTCCTACCGTAAGCCTTCCTTCAGCTGGGTTGGTTCGCCGGTGAGGCCAATTGTCCGTTTCCAGAGGCTCCCGATGTATTTAGGGCCCTCAAACAGCCAGGTTTTGAGACCGGGGTGTCTAATGGAGGGGTCGGGTCGTCCACTGAAAGGTTCAGGGAGCCTCTGGGTTGCGAAGCTCATGTTGATTTGCTAAAGTCCATATTGGAATAAAAACAATTATGCCTCTTGGCTTTGAAAGCAAAAACCAGGCCTTCCTCACACTGCACATGACATTGCGCAAACATCGCAGAGTTCTGGTGGTCATGCAACCTCTTGGATGGTTGAATTCAAAGGGACACCCGCTTTCAAACTGGCCTTTTCACTTGGCTCTCAGCAGGGCATTCAGGGACTATTGGGAATGCAGCTAACGACCTGGAATCAAACTACAAGAGATTGCTTTTGTTCGGGGCACTTCCTCACCAGCAAATTTAGCAACCCAAGTTGAACATGATGGGAACCCCGGATTTGTGTTTTTTTTCTTTGGCGGGGGTGTTCCCGTAAGTTTAGTCGGGATTGAGACCACTTTTTGGGGGGACACCCTCCGACAGGCTCTAGCTAGATCCGTGGTCACCATTATTTAAATCGTTATTTCCCTGCATAGTAGGTATTGGTAGAAAATGAACCTATATGTATTGGTAGGGAATGAACCAAGGGGACTACAAGTTGAAAATGGTTATAATATACATCCAACATTCGCTTAGTATATGAGGGTCGTGCTAAAATAATACCAGTTGAATGTACTGTTTATAGCCAGCAAATTCCAACCGGAAGCCGCGTCCCGGGATTTCTCTCCACGCGAGCCGCGGAATCACCGCGAGGCCATGCCGGGAGCCAAGTGAACGCCAGGCGCTGCCTTCGGAAGTCCTGCGCGATCTGATCCAAGTTGGGGCTTCGGAAAACCCGCCAAACAGGGATCCTTACACCTGAACATTGCAACTTGTAAATGGTGGTTTCCATTTCTTTATTTTGGTATGGAAAAAGCAACATGTTTCAAATTAATGGATGCAAAATTTGTATCTTTTAAGGAGCCCTGCAAAACTTAGCCATTTGCTACTGAAAGCAATTGTTCGGGTTGACTTGTTGGTTGTTACCAACTGCTACCGAAAACCCACCGATCACTTATTGGTTGTTTCCATCTGCTACCAAAAGTCGGGCAGTTGGCGAGGCTTGATTTGGAGTTGTGCTGGGCTGTTCCATTGCCGCACGGTCCCTAGCAAAGAAGAACAGCTATTCCTCTGGGCTTGCGCCGTCACGCGCCGTCTTTGCAATTGTCACGCAAATATGGAGTGCTTTGGCTCATGATGGCTTATGGATACAGGCTGACGATTGAATAGGTGCCGTTAAAAACTTCAGGCAACCCAAGCTGCCGCTGTTTCACCCCTTCAGTCTTGCAACCGTGACCGTTCCAAACACTAACATGAAACCTGACTGGGATCTCTTAGAACTCAAACTTCCTCTAACTGGCCCCCCGCCACCGCCACCCAGCATCGCGCCACCGCCACCCAGCTTGCGCCTCCATAGCAAGCTGCGACCACGCCAGGTTCATCGACTGCTGTCGGAAGTCTGCGGCCACCCGCAGGGAGTCCTCCTTCGGGCCCAGGCCTGCACGCGACTCCCAGGAATGTGTCAGCTACCGTCCCGTCAGCGAACTGGAACGTTTTGGCAGGCTGCCTGGAAAACAATGATTTCTAGACGGAGTTGAAGCCTTAGATTGAGGAAAGGCGCCGTTCAAAACAACATCCTCAAGCCCGAGCCATTGCCATGCAATTGGCGCTCTTGGCTGCGTTACCTCAGTGCTCCAGGATCCCAAAGCTCCGCGCCAGCAGGCTGTTCTTTCACCTGAAGCTTCAAAAATCTGCGTCCCCATACGGGGGTTATCCAACCTTACTCTGCCTGGGAAACCCCAAACGCCGGCCAAACGCGATCCAATCGCGATCCAATCGCGGTCCCACATATTCCAATCGCGGCATACCTGGAAACAGGAAGCTCGGATGAGCAGGCGCTCACTGGTGGAACTCGTCCAATCGTGGTCCAATCGCAGAATTCGGCAGTGAAACTTCGGTTTGCAGCTTCCAGCCCTTGCCAGCAATCAGATTTGGAAAGCCTGTCTGGGTCTGTGCAGACGAAATCATTCCAGAGGGAACTTTTGCGCGAGACCGCGCAACATGCAACGTCTATATTCATGATAACTTTGTTGCCCTTTTCGCGGTCCAATCGCCGGCCAACCGCGGCTTGAGTTTTACCAATCGTAGAGACGGGCAACCCAAGATTCAAGCCCCACCAGTCCCGCCCTAACCTGAAAATATCCATTTGTTGGGTCAACAAACAGCAAACAAAAGGCTGTGGAGCTCCAGGCGTATCAAACCAACCGACGGCTGATCCAAACCTATTCCATTGCAGCCGGGGCCTCGCTGCAAATGCTGCCCAAGTACTTCAAGCAGGCCGCGCACGTTGGCGGAGACCTAGGAGCGTTTCAAGGCCTTTTGGGCCTTTGTGCGCAACCCTCTCAAAAGTCCTAGCCAGAATGCGAGAATTCAAGCAGCCAAAAGGGCCATTCCACTTGACCCCATCGCTACGAAATGCTACCAAGAATGTGAACGACGGTCATTGAAGAAACCCGCCCCGCGCACTGTTGAATCCCCGCTGCCCACAGACATGACTCTCTTGTGAGGGTACCCTTTTTTGTGACTATAAAACGAAACCAAAAGGAAGACCAAAACCATTTTGAGGGTCCAAATCCTTAGACAAGACACACCCAAATCTTGTGAATTGGTGCGAAGGCGACACACCTTTCAACGACAAATCCCTCTACTCCGACAGCCAGCAGGGAGTCCGCAGCGCGCCCTTTCAACTGTTGTTTGCTGAGGCTATGGCATTGGCGAAGAACTTGTGAAAGGCCTGACACTTGAGCGCGAACTTCCAGCTGAGTAGATTTCACTTCATCTCGTCTAAGACTCTTGTGCCAAGTTGGAGAGGCTGCAAAGCAAATATCGTTTGTCTCGGCCAATGTGGGCATGAAGGGCATTTCTTCTGCGACTAGTAGCTGGATGGGATGCAAACGGCCTCATTTGGCCGTGCTCTGGGGCAGTTTTTCCGGGGGGGCATCTCCAAAATTTGGTTCCTGTCCGGTTGTTTGGAGGGCGGGCCAAGGGGAAATTCTTGGGCTCCCCAAGTTTTGGACTTGTTCGCTTCAGGGCCTTTTCATCCCATCTGCATGTCTTTTACTCTACTTCCAAAAGCTGAATGAAGAATTGGATCTCAGAAGCCCCCTTCCGCAAGCTCAAGTTGCCATGGCCCAGCCAAAGGGCAATCACCATGCATGGTCTTCAGTACAAGGTGAAATCGCTGGCAACAAGAAGCTGCCCGCTGATTCGTTGGAAAACGAATAGCTCATCATTCGCCCTTGCACATGCCCAGCTGAAGGAATTCTGGTGAAAAGGACAGACCTCAGCATGATATGGCAACTCAAGGCTGGCAGCGCAAGTAGGTGTCACTTGACGGGCACATCGCGTGGGTCGGTTTGAGAAAGGCCTTCTCCACAATGGGCCGCTTCATTTCATGGTGGGTGCCGGGAAGTAAGAATTGGATCCCAAGCAAAGCACCTGCTTTCGCTCGTCACACCCCGAAATCAGCCCACTATTAATTGAACCAGCAAACACAACGCAGCCCCAAGCCAATGACAAACATTTCCCTGGCAAACAAAAAACCAGCCGCAAATGTCCTAAACAAGCTACTGTAAACTAGGACCTAATTACGGCAATTCGGATAAGCTACTATAAATTAGGACAAGCTACTGTAATTTAGGATGAGCTACTGTAAATTAGGTTTCCACCCTTTGCCCTACACAGAAACCACCAACCTGCGGGGCCAAACAGCAATCCCATCCTTCGCCCGAGGCCTCGTGGGCCTTCCGCCGCATGTGGCAGCGCGAGTCAGCGTCCAGCGCCCTCAAGCGCTCCGGCACGGTGCCGGCAGCCTGGGCGACCCAGCCGTAGGCGAGACTGGGTGACCCAAGCTTCCACTTGACTACCTCGAAATAGACTTGAACCCAGGGTTCCCCTGTTGGGGGTAACAAACCAGCCCTGGGTTTACGTCAACGCTGGGGTAGTCGCAAAGTGGAACCCTGGGGTGACCCGTTCCACGCGTTCTTTCATACTCTTGGGCTGCCCTATGGCTGCCCTCAGGTCCCCCGCTAAAAGTGTACAACTTTTAGTGGGTTAAATGAAACTACCACTAAACACTAAAAAGCTAAAAGGCTAAAGGGATGGCAGGGAGCCACCAAGTCACCGTGGATGGACGAAATCCATTTCGCATCACTTAGAAACCATGAGAAACACGTATTCGTGGATACTTACAGGGGAATCATCATTCCAGGGTTTCTTAGGTGGTGCATGCTTTCGTCCACCAGCATGACACATGTTGTCCCATTTCTCTTTTTTATTATTATGTTTTTTGGCGGGGGGCAATTGTTCAAGGAAAACCACTATTCTGGGCTGTCCGAGTTTTAAAAACGAACACAACCAAATTTGTGCTAACTAGGAGGCGACACATGATTGTCCTTTGACATCCTTGGGTGAACACTGGTCCCGACAAGAATCAACCAGTAGCCCTGTGAAGGCCTCAACAGCAAGGATGCGCAAGTAACTTCAGTACCGCGTGACCTAATTAGCTTGAAATGCTGGCCCGCCTTTACCCAACTGGACAGCACGGGCGTGGTGAAAGCTCATTAAGTTTAAAGTTTGCGTGTTACTGGTCGCCGGTACCGTTTGCGAGAAGAGGACGAGTCTGGCTTTAGAGAGCAACGGGGAAAGTGGCTTGTTGAGCTGAGCTCGCCAGTGCACCAAGTGCAAATGCTGAAGCTGTGATTTTGGGCGCCCCTGCACCAACGCGGGTTATTTTTTGGGGAGGTTCTTAGATGGCCCTGCACTTAGCCAAATGCTTAGCCACCACTATATGGTTGTCACGACTTCGTTGCAAGCCCCCTTGGGAGACTACAGCCACCTTAGCCAATGTGCCGGACCATCTCAAGTGCAGAGTCCGCACAGCTGGAAACTTCGCGTCTCGCTGCGTCCATGGCGCGTTCTCCGGCACCATCACAGCCATCCTGGGCCCGCAGCCGGCCCGTCTGGACACAAATCAATCAGAAGCCTCGGGTCAGAAACTTGGGGTCTGTGGCAGCTGGACTCTGCCTCGTTGAGGACGCGAACAAAGAGAAGGTGCACATACTGAAGCATAGGGATTTTGGGGAATCACCAAAAAAACCATCCGTGTCTCGGTTGCCCAGTGACGCCGGCAGAAAAACAAAAAACAACTCGTGTTTGGCCCCATCGCCTCAAAGATTAGCCTGCACTTTTTGGGGAGCACTGCTAGGTCCTCCAGATTTGAGAAGTTAGAATAAGGGTACCCGACCAAACAAGTTGGTAAAAGGGCACCTGGCTAGGGGACCTAGACTGTTTAGGGCCCCTATATGTTGCAACCCATGGGCAAGGATAGTCATGTGACCGGCCCCACCTCAGCCCCGCACTCGGACCAGTTCAAGATCTCAGAGAAGGGCAGCAGCTTCTCCTAAGCGCTCGGTTGGGCCAATGGGCCGATGCCGTGTTGAAGCACGCACTGAGTCAGAAAAAGGGTTCACAAAGCAATCCTCCAAATTCTGCATGGATAAACGTACACCAGGAATGTTGTGTTTCTCAAATCCCGACCCCACAGAACAGGGCCTACAGCGTACTAAACCAAGACTTAACCAATACAGGTCAAATCAGGGCGGCTTACAGTCCGACCCAGGCATTCAAGTTTTCAATGGTGTGTGTGTGTGTGCGCGTGCGGTGTTGACTGCTGCCTGAAGGGTACGGTTGCCCCTCCCTAGCGATGAACGTTCTCATGGCAATGCTTGTTGATCGGGCCCCGGCGGCTTGACGTACCCAGAGGCCAAGTACCCAAGTAGGTACTTAGACCTCCTAATTACCCAAAAGCCATCCTCATGAGGTACTTGGCCCTGGAATACTGCCTTATGATTTATTGCAGGAAACGGTTTGGATCCGGTTTCTGTGGATCCAACATATGAAATATTGAAAGAGGAACAAGTGGCACATGTGAAAACCCCATAGACTGAGCATCCCATCAACCGGAGACTGGAACCCGCCATGCCAAGCCACGTCTGCCAGTATCACCGGGATTGTGCAGAAAGACATGATCCTCATGCGAAGCTGGCTCGCTCCGCTTCACCACCGACCAAAAGGCAAAAACAACAAACAACAAAACACAAAAACCTGGCGTTCATTCAATGAGGGTAGTTCTTTCAGGGTGCAATATTTGATTAAACAAAAAGAAAAGAACCTGGCGTTCATTCACTGACCTTTGCTTCTAGTCTCAACCATCTTTGGGTAGGCATGTGCCATAGGCATTTCACCGGGCAAGTGCTCAGCTAGCCTCGGGCCTACAAGAAAGTGGCTGACCGGCCAGGATTACGGGCCTTAAACCAAACGTATTGGAGAAATCCAGGGGTGCTTGTACATACCCCTTTTACATACCCCTTGGACAAATGAACCCGAAAGGCCTGCTGATGTTCATACCCCTCTCCCCAAAGGGGTATATACCCCTTTTAAAGTGGGTTGGAAACCACGGAAGCCAAACAATATGAACAAGGGCTATGTACTTCCACCCTTAGAGGAAAGTGTAAGTCCGATTCATGTCAGCATGCTCAACGCACTTGGCTTCCAACTTTCCTGATTCTTTCCGTTGCACTGTAGGAGGTGCAGGTCTTTCACACCCGCGATTTGCATGTCTGAAAAGCGAGAGTTGCTTGGCCAGGCTGATCTTGGCTTCCCGTTGCGGAGCCACATGGTTGAATCAAAGGTTGCATCACCAAACCCTGGAACATACCCATTAAGGACAAGCCACAAATCAGAGTGAATAAGCGGAAAGCCCGAAATAAGGCTAAACTGTCATATATCTTCCTTGGGGCCGAGCGCTCGGAGAGTTTTATCATATCCATCGGCTACGGTACCCGAAGTGAGCTTGCCATGAAGTGAGCTTTCTGAGCCAGTCGGAACGGTTCATCGAACGCTTGTTTAGACGCTTGGGTATGTGTCAAAAATAGAGGGCCCATAGAGCCCCCAACAAAGGTGCGGTCCTTTCGGCTTCGCTGAAAACAGCCCAACAAGAGTACCTACACTCTGCATGCCTCTCTAAAAATGGGGCCATTACCCAAAAGAAAGGGGTCATGACCCCATGAACAAAAGGGTCATGGAGACTCTAGGTACTCACATCTCTAGTTGCCCGGTCGGCCAAGCGGCTCATAGAGCCTGAGCGAGCATTGGCTGTGCCCCGCCGGCGCCAGCGCGAAGTCGCTCTCCCGCATCAGTGCGGCATACCTCGGGGAGCCCGCCCTGCTCGTGGCACATGCTGAAAAATTGACATGGTGCGAATTTTGATGGGGAACCCTTTGGTGGACATGATTTACTCGGTTGCTTTCTGCTCCCCTGCTAAAAGTTCAGCTTTAATGGGAAACCCCTTAGTTGGCAACAAGCTAAAGTCCTAACATCCAAGCAAAATGCAACAAAGTTTGGGTGGGGATTCATTTCCGCCACTTTCGAGGTGGCGCCCGATAGCCATATCAAAAGGTCAGCTCCTTTTGGGCGAGCGATAGCTTCCGCGCCAGGCGGCGGCGCTTTGATGGGGTGTCCCACCTCCCACCGGGAGTCCGTGGTGTTGAGCCCACTGTTCCTCAGCGAGGAACAGGCAAACTCAGGCCTGTCGGCCCAAATCTCGGGTACACCAAAGTCAGTTGCCGAAGGCCCTGGAAAAAAAAGGTTTACCTTTTGGGGCCATGACTCAAAATGGACCAATATAAAAACAACCAAAAGACCAAAAGGTCGGTTCGCTTTGGACAAGTGAGCCAAAATACAAATTTCAGCTTATGTTCCCTAAGTGGTCCTGAGGCCTCCCCTGTTTGGGGCTCCAAAGGTTGTTGATTTGAGAACCTGGCTAATCAGGGTCCCATGTTTTGAGAATCCCAAGCCATGCGGCAAAACCCAGAGAGGGCCTGAATACTTTTGCTTGAGTGTTGTTCATGAAATGGTCCTGAAAAACAAAACCCTGTTTAAAGAAAGCCCGCCCTGAACTGGCCCCGGTGATGATTAAGGCCAACCTCCCGTGTAGCGGGAAGCCTGGCTAAAAATCGGGGTGCCACAAAAGAACTGCAAAGAGTGCGCTAAGGGCATCGGCAGCAACTTGCCAACTGACCGTCGGTGTCTTCGCATCGCTGCCCCACAGCTCAATGGCCCCCTCCGAGGGAAAGCGCCCCGGGGACAAGCAAACCACCCCTGAAACGGCAAACTGCGCCAGGAAGGGGCCCTGGTGAATTCACTCCCCCTATGTGCTGTGCGATGCAAAGGGCATAAAACATCTGGAACCCGCGGTCCTCTGCCTCACGGGTCTCGGACAACCATGGCAAATGCCGCCAAGTTCATGTTTGAATGCGGCCTGCTTGATTCCTGAAGCGCTCGGTAGCTAACATGTTCGTGGCTTCTGCCATTCCACACGGTGTCACTGTGTCACTAGGGCACTCCTTTCACATTTAGATGTCTTTTTCAGAAAATAGAGCCACCAACAGGGGTGGAACTGCAACATGAATTGGCGGGTAGGGCGTCAACAGTTCAAACTATTTAGAAATTTGTCAAACTAGTTTACACGGGATCTCCCCGGGAAAAAAAACAAAAACACGGCCATCCAAATGGGGGTTCTTTTGGATTCGCACCCTGGTGTTTTCATCCGCACGTCAAGAGGAGGGGCGTCACGTCAACCACGTGCACGACCTCAGCTTCCAGGTCTATGCACTCAGGGTTTGTCCAACCAATTTTGTTCCCGCCTTCCCTGGGAAATCTTTTGGTTCCTTCAAAGGGAACATGGAAGCATGGAAGGCACCTCTGCAATCCCATGAGCAGTCCCAGCCTTTGAGGGAAATCTGTTGGTTCCTAAGGGACCATGGAAGGCACTGCAACCCCATGAGCAAATCAAGCTTACCCATGGCATATGTCAGCGGACACCTCTTCGCCAGTGGGCCATGCTTTTAGCACAACTGCCTACGGGATGTGTGCAAGAAACCTTGCGTCCGCTGAAGCACCCAGAAGTGATGCAAAACTCAATCGCACAACGGACCCAGGAAGAAAAGGTGATCACCTTTTGGGGCCTTTACTAAAGATAGACCAAAATTGGAAAACCAAAAGGTTAAAAGGTCAAATCGCTTTGGGCAACTGAGAAAACAAGCACCGCCATCTCCTAACGATGCGTGTCAACCAGCTGCGTTTTTGGTTGCTTGAAGCCACTGATGCCCATTGTTCTGGAAAACCGCCCGTGTGGCACTCACTTCCTGAGCGGACCGGACGCAGCTCTGAAGTGCTCCTGCATTTGCCCACCACTAAAACTTAGTACTCGGTTGCTTTCTGATCCCCTGCTACAAGTTTCACTTTGAGTGGTATGAAAAACCCATTAGTTGGCAAAAAGTTAAAGCCCTACGCAAGCAAAATGCACCTTCCCTAAAGGTACGTACCACGTCCAGAAGGGCAAGAGAGCCCCAAGGCCAGCCAACCGATTCGCCACTGCCCATCTGCCGCGCGAGAAATGCCGATGCCAGGCCCCCAAGCGATCTGATCGCCATCATGGAGAGCCGTTAGCTTCTGCCGGACGCTGCGCGTGCCAGCTCCTGCTGGGCTGGGAGCCCCAAAAATCTCGGAATTTCGACGGGGCGAATCTCGATCAAGTCCCCAAGGAGCCATCATGGTGTTTAATCCTTTCATCCGGCTCGGAATGCTTTGCCCACGGTCTATCATGGATGATGGCTGGTTTGCTTGTCACATTTAGGTACGCCCAGGGCTCCCTGAACAAATGGGCGAGGAGCAACTGGGCCATGTATGGGCATTGTAGCCTTTCTTCCACAAATCCAGTTGTGAAAGCTGATTCGATTCCCAAGGCTGGGGCAATCATGCGCAATCGATCTACATTGGTAGGGCAACACTGTGAGTCAGTGCATGTCAGTGCTGAGAGGCACATGCCTTTCAACTAGGGCGGGCCGAAGGCTCCTTACGCTGCAAGAGGGGTTGATCCATGAGGCGGAAGGCCGAAAGGCCTACCGTTTGGGACCACCATTGAAAACGAAGGAGCGCAAAATCCAGTAAAACGCTCGGCTTCAATCTCAGCTGCAACAAGAAGGACCCCAGCATGACAGAAAAAGGTGACGCTCAAAACCAACCGCAAGGGGAAATCAGGCCTTTATTGAAAGGGAAAGCGAAAGAAAGCAGAAAGAAAGCAAACCCTGTGACAAGCTCCCAGCGTTGACGCGGCCAGGATGGCCCTATTATTGCCCGTAGCCCGACCCCTCCTTGAAAGGACGCCAGGCGTTTCCGCGGCTGGCAGTCGCATGCAGACAGCGGAGGGTCTTCCACTGTGACAGGCATCTCGGGCCAGGAGATGTCAATTCCACGTCCTTGGAAAATTGAAGTTGCTAAAGCCAGGGGATAGCAGGGCATTCCTCATCCCACTACTCACTCCCTAGTCTTGGTTGCTTACTGGGAATGCCACATCCGCGATCTTTAGTGCGACTCCACTACAACTACAACAAGGAAAACCGCTACCAGCACGTTTAAGGATTGGAATTAAACCCTGCAAATAACAAACCTCTGCCCACTGAACCCTCCGGTGAGCTCCGTTTGTCGAAAACACCTGCAATTCGGAGCTTCAGTGCTTCGAACTCGCCAATGCAAATGACCATGGTGTACGACAAAGGTTGATGTTCAGAGGAATGCCCTTTGCCTCTTGTTGGTTCGTCTTTCGGCAGGAGGGCGCCGGAAAGTAGCGTCGCCCCCTATGCCCCCGTGCCGCACACAATGAAGGCGCGGCACATTTCAGCAAAGTGAAACACGAAACACCTGCCAAGAAATGGGGCACGTGGATAAAACAATGATAAAATCCAAGTCCTAATGTAGCCTTGGGCAATACTTGGCTGCGCAAGTGGTAGGCCTGGTACTCGTTTTAGCGGCCACGTATCGAGATACGATTCTCCCTTGACAGCCTGCAAATCACATCCAGAGGCAACAGGAAGCACTAGAAATGCTTTGGGTACACCAGTGTCCCTGGGAGAAATCACCTTTCGCGCTACGCCCAATGCGTTCACGCGAACTCCAAAGCCTGAAATGAAGGATTCCCAAGTAAAGGACCTGCATGGTGAGCTTGTGGCCGAGGCACAAGGAGAAGGAAACAGTTGTGCCTTTCAACATTGGGCGGCGGGTCCTGCCAAACCTTCTCCTAGACCAAGCTAGAACTTCATGTTATTCTTCGGCCTTTGGCTCTGCCGGCGCCCGTTTCACTTGCTTTCTGGACTGAGCTCGCCGGAAAACCAGGAAATTTAATTAATTATCCGTAAATTTGACTATACTTCCACAAGCTAAATTAAGGGATCCCAAGTAAAGGCCTTTATCACGGTGAGCTCGTGATATTCCTGGGTGAGTTCGCCACAAAATAGGCAGAGTTCTGCATTGCCCAAGGGCCGAGCTTCTGTAGCCGTAGGCTCGGCCTTTTAAGTGGCCCACCCCCGCGAGAGACACGAAGTGCTCGGCATGCACCAGCTCCGACAAGGGGTGATAGCAAAGCCTGAGTTGCGGCAGTCCCAGTTCCACGAATTCCGTGAATTGTTGATCAATTTGCCCGGAAATCCTCTACCAGCTCGGCCTTGGCCCAAACATCATCACAAGGTCTCGAGGAGCGCTCTGGGCTTCTGTTGGCTTCCCTTTGCACGCCGTCCAAAATGGTGTCCATCATTTTTCGTCTGTCCGAAACAGCTTTTCATGCTCAGAAACTCGGCGACTGTTGGTCTGCGCCGCGCTTTCGAAAGGTCAGATTGGCCAGAAAAAGTCTGAACTTGTGCACCACCAGAATGGTATTGACAAAAGGTTTAAAGTCCAGAAGCTCAGAAAGTGCAACACATAAACTGGATCAGGTGTGGGGCTGTCACCATGCTTGTTTCACGCGTTCGAAGGAGGCGCTGTGCACCCTGGTCGGGGGAGGTGTACCCCGGTTGGGTAGCCGGATTCACACAAACACCATGCCAAATGTTCAACTTTGTGTGAATCAGGGGTAGCTTCCTTTCAGGGGGGATAATGGGGGATAGCAATTTTAGGATGTGAATACTAGCGATGGGCACCTACCCAAAACCGATGCCCCTGCAACTGACAGGGACATGCACAAAACCGATACGCCAAGAATTCATCTTGTCCGTTGCTCATATGTATGGAGCACCCAGTAGGTACTTTACTTTGCATGCGAGATCATGCAAGCCAATGAAGCCAGCAGCCCTGCCACGTCGGATGTCTAGGAACATTGGTAGTTGCCAGCGTTCATGGATCGCGTCTCCTGTCTTCTTAGGAAGATGTATGGTCCCCCTAAAAGCGAAGAATCCCCGTTGGTGTACCAAAATTGTGCTAAAAAGGCGGCAAGGGATCAGCCTGTGCAAGACACTGTCGGCCATGTGAAATCTGGACGCTGATCAAAGACAACGTGCTGCTTGCCCTCGATGCCCCAGTAGGGTGCCCACCCGTTCCTGCGAGGCAACTTCACCCTGGAAAACAAACAACTATGGTACAGGGATCCTACAGTGAATACACCTGAACATTGCAACTTGTCAATGGTGGCGTCCCTTTGTTTTTGTGGAACAAACCATGTTTCAAATGGTTGCAACATGTACTTTTTTAAGGAGCCCTGTGGTACCTCGCAGTCGTGTTTTAGTGGTTTAGTGTACCTGTGCGGTTGAAAAGGAAATGAACGGGAAGCCACCCCAGTTTGGGACAAAGCCTATGTTTTGCAAGCCAATCGTGCAAAGCTCAGCTGGCGATGATTGCAGAATCTGAGCAAGCAGGGCCTAGCTGTGTCCTCTTCGTCCAAATGAGGTCCCCCCCCTTTCCGGGCCCAAACATCGGTCAACACGGAAATTTATGAATAGCTTCTTGTATCAGCAACAATCAGTGACGTGCCTTTGGCACTTTGTATTGGTTAGTAGTGGTTTTGTGTTGGTTCTGAAAGGCACCCTGAGTTGGGGACAGTAGGGGGGCTCCCTGTTTGAGTGTTGGTTTCAAATTGGCTAGCTCAAATTTAGTATCCCCGGACCTGTGTTTCGGGCGGGATTCTGGAAATCAACGAATCGGGGGGAACATTTGTTAGGGGGAAGTGGTGACTTAACCTGAGACCCTGGCCCGGCCAAGGTGTTCATTTCAATGAGCATCACTTGGGGATTTACGTCCAGCATCTAGGAGGCTGCTTCATATGAAAAGTCCGGAGGCCCGACAAAGCACTCAGCCGAGTGCTGAGTTGCACCCTTTCAGAAGGAATCGCTGGGAAAAGGTGGTCCAAATGCAGGCCACTGCTCGGATACTCATGCTTGTGTGCCCTTTGCCGGGGCATGGCTTGCCCTTACAGCTTCCTCAAAGGAACGGGCGCTGGACACTGTGGGAAGGTTCAAAAAAAACACGCTGCAACTTACTTCAGGAAAATCCCACAGAAATGCATGCCCCGAATCTTCCAGATGGGTATTTCCAGATGGGTATGTCTGCGCAAAAATCAGGGGAACCACTGGAAAAGGAAAACACGCCAGGAGACCGAGTCATAATCATGCCAACCATGAAGCCGCGCATGTGCACATGGCTTGACGGGCAGGCGCAACTTTCTTGTGGGTCAAGGCTGCAGGTTATCAGCAAAGTGCCGGTTTTCGGAGCGGTTGCAACATCCACTTTGCACCACTTGGAATCCTGGTTTTCCCAATATCTCCAATGACAGCCGGAAAAAATAGTGCACTGCACTGGCCTCCCCAATGGTATGCTAATGGGAAAGAATGGGAAAGAATGGGAAAGAATGGGAAAGAATGGGAAAGAAACCCAATTGCCGAGGCTTTACCTCAAAGGTAACTTCCCTACTTAGGCTCCTTTCAAAATGTGTTTACCACTAAAATGGTCTTCAAAAAAAACATCCACGAACCTGAGGAGTGAGTTATAGGGCAAAGCCGTCCTCACGTAAGCCTCCAGGCGTGCTTGCCTTGTCCGCTGGCACTCTTTGGCATTGCCAAGAGCGCCCCAGCGGCCCTGCAGAAGCCAGGTGAATGGACAGGGTCCCCAGGCAATTGGGCTTTGGTGGATGTCATGTCGAAGAGCCAACTTGAGGGTGTTCCTTATGAAAATGAACGCGTTCGAGTCTGGAACTGGTAATTGAGTGGAACGGCTTGAGCAAAGCGCCTGCTAGCCTTTCACCTTTTAGACAAAATGAACAGCCATGCCAGCGGACAGCTGCCCCTGGCATAAATGCAACATGCCGCGAAGACTAGAGCAATTGCAAGCGACTCGTCAGTTGCAGCTCTGGTTGACTTATCCACACCCGAAGCCAGCCTCTTGTACGTAATTTGCAGAACCCGGCACCGGCGCGGAATACCTTGGCATAGCTCCAGACAGGGACATGCATCAGTTGTCTACCGAGGGGAACAAATCCCAGCGAGGCGACATGTTTTTCTTGTTCTTTTTCCCGAACCATCGTTCCCATGGCCAGGTCAACCCGAAACGATATCAACCGAATCCATTTGGGTATGTGTTTTTTTGACGTGGCCGTGCCGGGAGGTTGGTATAAGGGGTATGAATCGCAGGTATGGTGACATCCTCAAACGGCAGCCGCGCAGAAGCTAGTGGCCTCTCACAGGTGGTGTACCGTGTCGCGCTTGATACATCGAGTCAGCCTTCCGAACCCACCTTCTGGCGAACTTCTGCGAAAAGAGCCGCGAGCTGGTTCCTGCAGTGCTTCTCTTTGAGTTTTGTGTCTTTTGAGGATTTGGGCGGCATAGCTTCGCTAGTATACTGCCCAGAGCGCAAGAGGCTCTTGGCTGCAAATGGCAGCAGAAGGGTATGAATCGGGGTATGAATCGGGTATGAATCGGGGGCCCCAGGAGCACAAAGACAGCTTGTGTTTCACTGCGACAGTGGCCCAGGATAGACAGCTGTTTCCACCGCGTCGGACACAGACTGCAGGAAGCAAGCTCCAAGTTTCAAGCTCAGCAGCGGCACCCCCCACCACAGCGCCCTGCAAGTCCCAGCATCTTATGTCAAGCTGCACCCCCCCGCCACACCACCACGGATGCTACAAACAACTCTAGGACCAGGACATCCGAAGGATTGCTCTATAACTCCATCCATTGGCACTTTCCATAGCAGGCCGAGACAGGTCAGTAAACGAGTGTCAAGGAACACCACTTGAGCCAAAAAGGGCCCCCACGACCAGTGAGTGTGTGAGTGGACATGTCAACGCCCCATGACATCAGAGCCCAACCATGCAAGCATCGCAGACTCAAGAATAGATCCAGGAACCACAAGTGAACCAGGTATTACCTTGGAGTCCCTACCCCCTGGCATCGGTCCACATGTCAAGCTCTCTAACACTGTTTGACCCCCCTCCTTCACTTGAAGTTAAACCCCCTATAGCTTCCAGCTATCCATGGATCACAGCAAATGCCACAGTTCTTGCAAGTTCTTTTTTTGTTTTTTCAAGGGGTATGACTCGGCGTATGGCTCGGGCGTATGGTTCGGGGTATGATTCGGGGGTATGGCTCGCCCAAGCCCCACCTCCCACGAAGACTAAAGAACTGACACGGAAAAAAACACAGACCCATTTGAGCATGCTCCAACCAGTTGAAAAACCAAGCGGAGTAAACCAACGCTTTGGAGGCCTATGCGCAGCTATTGAAGGCACCACTCCAAGCGGGAATTACTGCGGATGGACGAGATCCTGCACCACCCAAGGCAGCCTGGAATGATGACTCCCCTGCATGAATACATGGTTTCAAAGTGGTGCGAAATGGATATAGTCCGCACAAAGGCAATCCTTGTTAGCAAGTGTCCTTCTCTGGGCTCGTTGTTTGGCCGGTGCGCGACAGAATCCAACCCTTGTTGGGCGGAGCCAGTGGGCAACCCGCAACCCCAGTTGCGTACACTAACATCCAGGAAATGCCTCGGCAGATGAATAGCCCAAGGGCCATTCCGCTCCCATTCCCCATGGCCCAGCTTCCCAAGACAAGTAGCACAGGCCACAGGTAGGCGCAGCTCACCTGGCGACGCCAGAGTAGCGAGCCATCCGCTCGCACCACGAAATAAAACTATGACGTTTGCTTCCTGCTTTTCCACCATTTTTTATATTTTTTTCCTCCCCCGAGGGGGATCATCAGAAACCTGGGTTTCTGAAAGGTGGTGCAGGATGGTGCTGCAATATTTGCCACAATTCTAAAACCTCAAAGAAGTAATCCTCAAGGTGAAGGGTCTACATGGTGAGCTCGTTCTTCCCGGGTGAGCTCACCGTACAATTGTCAGAATTATTTGGCAGTGCTGCCCTTTTGCCTTGAAACTGCTTCAAACAGTTCAGAGAGTTCCACCACTTTGTTTCCATGGGCCCACGGCATGCGAATGGAGAAATGCTATTCGAACCAATTTGCGTGGCACAAGCCTCTGAACATGCATTGCTCACAACGCATCAGCGCACCTGCACCCCAAACTGCGACAGGCTAAATTGCTTTGAAGCTGCTTGAGCGAATTCTCTTTCGTGGGGGTATTTGCGTCAGAAAAAAGGGTGTGCCCGAACTATTTTTGCAGTCTGCAGTTGCTTGAAACAAGGTGTGGCTGCCTCAATCATGAGTTGTGACGCCGCATGAACAATTGCGAAGCTGCCCGGGCCATCATGCTGCTGCCTGAATGCCGGCTTGCTGCTTTTTAAGTATATATTTGAAGTGCTGTCTGAATCCTTCCCGTAGGTTGCTTTCTGCTCGCCTGCTAAAAGTTTAACTTGGTTGTTTAATGGAAAACCCGTTAGTTGGCCAAAAGTTCAAGTCCCAGCATCCAAGCAAAATGCACCCTCTGGTGTAATTAATGCTGTTGGCATCATTGTGGCATTTCGTTTTGCGAAGCCGACGCCCGCATGAAGGCGAGGTGCATCGATTCCCAGGAAGAAGACGGAGGCCTTCTGCGGGTCCTCGGTGCGCCATTCGTGGCGTTGAAGTGTCTGGTAGAGCTCACCTCGCCGAAAGCACGAGACAGCTTTCGGCCCCTTCGCCTCGCATGACCGTTGTGGAGGAGAGTGTGGGTCTAGGAAAAAAGAAACCCCCCCGTTCCATTTCGGCTAATTGTTACAATGTTTGGAGGAAGTTCATTGCTTCTTGAAGCGATGAACTGGAAGTATGCGAAGTGTAACCAAGGGCAACCATTAACCATGGGACACACCCAACCAAAGTAGCTCAGTCGAACTTGGCACAAACCACCACGTTCCCAGCACAAGAAAGTTCGACACCTGAAAAAATGTGAAAACGGAACGCAGTGGGTGCAATCTTCCCCCGCCGTGTCCTGGTGCCTGCAGTCCAACCCGGATGGAACACGCTATCATCATCCGCAACAGCAACATCAGCAACATCAGCATCATGAGCAACATGGTCACCGCCACCACCTTCATCGTCACCAGCATCCTTATCCTCATCGTCGTTGTCTGCGTCTGCATCCTCGTCCTCAGCCTCATCCATGCTCAGCGGCGACATCAGCATCTTCCGCAGAAATCGTCCCATCCTCATTCTCCTCATCTTCGTCCTCGTCCTCATCCCCATTCTCATCCTCACCTCCTCATCATCAGCAGCCTCGTCCTCGTTGTTCTCATCATCATCATCATCATCATCATCATCATCATCATCATCATCATCATCACAATTCATCCTCGTATTTCTCCCACTCATCATCCAAAATCATCAACATTAAATCATTCCCACCACACTGGCCCAGGTCAAATCAAACGAATGAAATGAGTGACCAGTGAGCAGCAAAACTGTACTGCTAAAAACAGACTTTCCGTGGGATTCCGTGGGGCTTGGCAACTTGAGAACTTGTTGCACTGGCGAATAAGGCGCGTGGTGGCCTTCAAGTACTAACTTACCCCGAGGTGGGAATGTGCTTCTATTTCTCCAACCCACTGGTGCAAGAAAGAAATGTGAGAAACCTTTGGACATGGTGTATTCTGGGAACAGGGCTGAAAAGCTGATCAAGAAATTTCAAGGTCTTTGGTTCCAAAATGCCTCCTTGCAAAACACGCGGGAAACAATTGTCATCTCAAACTTTGCTTTGCATAGCTTGCAGCCACCCAGGCAAACCCGGCACAAGAGGCAAATAAACGTTTTGTGGCAAGATCTCCACCATGCATGCCCTTCGCGTATTTAGTGCTTATGTTGTGTGTGCGAGAATACGCTGCGCACGCCGGTGGGTCAGTCAGCTGATTGGAGATGCAATGTGCGAAAGCCAAGTTCCAATGCTGTCGCAAGCACACATGTGACCATGTCGCAAGGCCACGACATGCTGCTGCGTGCATGGCCACACGCTCAATATATGCACGTCACGTAAACATGATTTCCCAGCTGTCCAACGTGGCCAACAGTGGAACGGACTAATTAATTAACCTATTTGCGTGCGCAAAAATTACTGAGGGCGAAGTCCAACTGGCGGTTGCCGACTAAACTAGGGAGCCGGACGAACCAATGTAGCGTTAGACAAACCCAGCTCCCATTCCCAATCCTGCGGAATGGCGTAGATGCCGAGTTGCTGTACCACAGGCTGAGGATACCGTCGCGTTCGAACTGCGGCGGATACAGGTAGAACCAGAACTCAGCGGCAGTGAACTTGCTCGCACGCTAAAAGAGATCAATCGCACCTACTAATTCAGAATGAAACACCGAAACAGAACAACGAGCATTGGTCGTGACAGAAGCCACCTGTTGCAAACAGCCTCACTGAGCACTGCCTGCCCATCGTCACCCCACCAGCACACTCCAGAAAAATGACAACCAGCCTTTGCAGCATGCGTTGGCCAGACCATGTCTTTGTTGGATGCCGCTGCGGCACCAATAAGGGATTTTCTGGGCCCCGCACCCGCCACGGGGCCATGGGAAATCACCGCAAGGATGTCGGAAGGCGCCAGCTAAATACTGTAACAAAGGTAAACCATACTGTGGACCCCAATGCTGGGAAAAGGCAACCTCAAGGGAGCAGTGGATATCAAGCGCCTGTGCTTCCCGCGTGGTGAATCAATCGGACCACACAGAACAATGGCACACCTTGGGGTAGATTAGTTCAATCCAATCTGCGCCTAGCCCCAGACATGAAACATGTTTAAGGCACACTTTGTTCGCTGGCGCGCACGCGGCTTCTGCCTCAATTGTGCGCAATTCCGCATCAGCCAAGACCACCAGCGATCTTGGTAGTGATCAAGGGTTCAAGCCGCTGCTTTTTTCTCTGCATCTGGACTGCAAATACAACAGAAGCACAATGGGAGGGTATCCTTTACCTTGTTGCACTGTTGCACATGGTATTAAAAGAAGCTGCACCAGCAGCTTGATGCAGCGCTGACTGAACATACCATCCAGAACTTCCAACATTCCTGAAAAATCCTCGAGCTTCAATTGCGGGAACTTCAGGAATGCCGCCAACACGCCAATACTCCAACCATGAAGTTGAACAAATCTGCAAGTGTTGAGAACTTCCCGATGCAAAGCCGCAATGCACGCAAGTAAAACCGGGCATAGCGGTGTGGTGTAAAGATCCCTGCCATGCCATACCTCTGAAAGAGCATGTTGACAAACTATGACAAACTCAACGTCGGTGGCTGAACCAAACAACGCCTCATCTCATCTCTGTCAACGTTTTGAGACCGCAGCCATGCTTTAAACTCGGCTAACAGCTTCTCACGTTGTCGTTGGGGCTGCTTCTGCGCCAGCCTACTTGCAGGCAACGCCAGCATAGCTGTCACGAGGTTGTAGCATGGCATGACAAGGAAGCAAACAAAGACCGGGCCGAGTGCCTCCGGGAAAGGGAAGGCACAGCAAGAGGAGCGGCGAAACGCAGGTGCCTCCAGGGAAGCCGCAATGGATTCAAAGGTAAGGTGGCGAATTCTCAAGACGGCAGAAGGAAACAGAGCGCCCAGGCGAAAGGAGAGCGCCCGGGCGACTCTGAACCACCGTGAGTCGGACCCAGTTTGCCGCATGCCTGCGGGGTTGAGGAAGCTCAAGATGCTTAGCAAAATCCGACGGGTCAGAAAGGAAGTGATCCTGAAAACTAGAAACCTTAAGGATGTTAATATGGTCCAAACTTGGCCACGTTTCACCGTGAATCTTGACAGGGGTGTGATCCCGGCTGCAAGGTCGGCAAATCGGGTCACAGAACAACAACTCAGTGACGTGCTGGCCGACCGCACTGACCCCGTCCTTGAGGTGCTCGCAAGCCGGCTTTCAACGTTGTGCGGTTGCTTACCCCTGGTGTCGGGGGCCCCCGTTCAAGCAGGGTTGTGCGGGGGAGTCGACTCACGCAACTGAAAAAATGCGCGCGGGAAAAAGTCAACAAGGACAGGCCCACAGACCCACAGACTCACAGACCCGACCTTCAGTGGCCATTGCCTAAGTCAAAGCTCCAGAACCACCACAAATCTCAATGAAACGGAACCTGAAACCCAGCGGCTTTCTAGGAGACAGGAGCGCCGGACAAGCAGGCCGAGTATCAATCTTCTGTATATCAAATTTTCGGAGGAGCGCCTCCTCTCTAGCGAGGAGTCGTGAGTAACCACCTTTTCGAGCAGAAGGCCGCCACAAAGTTCGAGAGACATCGACACTAACAGAAGTCCAGCCAACAATCAAGCAAGCATGCAACACATCATTTGTAACAGGCAAGCACGAGAGCAAACGAAAGGGAAGCGAGGGCGAAACGGTTTTCTAGAGAGGTAGCAGGGTGGCAAGGCCAAGCCACCCCAAGTTCAGCGCCAGCAGCCTCCCACAGGATGCGACATCCTTCTCATCAGAGCCAAGGAGACCATTTGACGAGTATTTTTTTTGGCGACCCGGAGAACGCCGCGCCTGCGTCATTCATGATGCATCACCTCGACCGGAAAGCTCCTCAACCAAGCAGCATCAATGACGAGCCTATCTCGCGTGAAGAAGTGATTTGAACTGAGCCGGGAGCCATGCAAAAGAAGCCCCTCATGGGCATGCGTAGCAGTCTCGGTCTGATTGACGGATGGAAGCAACGCAGACACAAACCTCGCCCGGCACAAAAAGAGACCGAAGAGACCGGGGACCGGGAGTGCCCCAAAATAATTGCCGACTCATAGGCGCGAGTGGCAGAGAAGCAAGGCCCGACACAGAAGGAAGCCGTACGGCTGTTGGACACAGCGAGCTGGTAGAAATCTTTCCTGCCAGTCACAAGTGGAAAGAGATTCGCGATCAGGGCGATGTTCAAGAAGCGAAAGGCCGGGACCAGTAGACAGAGACCGCGAGGGCCCACAGAGACGAGACCCGACAAAACTCCGGCCCCTGCATCTCCAACCTGGCAGTCTTTGTCAAACGACTCCGGTGGCTCCCGGCTGGGCCAGGCAAGCAAAATGCGCCTGCAGGATTGGCCAGCCCGATATTGCAAAGCTCAGGTCAGCCGCTTGCCTATAAAGAGACGAAGCGAAAGCCGTCATGGCTAGCTGCCACACTGGCTGGCCTTGGCCAAAACAAAGGGCAGACAAGGGTTGTATCTAATGCAAGCCTGGCCTCTTAAAACTGAATTCTGCAAATTTGTTGTAGGTGAAAGATGTCATTTTTGCCGACGAAAAAACGTCGTTTTGCCAAGGTGGTATGTGGCAAATCTGGCGGAGGCTTGTGGCAAATCTGGTGAAGGCTTGTTGCAAATCTGGCAAATCTGGCGAAGGCTTGTGGCAAATTTGGCGAAGGCTTTTGAAGCCGGCAAACATTGAATCACGATCTTAAAGCTTGTTTTTGCACATTTGTGGTAATCTCCAGTCAACCAACCGCGGCATCGCGTAGCATCGCGTTGCTGGCGTTCAGGACTCAAAGACACCTAATGTTCAAACGCACTCTCAGCCCTGAGCATCACCAGTTCTTTTCAATGTTTGCTGGCTTCAAGTGTCAAGGGCTTCCCCAAGCCCGATTTCCAGGTCCGGATTTCCATGATACGAAACGCGGCCTGGATATCCGAGTTGATGGGTACTGCGACATTGAATTGATAACTATCTGGTAAAGGCTTGTTGCAAACTGGTGAAGGCTTGTTGCAAATCTGGTGAAGGTTTGTGGCCACAAAAAATATCCGCCACATGCAGTACTCATCCTGCCACTCCACATGCACGCGGCCCTCCCCGTCTTGCGCCAATCTGGCGACGGCTACTCTGGACCGACATGTTTTTGTTTGGTTTAGGACAGCTTGACCGGGCCAGAGGGCTCAGCGCCCCCTCCTCTTGGTTCAATAGATACGCCTTGCCACAACCCTTCACTAGACTTGCAACAAGCCTTCACCACATTTGCCAATTTTGCAACAAGCCTTCACCAAATTTGCCACAAGCCTTCGCCAGATTCCAGATTTGAAACAAGCCTTCACCAGGTTTGCCAAAAACCTTCCCCACAGTGCCACAATCACAAGATTTGCCACAAGCCTCCCCACCACAGATTCACAGAAGCAGGTCGTTGGCATCAAGGTTGCTGAGGCCAGGCGACGGCAAGCAAGTCAGGCGCTTGGCAAAGGCGGTGGAGGCAGCTGCCGAAGACCAGCGGTGCACCTAGGCGCGCACAGCAGGCCGCAGCACGGCAGGCGCTGCATACGCCTTGGCCTTTGCAAGCAAGCGCAAAAAATCCGGCGCGGCCGCCAACCTCAACACCGAGGACCACGACCTGGATCCCGCCAGAGCAGCCCGCCAGATCCCGCCGAGCATCCCGCTGAGTATCCTCCCGCCGAGTATCCCGCCAGCAGTGGATCCGCCGAGTATCCACCAGAGAAGCCCGCCAGTGGATCCCGCCGAGTATCCCGCTGAAGAGTAGCTCGCCAGTGGAGCCCGCCGCCAGAGTAGCGCCACCCGCTGAGTATCCCGCTGAGTATCCGTTGGCGGTGGATCAATGTCCTGCGTCCTGGCATGTCCTGGCAAAACTGACGGCAGTGCCTTCTGGGGTCTGCTGGTTTGTAGATGTTCGTAGTGCTGTGGGTTGGATCTAGTCTTCGGGGCGTGTAATGTGCAAAGTTCACTTATAATATTATACAGCAGCATTCGGTGTCCGATTTCGAGATATTTCCAACGCGCTGCCCTGACAGAGCTCCTATGCAAAGAGGGTGTCAACCAGTATCCGGCCAGTATCGAGCCGGAGCGGCGCGCCAATATTCGCCAGTCAATCCCGCCAGTATCCCGCCAGAGCAGCTCGCCAGTCTGGTTTTGTTTAATGTCGAAGAGGGCCGACAGGAATTTGGAGTCGAAGTCTTTAGGATGCGCAGGGTTTTTTTCCCCCGACCTTTTTCCGTCAAGCCGCGGTGAAACAGGGTGAAACACGCGACCGGTCCCTACGCGCCCGGCGCCCAACGGGCGTCAGACAGGACATCGCCCTCCAGCGGCGCGCTGGCGTACGCGTCGCCAACGTCGGTGGGGAGTTGGCAGAGGCTCGCAGCGAACGCTCCCTGCGCTGCGACTGCGAGCATCTGCCCCCACCGGCGCCTGTACGCGGCTGCGACAGTCGTGCGCTGCGCCGCGGGGCTGGCGAGAGCTCGGCCCTGCGCGATGCGGTGGAGGAAGGCCTCAGTCTCCTCGCCCCATCTCCCTCCAACTTCGAGGGCCAGCACCGTCAGGCGACACCGCCGGGCGCGCTGAAACTCCGGGTAGGTTACCCGATGCTTGCGCTCGGCCGCGGTTCGCAAGGCGAGGCCGGGCTGTGATGCCCTGCTGGGCTGGTGGCCTCGCCCAACTCCCTGCCCAAGCGTCAGCGCGCGCGGCGGCGGGGAGCGCATCCAGTAGTGCACTGGGCTCCTCGCCCGCGGCATTCCATGCCCGCGTCTTGCCCAAATGGACGCGGATGTTCGCGCGCTCCCAGAGCGCTGTGCCGAGGGCCGTAAAGGCGGGCCCGGCACGCTCGGGCTGG